TTGTGGAAAAGGGTGTTTGTCTTACCAGTGGGTCCAACATTACACACACCAAATCCATCTGTGCTTATATGAGACATTGCGGAGGACGCCCAATGCAGCGCTTACAGTGACACTTGTTGAGGAGCTGCCTTCTGTCGCCATCGTGTGGCATTGCTGTCTTCAGACATCTCTTGATCTCTTTGACTACTTCACGAAAATGGTAATACGCCTCGCTAGTGGCGGATTCAAAGGCGAGAGGAGCTGATGTTATTGGTCAATACAGGTCTCGGCTGTGTTAAACCCACTCAACGCCCTCTCTCCTCCCTCCCTATGACCTACGCCGCTGGAAGGAGCTGAGTTAGGGGAGGGGGGATACTTATGCCGGGCTGCACAACTCACCAAAATACGAAAATGTGCTTGGAAACGCCTTGTCAGCGCGGTGGTTAATTGCATTAACGGTATGTTCAGTATGAAAACAAGGAGTTATTAGTTCTTAATCTATTTTCACCTATTGACCTATTTCAATCGGTTTAAAAACACATTTGTTCAATAACATATGCAATGTCATCAACTCCGTCAGTTTCTCGTCAACTCCGTCAGGTGTTCGTCAACACCGTCAGATGTAAGTTTTTCTTCAATTTTGGAGAAAAAAAAATTTGTTCCTTCAGTTTATATCGTTTAAGTAATAAAGGAGCATTGGCTCTACATCCTCTTGTGTCTTATTTACTTACAGAAATTGTTTTTATAATATAAAAATTAAAAACAAAGTTTGAAAATGCAACTATTTAGAAATCTTGGTTTTCAAAATAGTGTGAAATCACACATTAGGTTTATATATTGTATTTCATGGCATATCAGAGTAACTAAACACTATTACAACATACATCAGAACTTTAGATTCTTGTTGGACTAGAATTATTAAAATTATATTCTTTTTTGTGTGTCTGATGGAGTTGACACAAATCTACTGTCTAAGGGAAACATGTTAATTTATAGAAAAAATGTTTTTATTTAGAGCCTGTTCCTTTACGGGGTTAAATAGCTAAGACCTTTCTCAACAGTAATAAATAACTCTAATCAATATAGTGTGCATTCTCAAAAAAAGTTTTTTAGGAAGTGTTTTGTCCCGACTCTCAAGAATCCCTGCACTATTTCTATACACCCTACCTACACTTAACCTAAACAATACATGTAGTGCACAGAATTTATATTTAGCTAATTTTCCTGACCAAGCTGCAGCAAGCAAATTAACACTACTCAATGTTCAATCTGACTGATTCGGATTTTAGTAACCAAGATTTACTTATGGTCTGTATTATCCTAAATAAAACAGCAATATTTTGTCATTAACAAGAAAATATAAAAGTACATATATTAGAAGAAACATTTTTTGTTTGTTTGTTTTTTGGCAGACAAATTCAATTAGACCTGTCCAAAGCAGCAAATGGTCAATCTCTATTTAAGTACATGTTTTGTCAACAAGATAAGTGGATGGATTTTGATATTAAAATTTCATTACTACTGGTGTAATGTCGTTGGTATTTTGGATGTGGGATTTTCTATAACAAAATGATCATGGGTCCATTGATGCCTTGCCATATAAAAGCCTGTTCAGTCTCACTGCATGTCTGCATTTATCAGGCCTTTCTTTGTGATTGTAGAAATGTTCTTACATCTGTAAGAAGATGCAGGTGTGAAATTTTAAGTATCAAGGATGGAGCACTTTACAGAATTTGCTGGTGATTCAAATCTAGCTGACAAAAGGTTCGAATCACTTGTGAATTGTAACTCATTGCCCATTATGATAAATTTTGTTGAAGGTGACATGGCTTTTAACATTTTCGTGGCATCTTCGAAAAGCTTTCTGTACCAGCTCTAATTTTTAACACTTTTTCTTTCTGTTGAAGAGCTCTTTGAATATGGGCAACTTACTGATCTTTATTCATTTATTTATTTATTTTTTAATATTCTATTTTGGATGATTATTTGTAATAACTGAAGTATAAAATAAATAATCATAAAATGTATTACTAATTTAATATTTATCATTCATTTAGATAAGGTCTGCATGTGCAACTTATTTTGAAAGGGTCGACCGGAAATCACCCTGTTTTCGTGCCACACACTTGACGTAGGTATTACATCTCCCGTACATTTGCCACGTCAAGCTTAGAGGAAGACCAGTAGGGTTTCTTTTGTACTTTGTGCTATTTTACCCAGTTCAGAGCTTAGGAATCAGACAGAACCACTGTAGACTCTTAAGGAATTGATCCCACTGCGTGGACCTGCTCCAAACTCTCAGTGTAAGTTCACTCACGTTGCCGTCCGTGAAGAACCGTCAGCAGTTTGTGTCAGTGCTGGAGCTCACGTTACAGAAAGTTAGGCTGCTTTCATCTTGCGGCAGAGTAATCGGACAAACAAGTATCCGACTTGGCCAAGTTTATCTCTGAAGCAGCCCAAAGAAGAGACAAGACTCAGAACTCTTTCAAATTCGCAAGTTGGCCAGTTTTAAAGTTTCAAGTCTTTTAAACAGAGGACAGAATAAATTGCCTTGATAACTGAAAAGTTTACATTGATTTACAGATGTCATACCACTTTGACTTGTTTTCAATGGATAGTAAAGGATAGGGTTGCTGTGCAGGTAGAGTTTAACCTTAAAGATAACCAATAAGTGGTGTAAATAAAATGTTAAAAGCGCATGAACTCGCTGAATTCGGAATTGAGTCTTCGAAAATTCCGGAACTCCCAGCTTGCGAGAAGCCCTTGAACGCAGCACAAGTAAATGCTAACTAGCAACAGGAGCCTTTTCACATAGTTCCCTCCAGCAACTTCACTAACACCAAATTCTACCGCTGGGGAGTAAATAACCAGACGGGCGGTGAACATATTGATTGCATAATTTACATTCAGCCATTTTATGTCGGGTGTCAAACTCGCCGCTGTAATGTACTGGCACCGTTACTAATATTACAATGTGTAAAGTCAGCTGCGTGAACACAACTGCTTCCCGACCACGGCACTGTACTCGGACGTAGGGTCGTAAACGATTCGGCTTTTTCAAATGGCTCTGTAATAACCGAGGGGAATCTAGCCACATTTTTCTGATATTCTTCACATTGTGTGTTTGTTTTTGTAAATGATCGCGTAATGGTGCATTCAATGAAGGGTCCGTGACTTTTTCCAATAGTTTACCAGTCCTTGGATACTGAATGCTGTTTTCTAACCTCATCTTCCATCTTTCCTTTTTGGATTTCTCTGTCATTGTCATCAGCCATTGTGTCCTCAACCTTACCTGCACTTTTTACTATTTTTGTCTCTTTACATCTTTATCCCACCACAAAAACAGATCTCAAATGAACTAGAACTCTCTCTGTCCTTTTCTTTTGCATTATTATAATTAGTATACTGGTATCTTTGAGCTGTATCCATAGCAACAGTATGTTCTTGAAATCAGAGTGTGCTATCAAGAAATAATGACTGTCACTATGGTATATTGGCCAATCTAAATCAAGCACTTAACACAGCACCCTGAATAGGTTGCCAGTGATGAGAATAATTTTAGGGTCATAATGCAGAGAGTTCTAGTGGGCTGCAATGTAGTTAGTGCTGCCATAGGTCATGAAAAAACCTGGTTAATTATGTCCAGGTATTTCCTGACATAAGCTCAGGTTAACCAGCTCATTTAGATCAGCACCAAGAAAAATCTTGACTGGATGGTGGCATTGTTGGAAATGTTTTTATTCTGTGTCAGTGAAAGTACTGCTCTGCTTACTTATCAATTTTTTTTCTGCAATAAGTCTGACATTGGGAGGGGTTGGGAATCACCATTGATATATTTATAAATGTGACAGAAGGTGAGAACAGTTCTTGTTGTTAATAACTGGATCAGCGAGCGGTGTAAATGATAAGAGGGCAATAACACCTACGTTAGAAAACTAAAAGTAAAAACAAGCCTGAGTTTGCTGCACTGATCTTCTTAAACAGGTGGTATGCGTGATCCTCTACAACTTCTGAATTATAGTTACTAACTAACTAGACTGCTAACCAACTATTAATCCTGTTTTCTTTTTTGTCCTCTTCTGCAAGTGTTTACAGCTGTTAGTGTTAATGAGGCCACTAGATGGCGTATCAACACCAGAGTTCAAACCAGTAAAATTAAAGAAGCAACTTTGCTGAGACTCCTGTGTTTACATTTGTCCTTCATTGAGAGGTAAAAAAACTCTTCATTTTATAAAAGATAAAGTACAAATGTTTTCAGGAGATTTTTTTTGTCCAGCCAGGCATCAGACTGCAGGGCCTGTCATATACAAACTGAAGTTCCTCTGTTGGGCAATGAATGTATATACCATATTTACTGAATAACATAATAAGACCAGCAGATCTGGTGTCAGAATAATTATCATGAGCAGAGAAGCCTTCTTTCTTAAAATTTCTCTGGTGTTAAGACCACTAATGGGTGGTCAGTAAACAGTGCTACAATGATATCCTACCACTTTTCAAGAGGAAAAAAAGCTGACCATCAACAGGACTTATATTCCATATATTCCATTTAATATTATATTCCATATAAATATTCCAAAACATAAAAATTAAAAAACAAGGTAAATATTTTATCGCTAGTAAGTAAAATGAATAAGCTTGAACAAAAATGTAGATATGAGATGTTTCAACTGTTAAAAGTTTCAGATCAGTCATGTTCTCTGGTCCAAATACTTCTCCTATCCAAATACTTGTTTGGGTCCTTGAACCTAGTTTCACAATAAAACTGCAGCATGCATTTTTGTGTGTTCTATTCAAATGTGTTTGTTCCTAAGCTAAAGGTTTTGTCAGGTTAAAAAAACAAAGCTGGATTACTTTTAAGTACCTTTTCAACATTTGATTCTATCTTACATCTTTATTTCAGCTGGGCACTAGTAATTGATGCTTGTCTGTCTGAAATATTTAATCATTGTGGTATTCTTGTGTCTTTCAGGCTCTTGTGGCTGCAGTGAATACACGGAACAAGTGGTTGTTGAGACATCATGAGGCAGCTAAAAGGAAAGCCCAAGAAAGAAACATCGAAGGATAAGAAGGAACGTAAGGCGGCCATGCAGGAGGCCCGGCAGCAGGTGGCCACCGTTGTCCTGCCCACACTTGCTGTGGTGGTGCTGCTCATCGTTCTTTTCGTCTATGTGGCCACCAGACCGGATGCAATTGAGTAGCAGTCTACTTTAAAACAAAGACATGAACTCCCCAGCTGACTGGGGTGTGACAAAATGACAATGGCTTACCCAAAGGATGAAACCATTCTCCCTCCAAAGTGTTTTTCTTTGCTTTAAGCAGCTGTGGAAGAGGAAATCAGATGGAGTAGTGGAATAGATGCTCCGCGGTGCCTTCAGGTGAACGAAGATGACGTCCGATTTGATCCTGTTCATGTTAAAGCAACAGATGGATTCGTGTTGATGTCTTAAATAATGATGCAATATTTTTAATACCAAAGACTCGTGCAACGCTGCCAAGTTTGACTAGAGGTGTTAAAAAGTCAGATAAGAACATGTATGTGTTTCTAAATCTTTCATGCTTAGTTTCACACATGCACCCTCCTGACATGCCCCCCGCCCCCATACACACATACACAAACCTGTATGCATGAATGGTCTGTGGAGAAACAGAAGGATTTGATTTTCTTAAGCTGGATTCAGAACCTAAGTTTTAAATTGAATGTAAACTTGGAATGTTCAGACACAACTCTGATGTGAATGTTACCCTGAACGTGAAAACCAAAGCTCTACATCACTCCTTACATCTGTGAATATGCAGTTAAGTGCCTTAACAAGATTGTGGCTGTAGTATTCCCATTCAATAAATATTTTTTTTTATGTTTAATGATTGTAACAGTTTCAATGTTTCATTCAAAAAAATTCTAAGATTTTTGCTTTATTGGAATCAGTCAGAAGTTTATTATAAATCAAGAAAACAAATGAGATATCATTTGTGTCTTCTTTTGGTTGGCCTTTTTCTTTATGAATTGTCTTATAGGGCTAACAGTGCTAACGCTAAGTTAGTAATGGAGACTCAGATGTCAGCAAACAGTCCAACTCAAATCAGGCTGAATTTGTGTCATCAAGTGTAAATGGTGCCCTTAATTTTTATTTATTTATTTTTTTAAATGAGTTACTCAATTTATGAGTGTGTATCAAAGCATCATATTTTTGAAACATTAAAGGGATTTAACTAAAATAATTACCTCTGCCAAGGAGGTTATGTTTTTGGTAGCGTTGGTTTGTTTATTTGTTTGTCTGTTAGCAACTTCACGGAGAAAGTTACAGACGGATTGACCTGAAATTTTCACCAGAGGTGCGTCTCAGCCCCAGGAGGATCCCATTACATTTTGGTGGTGATCCGGATTGCCTTCTGGATCCTGGAATTTTTTGAAGGATTCTTTATCATTGTGAGATAGGGCAAATTTTTGAATTTTTGCATTTAACTCTATAAAAATGGCCAGAGTCTTCAGTAAAAAACACAAAAGGATCTCAAAGAGTTTTATTAGGTGTCAAAGGTTGATCCTGATCCAAACAAAATTCCGGATAGCCATAAAAAATACATCAAAATGGAGGTGTATGTGTCCTGCTTCTCACTAAAGAGGTTTCAAATCATTAAATCCTACCCCTTGGCCAGCAGGTGACAAATAGGCGGTGATCTCTCCCATTAACCCTAATGTATTTTTTCTCCAAGAAAATCCTGATCATCACTCAGGCTCAGACCTTTTTAATTCGCTGTTATGGCCACATTTTTTGGAGTACAGACATGAAAAACACATCATTGTGTTCATGAAGGGCGGAGGATTCGTACAATGTTCTTATTTTCATTCTGGGATTTAAGGAAATCACGCTATGTGAAGAAGTTCAGAGGCCCTAAATTCACTGCAGTTCAGCAGCTTCTCATTCAAACAGAAGGTCAGTTAATGCCTTTGATGTCTGACACCTGTTAAGATGCATTAATTAACACAAACACACACACACACACACACACATTTTTGTACTTGCTGCTTTGTGAGATCTATGAGAAAAGACCCACAAAGCGAGGACTACAAACTTTGACCTACAGAAACCATTCAGGGCTCCAAAAATTCAGCTCATTGAGGACATTATGGGGTGTACTCAGGATTTTCATTCATTTAACTTTTCCCCACTTTAAAATTATTTTCATTATTCATGCATTATTAAATTCGTCAGACAAATCCAAACTTATTCAAACCTTTCTGATACTTCAAACCTGTTTAACACTTTAGGACTTCTAATTATTTAAAAATTTTCCCACTTCAAAATCATTCTCATTATTTATTTATGTTTTAATTCTGCAAACAAAATCCCAGTTCTACCACTATAATTACTACTTATATTATTATCTATTATCACTTTAACTTGTATCTTCACTTCTACCTCCACTGCTCTTGCTTCTCTTAATATTTTTTTTACTTCTACTCTTACTTCTACCACGAGCTCTACTGCTTTGACTTCTACTTCTTCTATTCTAAAACTACTTCTACTGCTTACATAACTACTAATATCACTACTACAACTACCTATTATCATACTACTTCTAGTACTACAACTTAAACTTATGCCACTTCTTACTTTTCTGTGTTTTAAGGTAATTTTCTTCCTTAACCATTTTTTTTGCAATTTCTGACAGTTTTTCTAGCCTTATTCAGCATGAATGCAATTTTAATTGTTGTTAATATTTGTACTTCAGCAATTTTCACTTTCATCCAACTTCTACTTTTCTTTCTCCAGCTCTTTAACCAATTTTACATTAAACCTTCCTCTTTTTTTTTTTTAGCAGTTTTGCATTGCTTTTTCAGCTTTCAGCACTATGGGCTATGGACAACTTGGTTCTGCCGTCTGCCAGTATACAGATTTGAAGCCAAAAAGCTCTCGGTAATTCTGCGTTTTCTCTCTATTTCCTGAAACCAACATTGCGCAGTAGCATTGTGCGCATTCAGCGGGAGAGTCGCTGTGATGATGCTCGGCTCAAACAGCGTATCTCCTGGGTGAGCAACGCAATCCTTGTACGCCCATAGGCTGTATCAGGTGTAAATCACAGAAAACATGAACCCCCTATATAACTCTCAAAAATGGGGGGGGGGGGGGGGGGTTATGTTCTGTGTAATAAATCCCTAAAGTCTGTGAGCTTTGCAGGCAGACGTGGGAGTTATGACCTATACTGCAGCCCATCACCAGAGGGTGCTGTTCTCAGGGTGGCTTCACCCAGCAAGGAGGCAGACAACGTCCATTCTTTATACAGTCAATGTGTACAATTGTTTGTATGTACAATCTTTTTCAATAGAACAGAAAAAAAAACAGAATGTGTAGAATGTGACATAGAATGTGACATTATGAGGTGTCATAGATTGTGACATCATGAGGTGCATTGTAACACATGAGGTGTTTGAGGTGATATTCAGGAGAGCAGCAAGGTTTACTTCTGTATCCCGAGAGAGAGGACAATTTCGAAGAGCGATTCACAACTTTAATAGTGACCGCAGAAATGAGCTCCAGTCTTAACAGAACTCCTATGGTAAGTTGACTGAAATTTGTGATACTTTAAAACTGATTTACTTACTTTAGCTTGAAAGAATTGAATTGTAGACTTTATAATATTTTTATATATATTTATTTTTGGTAAATTAATGTTTCTTTGCATGACTTGACTCAAATGTTTTTGCACACAAACAGAAAAGAAAGAGGGACTTTTCACCTGAGATGGAGAGGAGTCCAAAGAGGAGACGCCTCTCCACCCATCAGGAAGAGGAGATGAGCGAGGCTGAAAGGACACCACCGAGTGCTCGCCCAGTCAAGGTTCCAGTAGGAAGTTGGCTGAAAATTATAATATTTTAAAACTGATTTACTTACTTTAGCTTGAAAGAATTTAATTGTAGACTTTATAATATATTTATATATATTTATTTAAATTAATGTTTCTTTGCATGGTTTGACTCAAATGTTTTTGCACACAAACAGAAAAGAAAGAGGGACTTTTCACCTGACCTGGAAATAAGCCCAAAGAGAAGACGCCTCTCTACTCATCAGGCAGATGAACAAATACAAGGCGGGCAAAAAGCACCAAAGGGGGACGAGGAGCCCATCAAAACTGTCCCCAAAACAGAAGAGAAATAGGCTGGTGGTTCCAATAACAGCAACAACCCTTTCACAAAAGAGGAGCCCAAGTGTCTTGGGTAAGTATCTGATAGATATGCAGTACATAAACCAAAGAGTAAAAGCACACAATAAATTTCTGAAAGGATTGCTGTATAAATCATATTAACTTGTTCAACTTGTTTCCATCAGATTCCCAAACCTTGGACAAACCTGCTACATGAACGCAAGCCTGCAGAGCCTTTTGACACTGGAGAACTTTGTGGATGTTATCATCAAACAGGCAAATGTGTGGAGAGAATTTTGGCACCCCCTGTGGCAGATAACCAAAGCAGTCTTTGCTTATTATGTCTTCACACACTTAAACAATGTCATCTGTGTTTGTTTCTGCAGGATGCGCACGAGTTCCTTGATACACTTCTGAACCAAATCATGAGTTTGAGTCCAGAGCTGCAAAAGGCGGCTGCCAGCAAGGGTACAACCTACAGCTGTCCAGTCAAAGAACACTTGTCGTTCAAGATGGAGAACACAAGGACATGCAAAAGGTATGACTTCACTGAAATGTATTTGCATGTGTATGCTTGATATCATACAAGGATCACTACACTCTTAAAACACGAAAATGCTGATTTGCAAATATTCATTAGATCATCACATAGAACTGAAATGCTAAGCCCTTAGAGGTGGGTTTGTCACAAACTTGTGCAGCTTTACTTAAACTGGATTGTCCTTTTTATGTGCAGATGCGGAGCAGAATCGAAGAAACAGGAGGAATACACGAACTTGTCTCTCGACTTGATACCTGGAGGAGGAACAGTAGAAGACATGCTCCAGAATTATCTTCAGGTAACCACACCTCTCTCTATGAATTTTACAGCACAACAAAAAGATGCAGGACAATGTGATTTGATGTTAAAATACCACCATATTTGAATCCCCTCACAACTGTTCATGTCAGTGTGTATTTAGTTGTTAATCCAGAACAAATTAAAACCATGTTGGTCTTTTGGTGTTTTACAGGAAATCGAGCTGGAGTATCGGTGTGACTGCGGAGGAATCGTGTCGGGCCAGCACTTGTCGTTTAAAACTCTACCAAGGTAACATCTTCGCCAACACAAATAAGCAGACACCTGATTTATACTGCAAAGTAATACATATCTACAACAAAAACTCTTGCACATGACCTAATGCTAAACATCTGTCATTTTTCTTATTTCAGAGTGCTGGTCCTGCACCTGAACCGTGTCAGGTACACATCAGACTACCGGCTGCAGAAAGTGACTGATCCAGTAGATATCTTCAGGGACCTCGTTATTTGTTCTGAAGAGGTAAGTAGACACTAAATGATCTCATTTGATAAAAAAAGAGAAAAATAGATTATCTCTAATAGACATAATGTGTAAACTGTGGGCACTAACTCTATTTACTCTTTTTACTCTCTCAGGATGGTCAATGTTACAGCCTTGTCAGCGCAATTAATCATCTGGGCACACCAGCAGGATCAGGTAAGATAATCAGTTTCCTTCTGATCATATTAAATTTTACACACAAAAAATGTCAGTTAAAAAAAAGCTTACAATTATGTTCTAATGCATTACTTATGTGAACATTATGAATTATATGATTGTATGTGGTTACAGACACAGCCCAGTCTTTTAACATTATTACTCTTTCATCTATTAGGACACTTCATCTCAGAGGGAGTGGATTTGGATATGCTGGTAACTGACCCGTCGGATCGTTGGTTCACTTATGACGACGAAATGGTCATGGAAACCAGCGGTGCCGACGTATGTGAGAAGGGACGGCGAAATGCCTACATCCTTGTCTACAAAAGACATGTAAGTACATGGCCCCATCACACTGAGGTACGCCATGGTGAAAGAAAGTTGTGATGTATAAAAAGACATCGATGATCTCATCATCAATGTCTAATCATTATTGATCAGAGTAGGCAAGAGGACTCCTATTCATTTATCTTTTTTAACATTTATTTTGTTCATGATATGGTCAAGTACAGCTTTCTGAAAACAACTTCCTTTATAGTATTTACATTAACTAACTACATTTGTTTTATTCATAGAATTAAGGGGCAGGTAGTCCAAAGAAACTCCCCATAGAAGCAAGAGGCCTTAGGTAAGTAAGGTGAGGTAAGGAAAGGTAGGTATAATGGCAAGGGCCAAGGACCAAGGAGAAGGACGTCCAGTGGTGCAGGAGCAGGTAACCCCTGACCCACTGGAGAATGGGTTTTTACCCCAGAAAGCCTGGTTCCTTCCAAGGTTTCTTCCTCCGAGAGGGAGTTTTTCCTTGCCACATTTGACTCATTTAAATTGGACTTAATCCATGATTCAGATTTACAAACAAGCCATCCAGATTAGAGTTTGGAAGCTTGTGGCTTACTCTCTGGGTAAGTAAACTGAAAACAAACTTACATTAGGAACCACTGCACTATTGAGTATTTAATTAGAAGTAAGAAAAATAAAAAAGAGAATTATTTTCAGTAAATTTTTTCAGGTTGTTAATTGCATACTTTACTTATCATCAACAGCAGGTGTTCCAGGATGGATAAAGGACCTCTTGTCTTCTCATACTTGACATTATTTGCAGTGAACAGTGCATGAAGTTGTGTCTGCGTGGGTTTACTCCGGGTGCTCCGGTTTCCTCCCACATCCCAACGACCCCTTACAAAAAAAAAGAATTTAAAACCGGCTTAACTACAAAATAAAAATCAATCAAATATAAATTTCTTCTTTACAATGGTTTTCTCTCGTTATAAATAATTAATTATTGTTACACTGGTTTAAGCATCCTTATTTGGCTATCTAGCATACTGCAGTCCAGCATTTTTATCTAAAACCTGCAAAACCAACATGTGGGCAATAATACAACCCGTTTGAATTATTTGCATTAGGGACCTCCCTAACTTAAAGACCTTGACAGATAGGACCTCTTGTCTCATACTTGGTGTTATTTGCTCAGGACGTCCAGGGGTGCAGAAGTTTGTGTCCCAACCCCTTAAAAAAAAATCAAAAAAGGCCAAACTACTAAATTAAAAAAAGGCCAAACTGCAAAATAAAAATTAATCAAATATAAATTTCTTCCTAACAATGTTTTTTTCTCATTATCATTAGTTATTGTTAAACTGGTTTAAGTGTTCATGTTTCTGGGAAGTGAAGGTATCATATATACGCTGATGAACAGCTCCGTTGACAAATGGCTATCTAGCATACTGCAGTCCTGCATTTTGAATCTAAAACCTACAAACCATCATGCGGGCAATAAAACAACTTGTCTGAATTATTTGCATTAGGGACCTCCCTAACTTAAAGACCTTGACAGACAGGACCTCTTGTCTCATACTTGGTGTTATGTGCTCAGGATGTCCAGGGGTGCAGGAGGTTGTGTCCCAACCCCGTAAAAAAAATAAAAAAAGGCCAAACTACAAAATAAAAATCATTCAAATATAAATTTCTTCCTAACAATGGTTTTCTCTTTTTATAGTTAGTTATTGTTATACTGGTTTAAGTGTTCATGTTTCTCTGAAGTGAAGTTTTAACAAGGTATCAAATTTACGCTGATGATGGCAGTCACTGAAGCACAGCAATAGATGGTGCTGTTCTGCATTCTCAAGTTACTATGGTTGGATTCTGCAGACTGCAGAAATCTGTTTTACTATTTGTACATTTAATGGGAACATTGTTACACATTATTTTAAGGCATTTGTTTTTCAAATTCTATTATTCTTATCAGTTCTGTTTATTCACATGTCTATTAGACAATTTGTACATTAATCCAACTAATTTACCTTCAGCTATATTACAATTCTTCCATTCATACAATTTCTTCCTCATTTTCTGCAAGGAAATGCAATTTTTCTAGTTATTTTAGATACTCCTGTGGTGATTTTTACGAGTTATGTGTTATAATCATCAAAATCAAAACAAACCAAAAAAAGGGGGAATTTTCCCAATTGTCACGGATATTATTGGAAACTGTACCTTCTTGAGTTACATAATGGCAATTATTGAACTTTTCAATAACATATAAAAGGTAATACTTTATTTACACGCATCTGTGTACAGCTGAAGACATATTTAAGGATTTTTAAACCCGTGGACAAAGTGTGTATTCTAATTGTAGTCCCATTAAGTACTCCAGTAATCTGTGATCAGCAAAATCTGCCTCTGGATTAGGTTGAAACCAGGTCTAAAGTAATCTGGATAGCCTGATTCTACAGGGTAAGAACGTGGATTTGCAAAATTGGTCAATCTTATCATTTCAATTTTTGAATGGCTGAATAGATTGGATTTATGTGAATCGCAGTCTCACACACTCAGATTCCCATAACCAACAGCAGGCGGAAATGCAACACTTTGGATGCCAACCGAGAGAAACCACCGAAGAAGAGGGAGAAGAAGGAGGTGGTGGTGGAGGAGGAGGAGGAGGAGGTCCGTGTTGCTCCCTCCCCTCAGTCTGTGAAGAAGAGTTCCGGTGGTGTGTCATGGCGGTGGCATGGTGAATCCTGCAGAAAGAGAAAAATCCTCTCCCGTCCATCCAGGACAGATTTTCATGCAGAAATAAGCCCGTCAGCTGCGGATCGTTCCCCGGATCCCCCCGCGCGGACATGGCGGCTCACAAACCGGTGGAGTGGGTCCAGGCCGTGATCAGCAGGTTCGATGAGCAGGTAAGAGGGCTGATTCAGGGGAGGGGTGCAGCAGGCTCCGGTGGTCTCCAGGCCCCGGAGCTGGAGCTAACCTTACACCGTTCCCGATTATCGCTGTGAAAGGCCGGATAAACAGGAATAATCCCCGTAAGGAGAACTTAAACCGGCTTTTATGAGCTGCTGCTGAACTCTGAAGATGGACTCTCTTTAAAGCTAGCGCCGTCTTTACGTCCAATTAGCTGTTTTATCCCACTCCTGCCCCCGGATTTAAACTCGTATAACCCGTCAGTTTATTTGAAATACACCAAGAACTATCACATCATCAACATTTACATACTTAAACCATGCCTGTTAGTGAGTTAAAGCTCTGAATATAGCGCTGAGGGTTCTTGTCTGCTAGCTGGCTAACATTAGCATCAGGCCTAGCCTTCTAATGTAAACAAATAAGATGAGTCTGGGTTAGCATCAGGGGTGTGTCCAGGACGGTGGCGAGGGGTGGCATGGCCCAAACTGTAAATCCTTTTGGCCACCCGATGTGCCACCCCAGAATCTTTATCAATGATTGGTTATTGCCCTTATCAGAGGCGGGACAGGGGTTGAAATTATCTGCTCTGACTTTATTAAAACAGGCTGCAAGTAACTTTCTTGGTATATATTTGTGGCACATTTTATTTCGTAGTTGCGTCAAATAATAGAAAAACACTTCAACTTGGATTTATCAGTCTGTTCAAAACTATAGGCAACCCTTAAACACTAACTGTCAAAAATACAATAAAATGTTTCAGTGCTTAAACACTCTTGTTGATTTTTTTTTCTTTCTGAAAAACAGTTGCAGTTTTTAAGTTTTGACTGGTTGTATTTTTTTCACAAGATAAATCATTCCTGCTTCCCTTTGTTCACTTAAAACTCCGATGTGGAGTCTCTAACCAGTTCTGAAACAGACAGAAGTTGATACTGATGCCTCATTGTGTGCCACGAGAACAAACCAGACCATCAGCAACATGATGAGTTATTTTTCTAATGCTTGTAACCTCTTAAGCAGGCAGCTGTCAGACAAAGTGAATTACAGTACACTATGTAAACAAACTTAGTCTACACTTTCTACATCAGAGATTCTCTTTGAGTATAATAACTGTAATTTAAAAAAAAAACAGATGAAGGATATTTCTGAAATCAGAAAACCATACTTATGCGTACAAGAAAATGTCAGCAAAGAAACAGAGGTATTGCTTTGTCCTCAGGGGTTGCCGAAATCAACGTACAACCTAAAAAGTCTCTGACAGGGACCAACTCAGTTTGGTCTGACACAACATTATGTGTTAGTTGCATGTAAGGAGAAAGAGTGGTGGGAGTTACCAGAGCTCTGCTTGTCAATGTGATCAAATATAGGTTGCATGCAGGAAACAGATTGCTTTACTTTTTGTGGTTCCAGCGGTTATTTACATTCGCTCATAATAACACCACACTAGGTTACTCAGGGCTGGCTTCAGACATTTTGGTGCAATATGTGAGATAAGTATTTGCCCTTGATACACATACTACTTTACTCACACACTTGATCAACAGTGTCTCATTAAATCTTGAATAACTTTAACTCAATGCATCTAAAGTTTCTCATTGACAATCTCACATTATGTTTTTCATCAAGTGTCACAGAGTAATTTATTACAATTCTTATTCAACCATCCTTTTATTTCATTTCTTGGTATGGAGGTATGAGAAATCTCCCCCAAGACCTGTCACTGATAAGCAGTCTCTATTTAATGGCTATTTAAACTTTCTATGAATCATGTTTTCATTTGGAGTGCATGTATTACTCATTGACAGTTCAAAATTGTTGCATATCTGCTTTAAGTAAGCATTTAGTGACACGCGTTAACAAGTCAAATCCAGTAATGTTACCACTAGTTTTGTAGCAATAAAATGAGTTTTTCTCCAGACACACATATTTTACTGATACAGTTCATACCCTCCTCCTATTTAACAAACCTCCCTTATTGAACAGGTGCACTGACAAGTTGTGCATGCACACTTTTTACCCCCCTTTCTTTGTAGACTTGAGATGTGCTTCTCCACCTAAGCATGAATAATGTTTTCTCTTGTCCCACTGCAGCTTTTCTTGACCAAATTGTTTATTGGTTAGCTGCACTGTTAAACTGTTGGTGAAACTGCACTGTGGTAAATTTGAACCATCTTTTCGAAAGTGAGATTTTTCTATTCTAGTCAAACGTCACCCCAGTCTGATTGCATGACTATTTTCTGTTGTTTGAAGGAATTTGTGTTGTATTTGGCTCTGTGTCTCTTAAGGTGTTTGGGTCTTTGGATCTGGTCTAAGTCTCAAAGGATCATGGATTTTAGATGGGTTTTAGTGGCTTAGCTTGGATTACTACCACTGGCTTAAGGTGTTATATCCACGTCTTGGTTATAGTTTGCCTAATCCTCCTCTAAACCCCTCCGGTCAGTTTACTTACAGTTTAATTCTTCTTTCAGGTTTCCTTTCGGTGTTTTAGAGCACAAAGATAAAACATGCTAATGAAGTTTTGAGTATAAAAGAAATAATTTAATTTCATATTTGATCAGAAATCATTAGAAGTTCTTGTTTGTTGATTTTCAGGTTCTTAATGGATTTGCTCTGATGATATGGGAAAGTTTTATTTTTTTAGTATTCATCTCTTTTATGAAACTCTGTCGACCCTTTTTAATGACAGTTGTCTAACCTTTATTGATGAAGAAGATCATGAGATGTGGTTGAATACCTGGAAATGCCAGGTAAAAGTGCACAGATAAATATATTAATTGAGTCATTGATTGTAAGAAAAAAATATGCTGCTAAATTTTCAAGCATATGTCAAATAGGTGTTTCTTACTAATTGTAAAACAAGATTTTGCTTTTGGATTTTTATGTCTGTCATTGAAGGAAATGACTTTAGGTTTTGGTTTGGTGGTTTGACATAAGAGGTTGCTTTAGACTTTCAGAAAGACTCATCGAAAGCTCACAAGTATTATTGCTGGGTAATATAATTAATAATGAAACTAACTGGCAGTTTCCCCTTCGGAAGTTACTCCCCCTCTCAGAAAATTGTCACACAGTCAAATTGATGAGAAAAAGATGAATATTTATTCCTTTTTAAACAACAGGGGGCGCTATCTGCCTTTGATTTTTCACGATTGATTTTACATCTCCTCTGTCTGTAGCTGTATTTGACCTGCATTTTCACCTTTCTATTTATTAAAATACATTGACATTGTTTAACGAACTGTTTGACAATCTCTCTCTCTCACTCTCTCTCTCTCTCTCTCTCTATCGCTCTACTCTTGCTAAGTAGTGATTCCTTAAAGGGATATTCCGGCATAAAATACATTTAAGGTCAAACACCATAACATTGAGTTAGACACCCCCTTGAGAGATGAATGTTGTCGACTGCTTGCTTCTCTAGTTAAACCAACTTTAGTAATGACTGCACGATAGCAATACACACCAATCTATGGATCCACACACAAACGTCAACCAAAACGCCACTTTATAGCCACAAATAATGCTCAGAACAGCACCTAACTTCATTAACAGTATATAGGGTCCCAGCTCGTAGTAGTAGCCATCAAATCTCCTTTTAACTTTGCCTGATTTTTTAGCAAAGAGACTAAACACAACTCACCTACTCTCTTCCAGCAGACGCTTGTTTGTAGGGAGACCTCGACCAGTCCATCATCGACTGACGCAGAGTGACTCGGCTAAAGGAAGAACATTTATGATCATTTCTTCATGGAAATGCAATCAGACCAAAACGCTAAGGCAGCAGAACTACCGCGTCTGCAAATGATTAATATGGTGATTATTACTTCAAGGAAACGATGAAGTAATGATCATAAATGTTCTTCCTTGAGCTGCGTCACCCCGCTGTAGTGGCTATAGAGTGGTGTTTTGGTTGAGGTTTGTGTGTGGTTCAATAGACCGCTGTGTATTGCTATCGTGCGGTCGTTACTAAAGTTGGTGTTACTTGAGAAGCAAGCGGCAACATTCATCTCTTGAGGGAGTGTCTAACTCGGTGTTATGGTTTGTTTGACCCTAAATTAATTTTATGCAGGAATATCCCGTTAATACTGCTGGTAACAGATAGAGAGATGTAATAGGCAATACTGTGAGTCTGAGGATGGATCAGTTATCTATGTTGGGCAATTATCAGGGCTGAGATTCAGTATTTGGCGGATTATCTGTCTTGGCCTTTTATTGTACCGATGGCCAGTAAAATCAATAAGTAAAGGTGTGTTACTTGGCTCCACTACCGGTGTGTCTTTCACTCTGGCTCTGCTTTCTCGCATCACTTTGTGTCATAATGTCCCGCCCACACCACGATCTGAGTGGCTAGATGTCACAGGAGTGTGTGACTCAAATGCACTGTGAGTGTAAATAGTTAAATGTTAACTACTAAAGAAGATGACAAATGTTTCAGTTTGGATTAAACTTTTACTAAAGTTTTGTGTAGTAATTTGTATGAACCAGAAATGACTGGAATTGGTTTCAGCCTCCAAAGTTTGTACCAGTCAACCCCTAGTTTCGATACCACAGGAGCTTTTGTCTCTTCAGGGTGAGGTAATACATCTAGGATTTGTGTAGCTTATCCTTCCTTTAACTGTCATCGTTTGTTACAGCTGTACGTCCGATGTAGTGTTTGTTGAAGTGCCATAGTACTGTACAGGTTTTCTGTTAAAAAACGTTTTTACTCAATAGCTTTCATGCAGCTTGTTTATTCAATATATTGTTAAGTTTAACAATTTATAATGAATTGAAAAAAACAATTTTAAGGCCATTCAGAAGTTAGTTATGTCGCTCGACGCTCACAGGTACAATGGGGTCCTGTCTCCATGCTGCTACAGATTCTGATCCAAATTAGAGACAGCACAGCAGCGTCATGGTCCTCTTCCTGTTTATGTTCTGGCTGCCAGTTCTGTCACAGCCAGATCATCTGCCATAAATGATGTGAGTGTTCCTGACAGAACCCGAGGAATGTGAGTCGTCCACTCACTGCTTTAAGACACTGATGTGTCTGTTCAGCTGTGCATTGTGGCTCAACAACAAGCCAGTTTCTATAAATGTCCAGGAAGTTTCAGACCAGTACACAGGACCGGGATCAAGATCTTTAGTGGCTCCATAAAGTCTGGATTATTTCTGGATTGAAATTTACACCAACAGGGGTTTTACCTTATAAAGAAAAGCCCTTACAAATGATTGGGACCTAAAAAAGAAAATATCAAACACAATAATCTTCAGATATCAGAAGATAAAAATATTTAATTTCAATCCGTGTTATGATAAAATCTGAAATGTTACCGCTGGACACCACACTTGAGGTCGACACACCTGAGATCTACACACCTGTACACAGCTGCCCACATAGGTTTGTATTCTGAATTAAGAGGATAGCCTTTGGATAAATTTATTAGACAAAGAAACTATAAGTTGTTGCACAACAACAATCAATCATAAAACTGTCAACCAATAAACCCGTTGATCACAGTTTATTTGGGTGATTTTTAAAACAACAACAGAAAACGTTCATGTTTTGCTGTATGTGAATACGAATCAGCTTTATCAGCAAATTATGAGTTAAAATTTGTATCTAATTAAAATCACTCTAACTGTACAGATACATGAACAAACAGACAGAACACAAGCCCTAAAAATGGTCCAGGTTTATAAATTTAGATACAATATATGGATATTTTAATATCTCAAGTTTATTAACTTTTTCAAAAAGAAAAAAATATTCTATTGAGTCTAAGTTTACTTGAGGAGACCTCCCTGGAGAATCAGATGTTTGGTTTCTAGTGTACCTCTGCTAGAGGTCCAATACCAGGTACAGTATCCTCAGCAACTGTAATCCTAATTGGGAAAACCACTCTGAATGTCTAAAGTTGAGTGTTTAAAATGTTGCTGTTGTCCATCCAGCAATCCCAAACCAGAAGAGTCTTTTGTTTACCAACATTTTTCTTAAAAAATAGAAGTCACTTTTATGTCGAAGAAGCTGGGAGCAGAAAACAGCTCAGTGGTTACCTAACTAGTCTCCAATCTCAACATCAGCTTCAAGATGATGGCTTCACTGTGTAGCTCTCACAGCAGCAGGGAATGCCTTTGTGAAGTTGTTGAGTGAAATATAAAAATTATTTTTGGCAGCAGAAAGAGTTCATTACAAATAAAAAGTACCATGAATTGTGACAATTATGACGATGTCAAAGTTTAACCCCTCCTGTCTCTGTCTCCCTTCAGCTCCCCATTAAAGTGGGACACCAGAACACTCACACCAAAGTCAGCACAGAGCACAACAAGGAGTGTCTGATCAACATCTCCAAGTACAAGTTTTCCCTTGTCATCAGCGGCCTCACCACCATCCTCAAAAATGTCAACAACATGGTGAGTGTGTGACATGAGGATATTGCAGCTCTGTCACTGGTGGACATGGTCACTGGTTCATCAGCCTTATATTGGTTTCCAGCTTGTTTACTTCTGTACACAGGGCTAGGGCCAGTCTTACTTTAGAAAGCAGTCATTAGTTTGAATAAGGGGTGCACTTGATCATAAATCACATGGTTTGAACTGAAGTAAGAAAATATCTTATTTTTATTAATGAGAAAATGACAATAAAAGTTTAGAAATACCCACCTGCCAATAACCCTGATGACTGTGTTTTTCAACATGTAGCTGTATAACTTTTGTCATGTAGACAGCAGAGGAGCAGGAGACAGAGAAAAGCTATAGCTACACCACAACCACAGTATAAGTTCAGCAGACTTATTTTTGATTGGTGACTATTTCAGTAAAAATACCTTTTTACAGCCTCTAGGATTCACTTGTGCAAAATCTGCCTACATGTGGTCTGTTTTTTGTAATATATTAATTCCATTTTTTCAGTATGTATCATTCAAAATTTACAAAAAAGAAACCTGAATGGTCTACAAGCCTGAACTGTTGATGTTACACTTTGTCAAAAGTTGAATGCAGCTTTGAGATCTTGCAACTGTAATGTAGGCATCTGCCGTTGTGTTTAAGCTTGTTTTTCTTCTTTTTTAATCCTCTACATTAAAATCTAGATAAATCACTAAACTTACTGTTCATTTACTTGTCTACTAAATATCAGTGTTAATTGTGGAACTTGAACTGAATTTTAGCTCTTAATCATGATGTATTATCTGTAAGAAGCTGTATTATTTCCAAGCTGTTACAGACCAGTTGGACCTCCAGGGTGTTTGAACTGAATCTGAAGTTCTAAATATTTTTTCTGAAGTTTTTTTTCCCCCACAAATCTTTGCTTTTGACCCCATAAATGTTTCCCTCTGTAATTCCAAAGTATTTCTCATCCCTTAGTCTTAGTTTTGGTCTTGGTTTATGAAGTTTGCCGCAAAAATTGTGAATTCTTGTTGACCTTACATAAAGGAGGCCGCAGGGTCATTCTTCCTCAAGTAGGTTTACAAATTATCGTGATCACAGGTGCTGTTATTTTGAGGTAAACAACAGAAAAAGCAGATCTCTCTCTCCTGATCCTGAGTGAATGATATTTTGTTGTCCTCACAGCGGATATTTGGAGAAGCTTCTGAGAAGAACCTCTACCTCTCTCAGCTCATCATCCTGGACACTCTGGGGAAGTGTTTGGCTGGGGTGAGTCCAAACTCCATGCTCTCTCATTTACAACAACAAAAAAAGAAAGTTTGTAAAAGATTAATTCTTTGAGATAAAATGAAAATCAGAGATCCATGACTTCATGACAAACCCTTGTGTGAGTTGTGCTCCCTTCCATTCATGTGCAAAGACTCAGTATCTCTGCTGCTCAGAGACACAAACCTCTGTTAAAGCACTTACCCAACATCAATCACTCCTCCTCCCCATCCTCATCCCCCTCCTCTCCGAGAGTCCCTCTGTGAACCAGCAGGCCCAGATTACATTTGCAGACGTTAACTGGGACCCAATGGGACCTGATCTCAGCTTCCTGTCCAGGTTTTTCGTTGTTAGTTTTAAGAAAGAGGACAGGTACTTTTCTGTGTCTGTGGTTTTTCAATTCATAAGAAAACTGCTTTAAGACACAGCGGACGCTCCAACATGATTCCACTTTGTGTGGGTTTTATAACATGAGCTGTGGTTGTAAATTTGATTGCACTGGAACCTTTAGAACTTAGATACCAAAATATTGATAAAACAACAAAACTGGACTTTGCACCACTTTATTGCGTTACAGAAGTCTGAACTCTGAAGAAACAAATTCATCCGAACTTCAATAGGAGTTTTTATTTAAGAAATGTTCAGATCATATTTCTACCTCCTGATACTGGTGCTGTATCAACCAAAAACCATCACTGTACAGAGTACTACTGTCCTGACACCAGTGCCAGTCTTGAGCAAGAAGTTTACACGTATGTGATTTAACTCATCAGCTGTGTTGTTTTCTCACATGATATGACTCAAAAACACGAAACCTCTGCATCCCGCCCACCCCTGCAAATAAATTATTGTGCTTTCTTTCCCAATTAGATTTTTGTCAGATCTAGGCTTATCCCCTTTCTCGCCGACCAAGTGACTGGAGGGTGTCAGCCTCATATGACTCCCTGAAAACCATGTTCGACAGAAATTATTTCACATTTATTTAGATTTTTTTGGTTTAGAACTGTTAAAATGGACTAAGTGATGGTTCAATTGGGCTTTGTGAAAAGTACTGCAACCAGTCAGTAGGGGGAGCATTGACTTTACTTTGGCAGAGCTCGTGTGTCAATTTTTTTAAATACAAACTCTGATTTTAAAACCATGTTGTTGTTTTTTTTCTCTTTCTTAGCAATCCAAGGACTGCCTGCGTCTAGACGAGACGATGCTGGTCAAACAGCTACTTCCAGAGATCTGCCATTTCATCCACACATACCGGGAGGGGCACCAGCATGCCGCCGAGCTCCGGGTCTCCGCCTCAGCTGTCCTCTTTTCTCTGAGCTGCAACAACTTCAACGCTGTCTTCAGTCGAATCTCCACCAGGTAACCACTCGTTTTAAACTCGTCTTAAATGAAGTGTTATTGTAAGGGTTACGATGAAGTTTGGTTTCTGGGTCTGTTTGAGTGCATTCGAAACAGCAGAGTCATGTGTGCTTCTGTGTTTCTTTAGGCTGCAGGAGTTGACAGTTTGCCCTGAGGACAACGTGGATGTTCACGACATTGAGCTGATGCAGTACATTAACGTGGACTGCTCCAAGCTGAAGAGGCTGCTGCAAGGTCAGCTCGTGTTAAAATCACAAGTTTATTTTATTACAGTCGACTACTAAAATCTAAGACAGACAAACTTTGAGATGGTTTTAGTTTCATATTACAAGTTCATGCACATTTCCCCACACATAAACAAGTGTGAATAAAGATAGGTAAAGAGCTCAGATACGCTTCAGATGGGTCACATGTGATTTCTAAGCTATCTTTAGTTTGTTCTTTACACTCAAAATAAGATCAAGTTTGGATTGGGGTTTGCAATGTGTTTGTACTTTGTTTTTCCAGAAACTGTGCTGAAGTTCAGAGCTCTGAAGAAACCTGCCCAGCTCGCCGTCATCAACAGTTTAGAGAAGGTATATGAGCTAAACTTTAACATTAATTCATAAATAATAGTTTTTGAAAATATGGCAGTAATATGCAATGAAAGTTTGTCTTAAGTTCCGCAGAGGTCATGTGTTTCTTTTTTTTTCTTACTGTTCTCAGGCGTTTTGGAACTGGGTGGAGAATTACCCTGACGAGTTCACTATGCTATACCAGAGACCGCAGGCTGACATGGCTGGTATGAGTGCACTGAAAACACATTCAATGCAGTAGTCTGACTATTGTGTGTATGCAGATATTCAGTTTACAATGCATGTTTCTGATTTAATTTAGACTTTGTCTGCTTTGCTCCCATAGTCAGCTTCCTAGAATCATAACCACAACATAAAAAAGAAATATACACTTGATAAAAAATACAGATCTTCTTAATAACTAAATGTGACTCTTTATTAAGTCACAGGATATGGTGTTTTTTTTTTAATTTTGCTCATTGCTCTTGTTGCGTGAGGAGCATGTATGCATGTATAACTTTAATTTATTGTTGAACCTAGTTTAACCAGCTAGTTGTAAAGAGATGAAATTGATTCAAGTATCCCCCAGTGGGACGTTGTTTTTATAATCCTGCTAACAGAGACTAAGTTAGCTTAGCCTAAGTTTGGTTAAAGTTTGCAACTAAAAGCATGGACAGAAATAGAAAAATGAATTAAAAAAAAAAGGCAGGTTTAATTTATTTTTTACTGCACTCTGTTATTTTAAATTTTTGACAACAGGACAGTTTGTAAGATAAAGTTTTGGTGTGTGTGCAGAAGCTGCAGAGAAGCTGTTCGACCTGGTGGACAGCTTTGCAGAAAGCGCAAAGAGGAAGGCAGCCGTGTGGCCTCTACAGATCATCCTCCTCATCCTCTGTCCAGAGATCACACACACCATCTCCAAAGACACAGTGGACGACAGCAAGGCCAACAAGGTGGATATTATGAACACACTTACACACACTTTTAAACTTAACACACACTGAAAGCAGAGGTCGACTCCGGGTTTCTCACTCTCTCTCCTCTCTGCTCTTGTCTGGTTCCAGAAACTGTTCCTGGACAGTCTTCGTAAAGCTTTATCAGGTCAGGGAGGAAGTAAACAGCTGATGGAGAGCGCCGCCATCGCCTGTGTCAAACTGTGCAAAGCTTGTACCTACATCAACTGGGAGGATCACTCCACTATCTTCCACCTCGTCAAGTCCATCATCATGGATCTGAAGGTCTGAACTCTGGCTCTTGATAAATTTTGATCTCTTTGTGTTGTGCTTTTCCCTTCAGTTTGTCTTCTGTACCCGCTTTAATTGACCTCAATTGACTTAACTAACCTCAATATGTTGCCCAAGTGTGAAAGATAAAGACAAGATTATCTCGATCTTTTTAATGTTTTCTATGTGAATAGGAAAAGTTGAAACATAAGGAGGAATTAAATAAAATCAAAACTAAATGTGTGTTTTTGATGCACAACTTGATGCACATAAAATAAGGACATGTATATTGTGTCATTATATTGTGTCAGCGCTTTAGCTAACACTGGTTGTATTAAATGTGCTTTGTAAACAAACTTGAGATGATTTGATCTGACAAAGAATTCTCCACCTTTCATACAGTATACAGTGCCCATATCTGCTTGTTCTTTCTTAAGTACTCTGCAGAAATTTTAGGCTAAAATTAATCAATTTGTCAAAGAAAGTATATTTTCTGTCTGCAACAACTCATACAAGAGAATAAATCATTAGTCATTATTTCTTTCTGTAATTCTGATGTTAACCTCACCAGCAAAGTTCTCTCAGTTGACCTGAAGAGGCTCTTGACCTCTTTTGTTTCTCCAGGCTTTGCTGTTCAATCCGGCCAAACCATTCTGGAGAGGAACAGGCAGCCAGAACGCCGACGTAGAGCTGATGATGGACTGCTTTGTCTCCTGTTTCCGTATCAATCCTCACAACAACCAGCACTTTAAGGTGGTGATGCATGTTTGCTTTCATTTGTCATGATACAGCTTTTTTTCTTTAAGATACTTATGTGAGTTTTTCATTGTTCCGCAGGTCTGCTTGGCCTCTTCCTCCCCTTCCACCTTCCACTTCGTCCTGGTCAACTCTCTGCACAGAATAATCACTAATGTGAGTCTTCAGGACTTCTCACACATCAGAAACGATGGTTATGATAGTTTTGTGTCTTTAAATCTTTCATGTCAGTCTGTGTTGTCTCCTCAGTCTCACCTGGACTGGTGGCCGAAGATCGACGCAGTGTACTGCTACTCTGGAGAGCTGCGCTTCATGTTCTCAGACACCCTGAACAGAGTGATCCAAGGAGCTGGGACCCATGCTCCTCTACGTATGACCCCGGTGAGACCACAAGCATTCCTGGACATCTTCTGCCCCTGATAATCATACCCCCTGAATTGTATCATGCGTTGTGCAATGTGCAGATGGCGTGCCTGAATAAAATCCCTCTAACATCTTCCTGCTTATACAGAGTCTGACATTCAAAGGGAAGATGAGCACCAGCCTGAAGTTCAAAGAAAAAGCCACAGACCTGGACACTCGAAGTTACAAGTGCCTCCTCCTCGCTTTAGTCAAACTCATCCATGCTGACCCCAAACTCATGCTGCATGTGAGTCTGACACAACAGCTACATCAGACCAATGCAAAAATGCCCTTTTGTTATACAGGTGTCAATCTTCTGGAACAAAAGATTTATGACTCTTGATGTGTTTGTTTGTGTGTCAGAACCCAGTGAAGCAAGCTCCAGAGATGCAGAGCAGCACAGCGGAGCTCATCACTGGCCTAGTGCAGCTTGTTCCTCTAACCAACACCACCCAGCTGTCACAGGAAGCCATGGAGGTCAGACATGGAAATGAAAACACCACCAACCCTTTTACAGATACTGAATTCAGAATTTTTCACTTTGATTTTTCACTGAACTCTGTTTCTGTCTTACTCCTCCTTCTTGGTTCCCCCTTCCAGGCTTTGTTAGTTTTGCACCAGCCTGAGACCATCGAGCTGTGGAACCCAGAGGCCCCCATAGAGACATTCTGGGACATCAGGTACAAAATAATCCTCTAAATTGTCCATAGATGCTGATGCCTACCTACAGTCCTCAGTTGACTGAAAACATTTTTTCTTTTGGCCCCTCATTTAAATATTTTGTGCAATTTTTTTTCAAATTCAGATGAACACAATCAGTGTGAGGAAAGAGGTTTTATTGGCTGGTTTAGGACAAGGAATCCTGGAGAGTACTTTGGGTTAGATTGCTGGATAACATTGTTTATCTAGTTTTGTATGTTGTACCCCCCAAAAAAATAAATAAATAAGATATATAATGATATATAATAATAATAATTAAATAACATTATAATAATAAGTTACCCTGTGATGCCACTTGCAATTTTAACTCAATACCCTGGTGGCTTTGAGGAAACAGTGTGGATGGCATTTTGTTCAATCAGTATTTATCAAGTTTTTCGTATCTAATGTGTTTTTTCCAAGCAGTTATTTCTGTTTCTTGTCCTGAATGTGAACAAAAATAAATTTCATTGGTGCTAAGATTCCCCCAGGATAGTAACAATCTCTGTTTTTTTCTCCTATCCAGCTCTCAGGTTCTGTTCCTGATCTGCCGTAAACTGATCAGTCAGCAGATGGTCAACGGGACAGAAGTCCTCAAGTGGCTGCGGGAGATCCTGATCTGCAGGAACAAGTTCCTGCTAAAGAATAAGGTAATGTCCCGAATTAGGAGTTGTAGAACTAGACTGTGTTCAAAAGTAATCTGGATAAAACACCCAGTTATGATTGTGGAGAACTTCTGAGTAAGATTTGGATCCAAAAGAAGGATTGTTGTGATCCCAGCAGAAGGATAGATTCAGACTGGATTACAGACTAAATGGAAGAGAACGTTTACATCAGTAAAGTAATAAAGTACTTTTCAGATTTGATTCATACTTAAGACACTTATTTATATTTATATTATTCCAATTTTTTTTTTAAATTTGGGAGTTTTGCATTAGATTAACAGGATTTTGCTCTGGATAGTTCTGGAGAGTTAATTTTTTAAAATTGTGAATTGATCTTTTTATAATCTGAATTGTTCCAGAAATTGAATCTATTTATATTCTGGATTATTCTAATCCAAGAGTATGCCCTGGTTTATTTCAGGGGTTTTGTTCCGCATTTTTCTTTTTGGGTAGTTAAAACACTGTAATCTGGATTATTTCAGGAGTGTGCCACGATGGGTGCAGGAATCCCAATTTGTCGTCAGGCTCAGGCAAAGCTGGAAGTGAGTCTCTACATGTTCCTCTGGAGTCCAGACACCGAGGCTGTGCTGGTGGCCATGTCCTGTTTCCGTCACCTCTGCGAAGAAGCTGACATCCGCAGTGCTGCTGACGAAGTCTCCGTCCAGACCATCCTGCCAAACTACGCCACCTTCAGCGAGCTGGCCTCTGTTAGCAACATAATGGGGACAGGTTGGTGCTGCTGAGGGACACCTGAAACGATTGGTCTGTCAGTGCAGGAGTCCTTCTCTTATTTCACATCGATCATTATGTTTAAATATGTTCAAGGTCTGTGGCCAGGTCAAATTAATCATCAGGCTGTTTAAGACTTACTAACTGCAGAGATAATTTTATTAACTGCCAACTTTAAGGGAGTTTAAAACTATTTATATCACCTTTAAAAGAGTTTGATTATTTTTCTATAATAAACTGGAGTGATATTTGTCCCAGCTTGCTAAATTAGAATATTTACTGGTTCTTTTCTTTTCTACAACATTAGACTGAATGTTGTCGGAGTGTGGACAAAAACAGACATTAAGGGATGACCCCTTAGATTTAAGAAGGATACAAATGACCCCTTTTAGCTATTTTGTGCGACCAAAGAAGCCATCAATAAATCAAGAAAACTACAGACAGATATAACTCCAGTCAAAATAACCTTTTTTGTAGCCCTGCATGCAGCCAAAGATTTTCCTTTATGTCTTTCAGTCATAAGTTAAAGCCATCAGTTGACTGGTTGTTGTTTGTAAGTGATTTATTTATTTTTTTTATAGTGTATAAATCCTTCCTGTGGAAAATATGATAAACATTCTAACATGTTGTTGTTGTTTCTACAGGCCGCTCCACCCTGCAAAAAAGAGTGATGGCCTTACTGAGGAGGATAGAGCACCCCACTCCTGGAAACATCGAGGTAACATTCACTCCATAATGACCTTTTTGAACTGAAAGTTAGGATTGTAGAAGAATTACACTCATACTGTACAAAATATTTTTACTGTCAAATTTAATCTTCTAATAGGAGAAAAAATGTCAAATATGTGTCACACATACTTCTGTAGCTAAAATGTTTTGTATTTTTTAAATTGGCTTTCTTTTTTATTCTGTACTAAATTCTTCAATGTTTTCTCCTACAGGCTTGGGAGGACACTTTCACTAAATGGGATCAAGTCACCAAACAGATTCTCAACTTTCCCAAAAACAAAGCAGATGATGGGCAGGTAAGCTGAGAGAAAGACCCAAATGTTTTTGTGTTTCACAATCAAGTCCATCAGCAGACTGTACTCATGGTACAGGTTTTTAAATTAAATTCCTATTTACATCAAAACTCAAACAAGCTGTTAGTTTTCATGACTGGGCTAGGGGCATTTTGATGATTTCTGATACTATACTGTTTTTACAGGACTTTTACACTTTTACACTTGATTGTTTGTTTTATCTTGTTGAACTATTTTATTCTCTTGATAAATTGAGCTTTTCTTGTAAAGAAAAATTTTGTTTTTTTTTGTGATAAACTTAACTTTTCGGAGCTCGGTTAGAGTTGCCCTCTCTAGTTTTTCATCTTTTAGAGTAAGTTTTAATGACAGCTGGACCCTATCATTAAAAGTATTGGGTTAAAGTATCATAAATAAAATCCAAAGTCTTGATAGTTGAGTGATAAATTAGATCTCCAGCCTGTGATCGAATTCAAGTGGTGGAAGAGGTCAGACCCTGAACTTTTCAATACCACAGAGTAAAACACTCCACTGAGAGATGGTTGATAAACTCTGTTAGGTACAGTTTCTGCTGTTCATTGTCTCTTTCTCTGTCCTCCCTGCAGCAGGAGTGGATCAACATGACTGGCTTCCTCTGTGCTCTGGGTGGTGTCTGTCTCCAGCAACGCAGCACCCCTGGCCCTGCCACCTACAGCCCCCCCATGGGTCCCATGAGTGAACGCAAGCACTCCATGATCTCCATGGGCCCCTGTGATGTGTCCAACCCAATCGGCTCCTCATGCTCCTCCTCAGCCTCCAGCGAGACACCTGTCAGCCGCTTCCTGGACCGCCTGCTTGCCCTACTTGTCTGCGGACATGACCGGGTCGGCCTCCACGTCCGCACTAATGTCAAAGATCTGCTGGGGCTGGAGCTGAGCCCAGCTCTCTACCCCATGCTCTTTAACAAGCTGAGGAACAGTATTGGAAAGTTTTTCGACACACAGGGGCCGGTGAGTCAGACCAAGTATTCTGCATACTCATAGTTGTAAAACAGAGATGTTTGTAAAATAGGGACTTTATTCATGAAGTCTTAACCTGGGTGTTGAAAGCAGCTGGGGAAGTTTGGGTCAGATGTTAACCAGCAGTTTTTTGGGCAGTTTGTAAATTCAGCTGGAAATAAGACTTATTTCTGACCTGGGCCTTTTCAAATCTCGATTGAAAACTATTTATTTATGCTGGCTTTAAATACCCCGTAGCATGGTGACACTTAAATGTATTGCATTGTATCTTGTTCTTTTTTATTGCTCCTATTGTTTTTATCTATTCATTTTTACTATGTATTGTAAAGCACTTTGGTTCACCGAAAGGGTTGTTATAAAGGGCTGTATAAATAAAGAACGTTTACATTTACATTAGTTATACTTTTGTGTTTTATATTTTTGTGGTTCTCATGTCTGTAGGTTCCTATCAATGACACCAACACCCAGTTTGTGGAGCAGACCATCGCCATCATGAAGAACCTTCTGGATAACCACACAGAGGGCAGCTCTGAACACCTGGGACAGGCCAGCATTGAGACCATGATGCTCAACCTGGTCAGGTCAGTCCTCGCCTGTGGACCATCACCTGACATGGTGGAAAGAAAACTTTTTATTGTTGTTTGAACTGTTGTGTCTTGCACTCTGACCTTCAGGTTGTTTGAAAACTCTTGTTTTTAAAGGTGATTATAAATTGATGTTTTATTATCAGGTATGTGCGCATCCTGGGAAACGTGGTCCATGCGATCCAGATTAAGACCAAACTGTGTCAGCTGGTGGAGGTGATGATGGAGCGACGAGACGACCTGTCCTTCTGTCAGGAGATGAAGTTCAGGTTAGTGACAGTAGCTTATTGTTTGATAAACATACAAGAGCTCAGTGATTAATAGACTTAAACAATTAATTTGAATATATAGTTTAGACCTCCTGCCAGTATTTTGATCTTCAAAGGTAGTGAGAAGCAGGGTTAAGTATTGAGATCAAGCGTTATTAGTGAACTCATTTTTATAACACGTAATTACAAAGTGCTTTGCTAAACCCAAGAAAATTTTTTTTACAAGAAATCAAGAACAAGAAATCAGCATTAGAGAAAGATTAATCACAGACAGACCAGACTTGAAGAAACAAAAATATGAGAATAAGATCTCTCCTTCAAAATTTGCCAGAAATTAGCCAGAATAAATTGAAATAGTTTGTAAGTTAAACTCAGGTTTGTTTTAAAAGTCACTGCAGGAGCCTTTTCTTATCATTTACTGTTATCTCGGCTGATTTTTAGAGTCTCACTCCTGGTGTTTTTTTTTTTTTTTGCAGGAACAAGATGGTGGAGTATCTGACCGACTGGGTGATGGGAACCTCCAACCAGGCTGCTGATGACGACATCAAGTGTCTGACCAGGTGCAGCTTCTTTGTATTCTTCCAGTGAATTTAATGTCATGGACCAAGAAGCCCCCCTTCACTCTTACCTCCTTTTCATGTATGTGTGTGCAGGGACCTGGACCAGGCCAGTATGGAGGCTGTGGTGTCTCTGTTAGCTGGTCTTCCTTTGCAGCCAGAGGAAGGGGATGGAGTCGAACTGATGGAGGCTAAGTCTCAGCTGTTCCTCAAGTAAGAACAAAACCTGTACTCCTCCCAGTAACACATTCATCAGACCCCAAAGATTTTTCCAGGAGTTACAGCTGCAGTGGTCTCTGTTCTTCATCATTTCTGTGTGATTTGGAGAAGTAAATCTGTGTAATGAGCTGCAGGGAATACTGTCACCTCTTTATGAAGATGATCTGACACTATTTTAGACAATACTGACACTGTTGATGTGCATGCAGCCTCTTTCCCTCACCATCTTTTACCATTGTGGCCATCATTTATAGCTTGCATCCAGCTTTTCAGCTTTCATCCACCAGGTGGTGTCCTCACCAAGTTAGAAGAGTTTACTCTCAGATGGGAAAGAAGTGCAGCTTTTACAGTTTGAGGAATCATAGTCAGAGAAAAATGAGGAATGATAAATGTGTCAAAATGTGTATAAAATAAAAGATGGTAGGAAACTCCTCAAATCTTTCACTGATAAATTCTGTTGTGTTATTTGGCTTGCAGGTACTTCACCCTCTTCATGAACCTCCTGAATGACTGCAGCGAGGTGGAGGATGAGGGACAGGCAGTTGGAGGACGCAAGAGAGGGATGTCCCGTCGTCTCGCCTCCCTTCGTCACTGCACTGTCCTTGCCATGTCCAACCTGCTCAACGCCAACGTGGACAGTGGCCTCATGCACTCTATAGGTAAGTCAGCATCAAACACCACTAATGCACCCTCTGAGATAAGTTTTTTTTTTTCCGTTCACCAGAGTTCCCGTGTCCCTCCTCTTTCAGGTCTAGGCTACCACAAAGACCTGCAAACCAGAGCCACTTTCATGGAGGTGCTGACCAAGATCCTGCAGCAGGGGACTGAGTTTGACACCTTGGCAGAGACGGTGCTGGCTGACCGCTTTGAGAGGCTGGTGGAGCTTGTCACCATGATGGGGGACCAGGGGGAGCTGCCCATCGCCATGGCACTTGCCAATGTTGTTCCTGGGTCTCAATGGGTAGGTACCTAATAGACTACCAAAATTTATACTTTGATATGATACAAGTGAAATCAGTTGGTATTAGTGCCTATTCTGATATCACGGCAACAAAACTTAAATTCCTGGGCAACTTAATCATATTCAGTGTATCTAAAGAACAGAAAATTAACAGAAAAGTACCTCATCTGGATCTAGACTATTTTTAGTGAAATTACAGTTTGTACTCAGACTAGCAGAGGACATACATTATTTTAAGTAGCTCTTTGCACAGGTGCATTGAAACAAACAAGGCATGCAATAAAAAAACTACATGTGCAGACACTTGTACAGTTGTCCCACTCAGTCTGAACAAACAGCCCTCTCTCTAAAAACTAAAACAGACATTTGGAAGTTGTTAAAATTTTAAGAAAAAAAACTCGAACACGAAATCAGAGACACATAAAGTTTTTTTCAGTCCCGGTTTGATTCCATCCATTTTCAAAAACATTGGATAAAAAACAAAAAACAGTGCTCTACTTGTTGTGAAGAGATGCCTCTGTGTTAAAGTGTTTTTTAAATTTTTTTTATGTTTTGTTAGGATGAGCTGGCCCGAGTCCTGGTAACGCTGTTTGACTCCCGTCACCTGCTCTACCAGCTGCTCTGGAACATGTTCTCCAAAGAGGTAGAGCTGGCCGACTCCATGCAGACTCTGTTCAGAGGAAACAGCCTGGCCAGCAAGATCATGACCTTCTGTTTTAAGGTAAAAACACTCCTGGATGATGTGACATACTTGCCCACAGGATGTGTTGTAGGTGTGTTACTGACTGTAATTGATGCGACCAGGTGTACGGGGCGGCGTACCTGCAGAAGCTGCTGGAGCCATTACTTCGAGGAGTTATAGCCACACCTGAACACTTCAGCTTTGAAGTGGACCCCACAAGGTGAGTACCTGCATCTCTAATCAGGTTGTCTCTGGTTTGAGCTGACCTATAGTTTTTTTAATGTTTTCTATTTGTAATATTGACAAGGCATTGAAATTTAGGAAAAAACTCTTCATGGTGACATTTAAGAACACTGATCTTAAAAATGCGTATGATATCATATTCAACAGTTTTGCCTGCAGTGCAAATGAAAAACCCCGCCATGCCCACACAGCTGTTTTTTTTTATCCCACCATCATCAGATATGTGCTCATTTGGATTCAGTCATTCTTGTTTTGGGTCTCTGTGCTGCCCCTCAGTCTCTCAGTCTCATCTCTGTATCAAGCAGATTCACCTCTCATTCTCCTTTTCACAGATTTTGGCAGGTGTGCTGCGAAAACTGTCTGTCAACTACATCCCATCTGCTTAGCTAATATAAACACACTACAGTAGCTGAGTACCTTAACTAGCATGAGTTGGCCAATGTGCTTGTGATAGTAAACCAAAACAGAGCCGAGAATAATAATTTGTTGAATACATTTATTTCATCAGATGAACTATGTTTTATATGTTGGGGTTATAAGTATAAGTATTGAAAACTCAAAAAAATGTTACAGAAATGACACTTTAACATCATATTTTTCATATTCTCTCATGGTTGTATTTGACCTATACAGGAAATTACCAACAAAGAGCCTAGTTTTGCACAAGAAATAATCTAAAATGTCAGCTTGCATGCTTGACCTCTATTGTCTTCTTGCCTCCACAACTGAAATATTCTCTGGAGCAAACACTGACTCTATTTCCTGAGTTGTTGCCCTTGTTTATCACATCCCTTAATAATGCTGCCAGTGGGGAGACACTTGTCTGCTGAAGGTCTGTTCTCTCATGGTTAGAGACTGAAAACGCCTCTGTGGACTTCTCTGCTTTGTCTCTTCAGGCTGGAGCAGGGGGAGAACCTGGAGGAGAACCAGAGGAACCTGCTGCAGATCACTGAGCGCTTCTTTCAGGCCATCATCGGCTCTTCCAGCGAATTCCCCCCTCAGCTTCGCAGCGTCTGCCACTGTCTCTACCAGGTACAACCCCATCTCACACCACGCCCCTCCCCAGCTGCTCACTCACCAGCCTCTCTGCCCTCACCCGAGTGTGTGTGTGTGTGTGTGGGGTGTGTTTGTGTGTGTGCGTGTGGAGTGTCACTCACACATTTCTCCACTCTGAAGCCGCTGACGCTGCTCCACTCTCTGCACTCACCTTAACGCACTCTGCTGGAGCCATCAACAGTGGCGCCTTCTGTTACATCATAACCTTGTTAGGAAAGTGGTTTACTTATAGATATTTAACACATTTGAGCATCACAGGACTCTGATCTTGAGCAGGATCTTGTTTTTCCAGCTTTTGTCAATAAGGATCCCAACACCCCAAGTTTGAAAGGAGGGAATACACACAAGCTCTGTAGGGTAATACACAGACTGAGATGTGCATGTATAATAGTGCAGCAGTTTCAAATTTAAAATATAGACCTACTTACTGTTTGATGCTGCCAATAAAGCTTATAAATCACACTGATGTTATTTAGAACAATATGGTTTTGATGATCCTGTAATAAAAACCAACCCCTCCTTCTTGGAGATCTAAAATAGTGAATCTCTTTCACAATACTGAAAGAAAACTTAATCTAGAGCAACGCAACTGCCCTTCTTATGCATAATCTCGCATTTAAGTTTCACCATTACCTTATAATTTATGCTTTATGCTTTTACATCGAACACACAGTCCAGTCATTACTTTGTTGCAGCGTCTGAGTTTGAAGAAGAAAAAGTGCAACATTTAAACAGCGTAAGCTTTACATATGCATATCGCAGCTCTTTATCCCCTTTAGACCGCTCCATAATTCAATTACGGTTCTACTACTACATCTAATTCCTCCTCAGCAGTAGGATGTTAAAGGACCTCAAACCTGACAACCTTTAACATAGACAGTATGGTCTTAAACAAACCTCATATAAAAGGCTACAGAGTTTTCTTAAAAATTAATTGATATCTGCATTACATTTACATTAATCACAACACAAATATTTTATTGACAGGGTTCCTACGCAAGTATGGAACAGTATGGAAGTAGTTTGATCAATTTCCAGGTCTTAAAAAGTATGAAAAAAAATTATGTTTCCAGACTATTACCACAATTCAAAAATACTGTTTTCTATATTAGAAAAGTAGGTATTTCCAAAAATAATTCTAAAAAGTAGGGTATGGAAATTCTAACTGTGTAGGAACCCTGTATGGAGAGCAAATTTTGAATCCTTTGACAACACTATAAAAAGAAATGCTTCAGAAATGCTTTGAGTGTTACTCTATAAAACTTTAGAGAACAAGAGCAGGTAAAATCCTTAGGCCCCCAGGTTGCAACACTGAGAAGAAAGAAACAGATAGTTGGAGCTGAGCATTAAGACCCAGCAGGCTGTGAACTTGTTTAAAAACAAAGGAGTCGAGTCCTTGTACATCTTGTCAGACATTTGGCAGCCCAAATGCTGCAACTGCTGTAAACATTGACAAATGACACTGCAGCTGCCAGACCAATTTACAAGTTTCCAACAGTAAATATTTTTAGAAAAGGGGGTTTGACACTAATGGAAAGATTCATGTCTGAAAAATAATGTCCAATACCTGTGAGTAGAGGCTGATATAATAAAGAAAATCCAAAGACATGTGCAGTCATGCTGATGATAGATGAGGCTGGAAAAACAAGACTTTTATTGAAGGAAAAGACCATCCAAAAAGGTAAGCTGTTTCAATGCAAGACAGGTTTTTTTTAAATTAAAATCTGAAAGTAACATTTTTCTGCACCCCACTGTGAAAGATTTAACATCAGACAGGTTAGTGATAAAAAAATAAATCCAAGCTGTTATCGCACCCAATCCTACTCTCTCGCAGTCATGCTCATCCTGTGTCTGCACATTCAGCTCATTGTCATTGTGGTCTGAGAAGCCCTTCTCTTACATGCACTCCTGAAAACAGTCCAGGAAATCTCAGGACAGTCTGCCCATTACAATGCTTTTGTCTTTTATGGTGTCATCTTTACTGTTAGAGGTTAAAAGAGACAGGATATGATGTAATAAGGACATTTAATGTATATAAGATATCCAAGATGGCTAATGAAGAAAAATGGCAGTACTATGAGTAATTGGTTTGTAAATGGATAGGAAAGAGGAGAAGTGATGCTGATCATTTGATACAGATGACATCACTCAGCAAACTTACTCAGGCTGAATTTCCCTGTTTATTACCAGCTGCTTTCAGTAAAACTTTGTTGGACCATGAATCCCGGTGTTTCTCCAGAGCTCTGTGGGCTACTAGTGAAAACCACACTGCAGAATAAGTCACTGTATAGAAAAAAAAGATAAAAATGAACCAAGTGATCACCACATAGATCCACAGAATAAAACGTATGTGTCTCCTGATGGTGTCAACCAAATCACAAGGCGATCATGCATTATAGTGGGCCGGTCACAGATATATAGGACAGAGGGCTTTATTGAATGGGTGACAGAGCAAGATGAAAATACAGTCAGATTATTTCTGATCATCTTCTTCACAAATCATCTTCACTCATCCATCCGACCAAAAATAAATGCATTTTCCCATACAGAATAAACACACTCCATCAGTATTTATGCCAGTTTTTTTTTTTTTTTTTTACCAGGGTCCATTAAGGTGAGTTAACTCCTGAAGTTAAGGCAAATGGTCAGCTTTGTAAAAGAGACCTCGACCTTTATAGGTTTTGTTTGGCTAAATAAAGGTTAGATAAATAAATAGATAAACCAGGTTTAAATTGTCTTAAAGAGGAACAATTGAGCTTGTTTAGTCTTGAAAAAAAATCCACTCTGATAACTGCAACCGGTATCTCCCATATCTCACTCTGTTCATAAACATGAAACATCATAATGTTGCAGCAACATGGAAGGAAAAAAATGTATCATTCATTTCTGTCTGCAAACTCACCCCTTCTTTAATTGGGATGAGTGTCAATAACAGGAAGGAAGAAAAGTTCTGCCAAACATAGATGGGGTTGTATTATTTATCCGGTCTTCACTTCACCCTTAAAGCCAACACCAGTGGTTAAAATCTCCTTGTCCCTCCTTTCACTCACTGGAGCAAACGTCTCCCAAGCCCTCTTCATGATCAGCATGTGGGGGGCTACAATGCCAGTGGTTGCACACTGTGGACTCACTAACCCTCCTACTCCCACTGTTCTGCAGAGGCGGAAGTTCAGTTTTATGTGTTCTCTAATTCATTAAGTTTTATAAGAAATGTGTCTTCCTGGTTTTGTTGCACAAACTTGACAGCCTGAAAGCATTCAGGTCCTCCTGTCTTTGCTGTGCCGCCACAGCAATCAGTAAACCTGATGCGCTTTGTTATAGGGAAAGTGAAAAATCAAGTGCAGGATGAATTAACATTGCCAACCTTCATTTGTCAAACCATGTAACTCCACCCTTTTACCTATACAGACCCTGTCTTTAATTTGGAGAGGTTTTTGTTTAAAGTTTTAGAGTGTGTAACCATGGGTTAGGTGTGATCACAACAAATCCACTTGTACCACCAGAACTCCCCACCAGATGATGTTGTAGTCCAAATACACACACTTATTACCCACTCAGTTCGAGTCAGTTTCACACTTGCTGATGCTACTGCTGCTGCTGCTGCCTTGCCCTCACTACAAAAACAGGAAGCTCTGTCTGCTCACAATCAACAACTGAATAAACACACTCAACAAGTATTGTATGATATTTGTATATTAATCAGAAGCCTTTACAGTTGTCCCTTTTTAGGTGGAGATCTGTGTGTTATCACAGAAGCTGCATTTTCTGTTCATTTACATCTTTGATTTATCATGCTTTCTCTTCGATTTCCTTTTGAAAATGTACACACACTCAAGAACACACTCACACATTCACTAATGCAGTTTGCTGCTGTCAAATCACGCCAGCGCATGCATGGACACGCTTCATGTCCCCTGAGCAGCGATGACAATCTCTCTAACCGCAGTTTTTTAATTTTTCTGTGTTTTACTGGATGTGAATGGTCAGGGCTGTGCAGTGTGTGTGTTTGTGTTTGTGTAGCCGGTGCTGTGACCATGATTGTGCTCATCTCTGTTCTGTAGGCTACTTGCCACTCTCTACTGAATAAAGCAACAGTAAAAGAAAAAAAGGAAAACAAAAAAGCAGTAAGTTTGGAGAATCTACTTTCCCTCAGACACTTTACCCCCTGAAGCAAAAAAAAGCTTTTTTTGCATTTTATTCATTTGGCTATTTGATTTCTTCATTTGGTTTATGATTTGGTGGAAATGTTTTATTCTTTTCTCCATACTCAACTTTTGTGTACAATCTCCCTCTGAAAATCATTGTACTAATATTGGCGCCATTTTAATGTATTTTCAATTAACAGTTTGCAGGAAACTGTGGCATTCTTTCTGATCTGTTTCTTTCTGTTTGCACTTCTCGAGACATGTCGTCAGAACATTTCATCATGTTTTCCCACCTTTTATAAACCTTACACACACACACACTTGCCTGACATGACTGGTGTTGGGATGAAATTTTCTGATGAACAGGTCTCCCTCTGTCATGGGTTGGTTTCTTTATTTCTCGCCATATTCAAGAAGAAATTCTTCAACTTGGAGAGTTTCTACGTTCACATTTCTTTTCTCATAATCACTGGCACTCAAACATAAAGAAGGTAGTCGTCAGCTAATAGATTGAGCGTAAAAACTTTTGCCTTCTTCTTGGTGCACATGGGTCCAAGTGGACTCAAATTTCTCACTTTCTGATATCTTAATCCTCCACCTGTGAAAGCTCAGTGGTAATACTGTCTCTATTAAAGCCAGTTGTCTTCATTTGCTGCAATTTTAGATGGATAATCATGGTATCCCAGAAAAGTAGGATGTTGTGTTCAAAAAACATTTTACTTCCCTTATTTTAACATAACTGAGGTAAGATGTGAAATTTAAATTAAATACATATTTCGAAGTAAGTCCTTCTACTGCTCTTTAATGCAAATTGATTGCAGTCTGTTTTTTATTTTTGTATCGGTCAGGGCTCTTCGACTTTTTAAGAAGATAAGTGGTTGTGAGTTATGGAATCACACAAACACAGTAATTCACTTTAAGTTTTACTTTCACTTGTGTTAAATGCTGAAACAGCATGAATGATCAAAGTATGACGTAACCTCTCAGACATGTTTATTAGTTTTTATTAGGACTAGTTGACAGCACTGGTTAAAAAATCACAAACTTCTACTTTTCCAAACTTTATCATAAATGTATTTTTTGAAAATTCAGAAATCTGAGGCCAAATGAACGCAAGTCATTATCAAAGCAAGTACCTTTGTCTTAATCCAGCTGCAAATTTGTAAAAACAATCTTTAGTAAAGATAGACTTTCAAAAGGTTTAAAATTTACTTCACATTATACCTATATATCCTGTGTAGCTGTTACTGTTTCTGCTGATAGCGTCACTGGTTCCTCTTATGTGCCAGTCAATGTTAATTGCAGCTGTAATGAAGAAAAGAAAAACTCTCTTTTCATGCAATTGTTGACATTTGGAAATTCCCAAGGATATATAATCAGTGTGGCTGAATATGTAAAAACACGACTGCGCTATAAATCAAGATGTAGAACAGCCTGCTATTTTGGGCTATCCTCTTGCTGTTTCAACTGATAGGATGAGTAAATATAGAGCGGATTTCACCCTAGTGTGTTAAACACAGAAGTAGGTACAGTGTGCAGCTCACTTAGCTTTTATGAACACATAAAACACACCAGTAAAACAAAAGATTCCAGTCTCTGTGAAGTACCAGCTCAGTCTAAGCACCTTGAAGATACCTCTGAGTTCTTAAGCTGAAGAGACAAAACAGACGTGGAGCTTAATATGTCCCTATCAGAAGTCTAAAAGCAAGGGGAGTTTTGGTGTTGTATAGTAGCCTATTCAGACAATGCAAAATTTTAAATGGCGTTAAATGACCGATTTTCTATGATTTGAATCTAGTAGTTTTACTCTTTAATAAGAGCCTTTGAGGAATGCTGAAATTGTTCCTATATCACGTGAAAATCTTTGATTTAGGGTTGACCAAACTGCAGACAGAATCTGTGTGTTTGAATCCTTAGATTATTGAGAAATTTGACATTTCTATTGAACTTGGAGTCAGTGGGACCCTTCGGAGTCAGTGCCAAAATAATCAAAATTTTAGTCATAAGGTGGGTTCAGTGTTCTCTCAGCAAAGCAATGGTCTCTGTTCATATTTTCCATAAACTTTAAACATGGAAGGGATGCCAATATTTGCTCGGGATTTTACGGTGATGCCTCCTACAGAGTTCAAACAGCAATCATTTGGAGGAATCTATCAGAAAACAGCGCTTTGCACAATATATTGAGGTTCATTTTCTCCAGTTTGAGGAAAGTCAATCAGGACCCTAAACTAGTGGACACAGATGAATGGCACATTACACCTCTACACTGAAATGCATGCTGAGAAAGTTGCAAATTGGCTACAAAGAAACTGAACAGGACAGATGCAAGGGTTGGGTGATACATTATTATAAATACAGGAGTGTTGCAGAGGTTACAGTTTTCAAAGTTGGAGCCATGAGTGTAACTCCAACTTTTGACCATTCGTTGTAAATTATTCCGTACTCAGCTTTTTCCAGCTGTTTCCACTTCTATCCACTGAACAAATCTCTTAAATACAATAACACAAAAAAGCCCAGAAAAGTAAAACAAGCATGGTCTCGCTCCTACTACAGATCTGAAAACCTGTGTTAGATAAAATCATCATCATGCAATAATGATTAAGAGTTCAGTTTTTTTTTTTTTTTGGAAGTGCTTCAATTTTTGGTTTGAATAATTATGTTAAAGCCTAATGAGCAACAAACTGTCCGATCTGTGACTGGTGGTTTTGGATTGTATCACACTCAGCTCTGCTATGCTGTAAAGCACGATGAGATGCTCATCTGCCGCTTTGCAGCACAACTCATGGCTCATCTGTCCGCCGCCTTTTCTGTATTTTATTTTGGGATGACTTCCAGTTTCCATTCCTCCATATCAGAGAGGAAATGGTTGGTTTCTTGTCTGGCTCTTTGTCTATTTTTTCTCTCTTGGGCTTTAACTGGAGTGAGAAGCTTTCTGTCTCGTGTTACAGCCCAAAATGAAAAGTCTCACGTCATACATCTTTCTCCTCCTGAACCTGACATCTTTTACTGTCACGGCTCGCCTTCCTCTGCTCTATCACACACATCTTATGATTTATTTTACTCATCACCCCCTCGTCTCTCTGATGTACTGATAGACATTTTCAATATTTTCTCATTCTCCCTCGTACAACGTGGCCCCTTGCTCAAACCTCTCTCTTCTGTTTCATCTGTTTCCCTTCTGTTCTCCACTCCTGTGTCCTTCCTTGCACCCTCACCCTCCACACACAGGTGGTGAGTCAGCGGTTCCCTCAGAACAGCATCGGTGCCGTGGGCAGCGCCATGTTCCTGAGATTCGTCAATCCAGCCATCGTGTCTCCGTATGAGGCTGGCATTTTGGACAAGAAGCCCCATCCTCGGATAGAGCGGGGACTTAAACTCATGTCAAAGGTGAGCAGAGAGACACCTGACTGCAGAAAAACTGAACCAGGATTTTGACTTGCTTCCCTAAAAAGTTCCAATTTCATTTAATTTCAGTCACCTTTCAAAAAAGACATGCTACATGTTGATTTTATCTTACCTTAATTGTAATTTTAGTTTTTTTCTTTAACATATCAATGCAGTTAAGAAGAAAAGCACAAGAAAAAAAGGAAAGCGCCGGATTATAAATGGATAACAGCAGAAAATAGACATGGTGACTCACAAAGACAGGCATAATCATGTTGTCACATTTTTGTGTAACCTTTGAAACAAATAGCATCATATGTGCCTTCCAAAGAAAACCTGACTAAAAGGCCTTATGCTTATATTTTTGGTTCTTCCAACATGCTTCAAAGGAAACCTTTTAGCTACTTCACAAGTAGTTATCGAGACTGAAAATTGTAGATATTATTGTTGGAAACGTGACTGCCGTATACTTAAAGATTTAATGCTTTTTAGTTGATCACAATCGTGCTTGAGAATCCTTGAGAGCCCACAGTTGCTCTGATCGTTTCTGAGCAAACATGTTCTCAAATATTTAACCTTGCCATGCCCTCAGCCATGCAGCAACATAGTCACTGTGACCTTGCTGTGATTTCTTTGTTAAGAAAGGGGGGGGGGGGTATTTTCTTTTAATCGTTTTTTATACTTTATCACAGTGGATCTTGAAGCAAAAGCTAGACTCTTTATAATTAAAGTTACATAATTATTATGAGGGGAACTTGGAAAAATTCAGAACTTTAACTTTGTCTGATTTTCATATTGAATTGATAAAGCAGCACAACATGCGCATCATGCTTACCTTACAGACTTATACATGATTCACTCGTGCACAACACAACCAAGGTATTCAGTTTGATTTGTCCAATCAAAAATATATTTTGTTAAGGTCAATCCGAGTTTTAGTTAGATCAGTGGGTTACAAAACAATTTTAAAGTTGAAGGGGAGCTTTTTTTTTCCTAAGAGAAAATAGTCGGCTGTGATGACAGCTTCTTGTTATTTTGGGTTCTCTGTCTTTTTAGAAAGTTTCACATGTCATATGAATCTTTCACTTGCATTCCGTCTTTTATTTAGAAACACCCTTGTTTTATTTGAATGTCTTAAGTTAACATTTTTAAAGGTCCGTTGGAGATTTCTTTGAAGTGAGGATCAGTTATTTTCCTGATGAAAATGCAAATAAAAAAAAAAGCAAAGGGAGTGATAAAAGCACTCAGTTTAGAGGTGAAAATTCATACATAATCAGCTGTTGTTTTAACTTTCCTGTTATTCTTGTTTACTTCAGATTCTGCAGAGCATCGCAAACCATGTCCTGTTTACTAAAGAGGAACACATGAGGCCTTTTAATGACTTTGTGAAGAGTAACTTTGATGCAGCTCGCAGGTAAGAAGATGCTGATGTCACTAACACTGCTCGTTTTGACTAACTCTAACTAAAGCATTGCCTGTGAAGGGGAGTGTCTTCTGTCAGTAAGTGTTATTTCTCCTTGCCAGGTTCTTCTTGGACATTGCGTCGGACTCTCCGCCCAGCGACTCAGTCAACCATAGCCTGTCCTTCATCAGTGATGGGAACGTGCTCGCTCTGCACCGCCTCCTGTGGAACAACCAGGAGAGGATTGGACAGTACCTTTCCAGTAACAGGTCAGGAGAGGACACTACAATAAGTACTCTAAGATAATATAACTCCAGGATCATGCGGTTTCTTATGATTTGACTTACAGGGACCACAAAGCTGTCGGCAGGAGACCTTTTGACAAGATGGCAACCCTGCTAGCATACCTTGGACCTCCTGAGCACAAGCCTGTGGCTGACACACACTGGTCCAGTCTCAACTTGACCAGCTCCAAGTTTGAAGAGTTCATGACCCGGTAAGAACTCTGAAGGCCTCAGAATTGATCTTCTGTCTTTAGTGCCAGTTATTAAACCCACAACATAAACAAATAAACACAGCTGCATTGCTTTTGTTCGGGAAAAATATATATTTGAAAAATGTTTGTCTCTAAAATCTCTCCAGGTTGGACAGAACGATGTCTTCAGTGACTGTTAAGATATCACAAATTGTGACACCTGTTCAATGTTTCATTTGCCAAAGAAAAGGAAGCATGATTATATTGTGATTCTTTTAGATCCATTTTTTGACTACATGATTCAGTTTTTACCACTGTAGCTTCAAGAGAAGCCCTTTAAAACTCTTCCTGAGTTCAGATCTACTTCCTCTTATGTGTCCTCTAAGCGGAAACCACCATGACTTTATACTGATCTTCATTTTGATACAGCTGTTGTTTGCAGCTGTTTTCTCAAGAGTAACGCAAATTTCACCCTTCATCTGTCTATCTGGAAATCTGAAATATAACACGATCTCTATTCATATACTGAGCTCTCACTGTGGTCTAATACATACTCTTCAAATCTGCTCCAGGGTTTATTGTTGTCAGTGTGTTTTTATAAAGCTCTGCCAGCAGAATATGAACAAGTTTTTAACCAGATTTTCCTGATTAGATTCTAAGTTTGTTTTAATGAACAAAAATTAATAAATAATTCCACTGTAATTAAACCCGCCTCATGTCTTAAACCCTGGTCCTAAGCCCTCTGTTCTGTCTTGCAGGCATCAGGTCCATGAGAAGGAGGAATTCAAAGCCTTAAAGACCCTCAACATTTTCTATCAAGCAGGAACATCCAAGACTGGGAACCCTGTCTTCTACTACGTGGCCCGAAGGTAGGACCTGGACCTGGATCTGGTCTGTCTGGCTTATGAATATATTGAAAGTTTGCTGCATGCCTCCTTTTTAGTTATTCAGATTTACACAGAATATTTGCAACAACACTGTGGTTGTTACAGTAAGCCTTTGTAGCATAATCAGAAATCAAAAATAACAATACTCCCAATAACACATTGATAAATCAGAAATCAAGGGGGAAATTGCTGAAGAAAAAATTAGAATTAGATCACGGATGAGAGAGCAAACAGCAGGCTTTATTGGGAGGTTATTTTCACTCTTGACATTCACGAAAAGGAAGCCAAACTTTCAGGCTGATTCATTCACGGTGAGTCATTTTTTTCCTACCACAGGAAAGCAAAGACAACTGTCATACCAACGAAAGTGTGAGGGAGGTTTCCATTTAAGCAGAATTAGATTTTTTTGCAGGGCCACAGTTGAACTTGACCACAAAGGTATAAACCCATTAAGGCTGTGATACTGCCTAAGTAAATACTTTTTAAAAGTCATACGTTCAGTCTAACAACCACAGTTCTAACAACAACATTCAGCATCATGACTGATTTCCTCCTATACTCGCTGATTATAATCATTGAAATGATCCTCTTACACAGTCCAGGATAGTTACACTCATAATTTCTCACATGTAGTGGGTCCATCTTTATGCAGTTTTGTGGAAGGATACTCAGTAAGTCCATAAATGATGACTTGCCAACTTGCATGTTTATTCACCTGTTTTTTATCTGCTGTAAAGTTCAAACTACATCTTAAAATCCCATTTAGAATCCTATAAGATCTTTATATTACATCACAGTATCAAGGTGATTAACTAAGATTGGAGGACAATAGAGTTGAGCCACAATTTTTTGGTGAAGTGCAGAGTATTTAACATAAACCTAAATAATCCTTAAATGCCGTTACATTGACTTTAGGAGTGGATTGTGGAGTCATTTAAGTTGATTAGGTCTAATTGGGGCTGCAGCCAACAAGTTATCAATTCAAGCTGTCAGTTTTAGAGACCCTTTATTTACTCACACTTCAACCACGGAATATCCTGAATAGCTGAACAACATATGATTGAAAACCTGAATCCTGTGAAATAAAAAAGCTTAAGGTAGTGGTGACAGGGCTGAAAACTTTGAAAGTTGAAGGTTGGAAATATTTCAATTCCAGGCTTCAGCTGCTAGAAATCACTAAAAAAAAACAGAAGTGAAACAAGAGACCTGTGTGGACTACAACAGGACAGAACAGAACAGCTAAATATTATTTAACCTACCAAAGTCTGAGCTGGGCACAGACCCGGTCCTACTTTCTGTGCTAATCTGGATGGAATCACTGGATTGGTCGATTATTAAAGATTTGAACTGAAGGGAAAGGATTCATCAATTTCAACATCTCTGTGCTGCACTTTTCTCTCTGAATCCTTGTGGTATTTCCTTCCACTTCACCTTTTCTGTTCTCTTTGTAGCATATCACAGGGCCCAGATATGTTTACAATAGATCAAGACTTATAGAGTCCAGTAGAGATCTTGACAAGTACTTGCCCACATCTTCCTCTTTTAAAAATTTGTATGTGGAAAAATCCAGATTTTGGTGTGCCTCTAATATCATCTGTGCACATTGTAAAGAAATTATTAACTCAATTTAAAAGAAATGATATATCTAAAGATTTTTTTTCCTAAAAAGGTAAGTCACACAAATCCTAATTCTCCAGATCTGACCACTTTGTTAACTGCTGTTCAGATTTCAGTGTCCTCCTTTGTATGAGATATCAGGTTGAACTGAGTATTAGTTATTAATCTGGCAGACAGCTTTTGAAGGAACTTTTTAACGGCCTAATAGTAAAAAAGGAGCACCAACATTATAATAAAAAACTTACCACATATAAACTTAAGTTTAAGATTAAATGCACTTTACTCTTTTTCAACATAATTAGTTTCTTGTGCTTTGGTTTCTGTTCTTTGTGTTTAATTTTCTGCAAACTATTCTCAACGTATTCATCGATTATTAAGTTTTCCATTGCAGACAAGAACACTTCTAGCTAATCAACAGAAGTCTTTTTTTATTATTATTTAACCAGCCCTTTATTGGTAACTTTCCAAGGGCTTTTGGAATGTAATGCATATTTTCAATCCTGTTTTGAATGGCTCAGCAGCACCACGGGAAGCACAAGCATTACTATTGCTATTGGAAAGCATTGAGCAAAGCGGACTGTCAGTGTGCAGGCATTATACTGGGAGTTGGGCATTGACATTAGCACTTCAGTTGAGCTCAGATATTTTGAGTAGTCTTGCAAGTTTCATATATGTGAACTTGACTCTGGAAGACATTTTCACATTGCATTTGTCAGAAAGACTGCGATAAACTTGATGACGACAGAAGGCAGTAACAGTCATAACAGTGTTTATAAGAGATCTGAAAGTGGGGATGCTATCTGGAGTTATGCGGTCTTACATTCATTGTCCAGAATAATCCGGTAAGTATCCAGTCAGAAGAAGAGTAACATGAGAAATACCATCGCAATGACATTTTGAGTCTCAACGGGGAGTCCTGACCCTTTATTTCTCGAGTTGGCCACTTTGGGCTTTTTTGTCGATGGCCGCGGGCGTGCTGTTGTGCTTGTGCGAGTGGAAAAACTGTCAAAACTGGTGGAAGGTGTCCAGACAAACACCATACGATCACTTGAATCACTCCCTCTTTGTGTACCCTGAAATATTTCTGTCTCGAAAAGTGCAGACTTTGCCTGGTAACTCGACGTGACCTCTGCAGTCCTTGCAGGTGATTGGCCATCATGCCCTTCACCTCTGCTATCCACCCAGAATGGTGGCTCTGTGAACAGCGCAGAGTGCCACTCCCTCCCTGGGGTTGCCACGTGGGTTTGCCCACAGATGGGTCTAGTGTGACAGGGGCAGCCTAAGACAGTTGCTCGAGTCTGCTCAGCCCATCTCAGGAGCTTAGTTATGTTTTCTTCTTCTTCACAAGCCCAAGGGTTATCCCCAAGAGTCATCAACTCCAGTCCCGCAAGTCTATCAAAGATCCCTTCAGGCAACCAGGAGAAGCGATTAGCATGCAAGTAATACTGAGCCAGCCTCGGCAACCGATCCAATGATCCAGGCAGTATCTGCGTGAGGAAGTTATGGGACAAATCAATGCTCTCCAGGTTGTGTGGCATGTTGGTGGGCACAGTCCAGAACCGGTTGTGACTGAGGTTGAGAGTCTGTAGGCTTGGCAGCGTATTGTTGATGAAGACCACCCTCTCCAGCTCATTGTCTGACAGATCAAGCATTTTCAGGTTCCAGTGGTATGCTGTGTCATTTTTGTCCAGTGAGCGTAAATGGTTCCCAGCCGCTCGGATGTCCCACAAAGACCTTGGCAAGGAGGGGGGCAGACTCTCCAGACGGTTGTAGGACAGGTCCAGTGTTCGCAGGTGGGCATAGTGGCTTAGCTGGGTGTCCAGATTCTGCAAGCTGTTAAAACATGATTTAAAGCAGGCAATAAATTGAATTTAGCTCTAAAGTGACTAATGTTTGAGATAGAGAGCCTCTGCTAATGATATGGGGAAACACAACAGCTATAAGTGATGCCACACTTAAGAGGAGGTGCATCTTTGGAGTTAAGTCCAGGCTTGGTAAGCAAATCTGCTGTTTTGTCAGCATGTCTGCAAGAAGTTTGCAAACTTAGATCCACTTACAATACCCTTGGACCAATCTTCACTCATGTCAAAATAGTCAGTTTGAAGGACAACTGCTGGAGACTTAAACAAATAAGCAATCTTGAAGTGCAGGCGTTAATTTGGTCCTAAAGCTGAGCCCAAAACCCCTGTTTCCATGTGAGTAGTTTGACTTAAAATTATGGCCAGCAAATGGAAAAAATGTCTTAGTTTTGATATCTTTTATTTATCATGGGCTGCACCTCAAGCCCAGATAACATCATGCATTGCGCTGGGCTGGCATACTTGTGATAAGATGATAGCTAATGTTTCCTTTTTCTTTAAAAACATACTTTGAGGGCTTTGTTGTGACTCTTTATAATGGACCAGGCAATAATGCTGAAATGGGTAACCACTCATTGTGTTTCATGGTCACCCTTCAAGCAGGTGGCATTGACACAGCTGTACAGTTAAAGTTTTTTCATGGTGTAGTTGAGATTCTTAAAAATATCTATTTGCTCATCTCTTTGGATCTTCAACAGCTAAAAAGTTGAAGTGGGTTCTTGGGGGCTATTTCAGAAGGAAAGGAGTTGTTTTCTTTCCGTGTCTCACAAAAAACTGCCTTGGCCCACAAAATATTATTTGCAACAATATTCAACCATTCCTGTTAGAGTTTCCCTCTGACTGTGCTCTGTTTCATTTATCTTCAGAAAGACTGGATGACAATGACCTCTAAAACCCTCAATAAATATGTGCCCCCTCCCCGACAAGCAGCATAAAAACAGAGGGTAAGATGCTGAAAGGACATCAGAATGAAAACGTATTCGCTTTAAGCTCCTACTTATATCACCCCAAAAATGAATGGCATGTTCTTGTTACATAAGGGTTTAACTTTTCATCCCTTAAGAAGAGGAAGTCTTTTCAGAGGTCCCATGGATGCCCTTGAAGTGCTCCCCTCTTTAGTATATTTGCTGTTATCATCATCATCACAACATTACAAGTGTGAAAGCCTCTGAAGAGGTGATGGGTCGCTCTCTTCTAATTTAATCATGTTTGAGGCATAGACTGATCATTATCTGGGACAGCTACATATTTTTAGCTGTTATGTCCTTCAGAGTACCACCGTATTTTTGAGGGCAAAAAAAGCTTTTTGCAGTCACTTGGAAGTGTTGACTACAAATTTGATTGGCCAAATACCTCCTCTCCATAACAATAACCTCTATGTAGTGAGGGGATATTTGGTTAGCTCCTGCATATACAGAAATTTAGCAAGCCTGATTCGTACCTGTTAAAAGAGAGGTTAAGGAAGCGAATGTTGTGCTGCAGACCAGGTGGCAGCTTGGTTAGACCTCTGGAGGAACAGTCCACTATGCGGTGTCCACGGCTGCAGATGCAAACAGTGGGACAGATGGACAGCACTAAACCTCCCAGCAGCCCCCACAGCAGCAGGAGGAGCAGGCAAAGCAGAGAGGCCGAGCAGGGAGGCATGGTCCAGACTCTGGAGGATAAGAGAGAGATGGGAAGGAGAAGGATAGGCAGGAAGAAAAGAAAAGGAAGTTTTCCAAAATCAGAATTGTGTTTATTGGGCAGTCATGGTCCAACAATTTGGTCCAGGTGGGGCTTCAAAACTGTACAATCAATAGCTGTAAAATTCATGAGGGCATTTGTGGTCCCTCCACATTTTTTTCCCAATATCACCACCAGGTCAATTCTCCAGTTATTGAATAATTTATTGCCACATGCACCAATTAGAACAGCACAAAAATGTAGTTTTATTGTCAGGTGCCTAATTTTGTCTGTTACTTAGTTATTGCATGAGTGAGCTGCTGTTGTGGGGTTCTGTTGTTTCATCCTGGTGCAACTCTGATCGCCAAAAATGTTGGTCTCATAGACTCCAGGCTTAAATCCATTTGGCTGCTGCTGATTTTCATGGTCCTGTCTTTGGGAATCGTCAGCTTTCCCTTGACAACCATCTGAGTGAATGTAAACTTCCTAACATGCTCATTCTTGAAGTACTTTACCAACCCTTCCTTTTAAAACTTTAGCATCGCAGAGGTACTAAACAACTGCTCCTGTTATAGTGAGTAGTCTTGAATATGGAGTGAAAGAGCTTTCAGCCCTCCATGCGTGAACTGCAGCATAAAATGGTGAACAGTCTGATTATTCTGAACCTCACTTCAGACCTTCTGTCCGCTACAGTTCTGCTCCACAGTGGGACAGTTAGCTTAGCCCGTCTGCTCCTGATGCATTTTAAACCAGTGCTAGTCATCCTGAGTGCCAGCCGGCTTGAAGCTCTGCCAGAGGGATGGGAGCTCAGAGTGCTGCAGTGAGACCCAATGCATTCAGGACGAAACACTAAATGTGTGTCTGCAACTGCAGCTGTACTCAGCTAAAGAGTGAAGGTCCATGTGTGTTTGTGTTTCCTAAGACAGGACTTCAGAAGCCTTTTATGTGTTCCAGAAATTTCCTCCCTCCATTGCGTCTTATCCGAGGATGGTGACGGAGGCTGATGCTCTGATGTGGCTGTATCTCAAATCACTTAATTCCTTTGTGTATTTGTATAATTCGTAATATTATTTTTGTCTCCATGGAATTCTAAAATCTGCATAGTAACAGAGAAAGAAGAATTTTCCCTTCGTTCACTGGTTTTAAAAGATCAGTATTTCAGAATAAAAATTTATCACCACTTTTCCAGTCAGGTGTATCTAGGTCATATGATTTTCCTTTTTTGCCTTTGCTAATCACTCACCTCATCCTCCTCAGTGTCCCCCTGTCATCTCTCCTTGTTTGCCGTCGTCTCCTCCTGCAGCTCAAGCTGTTTAGCTCCTTTTCCCCCTTCTGATTCTCAGCTGTGTAGAGGTTTAGAGCTCAGGCTTTATTTTCTATCTTTGGTGGAAGTTACAGCGTTGTACTGAACATGCTGCCAGCGAGAGACAGCCCCCCGTCCTACCCGGTGTTCTGCAGCCTCCCGATGCAGCTCCAGGTTTGGATCAGGAGAAGGTGAAAGAGAGAGAGAGAGAGAGAGAGGGGAGCTGCAGCAGAGAGCCAGCCCACTCTGCTGCTGATAAAGCAAGCGAAAGCCACAGTGTGTGTGTGTGTGTGTGTGTGTGTGTGTGTGTGTGTGTGTGTGTGTGTGTGTGTGTGTGTGTGTGTGTGTGTGTGTGTGTGTGTGTGTGTGCTGACTACAGCATGCCTCAGAGGAGCTCTCTCTCTTTAATTCACATGCATTCGTATCAACACTTACACTCTATTCTATTTTGGCTCTAAATAAAATGTCCACAGAGAATCATAACCAATAGTTATCTCCATAGACCTGTTAGTCTCTTTTATTGTTTTGGTTTACAGCATACAACAGAGCCCCAGGCTTACTTTTTCACTTTCAATCTGTTGGTTAATCTTATAGGTGAAAAATACGTATGATGTCGTCAACTTCTTATATGCAATCTTAAATTTAATGACCAATCTGTTCCCCTCCCTGGAGCAATTGATTCCTGCACATCACTGCGCTGGTTCAGGCCAACAAAGTGAGATAAGAAAGGAGGTGGCAACAACCACTTAAACGATAGTAATCAGCTAAAAGCATCACACTACAGGGCATAAGAAACAAAAGTGCCAATTTGTTACAATTGAAGAGAAAGCTCTAATATCAAACACTGTCTTCAGGGCCCCCCTTTGGTGGAGGAAAATATTTCAAGCCTCCCTAACCTTCCATAAACACACTGACACACAACTACACATTTATATAGGACGCACAGCTCAACACCATTTACTAACAGATTCCTGCCCATGGAGAACTTATTCTTCAAAAATACTTTATTGTTTACTTTATTGTGACCAGTCACAGTGTTATGAACACCAGGGTATTCTAATGCAACCTAATACACAGCTGTACCAGGAATTCTACTTAAACAAAGCTTCAGCATGACCAGGTTTTGTTGACAGTGTCAGATAGTTGCTAAGTCTTCTTTAGATTATTTGTTGAAGTTGTGGTGGGTGTTGGTGGTGTTCTGGAGTACATCATCTGGAGGGTGTGTTTAATAGTTTGAAATGGACAAAATATGAGAAACTTTGCCAGTTTGCCACCACCCACAATGTCTTCAAAGATAAAAATGAAATACAGTAATCACCTGTCTGATCATGTCGACAGAAACTAGACGCTTTCTTAAAGTAGAATTGTTGATCGAGCTGTTAGAATGGATAGCACTTGGTTGCTCAGGTGTCCATAATGTTGTGGCAGTGTCAGTGCAAGTCTCTTCATGGTTTCTTTGAGTAGTTCTGATGGAAACTGTCATTGTAACATGTATCTTAAAATCAAACTTGTGTCATTATTTAAACATTCCTCTAATTATTTCAAGATTTGGCAGTGTAGAACCTTTTTTCAACTCCTTAGGCCTCCCTAGGGGTTGCAAGCCTACAGTCTGGGAATCAGAGGACATAATGAACCCTGATAAAATATTGCTGTAGCAACATCAAGGGTAAAAATTTGACCCAGAACTGCAGTTCCTCAAGTTTCCACTTGAGGCGGTCTCCTGGATTGAGTCAAGTGGGGTTGCTTTCTGCTTCTCATTTCTCTTTTCATGGAAATTGTGAGAGGCCGAATTTTTATATAACTTACCTGTTTGATTGCTATCAAGGCTCGGAGTGATACATAATTGGGGGTGTAGTCTCTTTGATTAGGTGGGAACTGTTAGCTGTCTGCTAGATGTCAGTTCAACTAATTTGTGTCGACTTACTAGGTACAATATGAGCTGGCCACATAAAAACAAGATAGGTGACAGCCTGAGTAGCAATATGGCAAGATACATTAGACTAAATATGCTTGATTTATTCACAGGGGCCTGTTTGTTATATCATCTCTATCAGTGCAGAGAAGATTAATGAAGCTTTGAATTATGATATAGTAAAGCTTTTCAAGCACAAAATGACACTTTGTTATAGTCTGACAGTAAAAACAAGGGTGTCTATCAGTGATTGTTGCTGACAATTTTGAGTGGATAAAAATCAGCTGGAGCTTATCTGCATCCAAACTTTGTGACTTCCTTATGTGGATATTTTAAGGCCAACATAAAACTAGAAAAGAAAGGAAATCAAACACATTTGTCAAGTGTTGTATGGTAGGTACACCAGCCAGTAGCACCGTAAGTACCACTGTAATGAAGCCACTTTAGTGTGCAATTATTTTTGGATTTCCCTGTCAAACCTTTTCAGGTAATAAGTGAAAATGCAGCTGTAGATGTGTCCTGGGATGTCAGTTTGTTTTCAGTTTGACACCCAAAACCCACAACCACAACCACCCAAAGAAAAAGAACGGAAACCACCCTCACATGGTTGCTTCCTGAACTATTTATACTCTAGTTTTCTTACAACAGTAAAGCAGAAACAACCAAAAATCTACTTAATATTATCTTTACACAAATTAACTTACTGTTAAAAAGAAGAAACAGCTGATGCAGATTTAACAAAAAAAAAAAAAAAACTCAAAGTATAACTTAATGAGCCAGGCTGCACAGGTACCAATATTGTAACTTCAGTTAAATACTCTACAAGGTCTTCACCACTTTCTACAAACATGGATTTTATTTTTGCCAATTTAATCCAAGATCTATTGTTTACCTAACATCTTGCAAAAAGATATGTTTCTGAAAATGGACAGAACAGTCCAATGTAACTGCACTACATTTTAGTTTTTTAATTTTCTTTATTTATTTAATGATTTTATTTTTATTTTATTTTATTTATTTGTTTATTTTTTATTTATTGATTTTTATTTTTTTTTATTGAAGTGTGTTTGATTGCCCAAGTCAGCCACTAAGAGTGGTCCAGAATAAGGGTGTAGCTGGGGGCTCAAAGTGCTGAGTATATGGAAGATCGAGTGTCTGGCTGATAGTCATACAGCGGCTTCTGTTTTATAATGGCAGTGCCTACACTTCAGATGGTACTCTCTTGTACCCATAATTGCACAAGCTTTAAAAATAGGTGTCAGTTTGAAAAATGCAGAAGTCGGGTTCTGAGAAATACCTCTTTTTTTTTGTAAAAGAATTTTTAATGAAACCTGTACACCATAAGACTTGGACAAAAGGCGGACAGTCACTCACATTTAGCCACTTTGTAGCCACAGAATACAAGATTATGCAAAGACTGAGTAACTTACAGAATTGCCAACAACTGTAGCTGATCCTTTTAACAAGTGGTTTATGCTGTCTGACTGTATTGAGCCCAAAAAAGCTTGGCGGACTGCTTCTAGCTTGTAAAGGTTAAATGAAACAAGTCATTCTAACACTGGGTTTACATACAAGGAGTGTCCAAATCCAGTATCCCATTAAGAAAGAATTCACTGCAGAAGGTGAAAAAAATGCAGTTCAGACTACCACAAATGTCCTCCTGTGGTATTCCACAAAAGCCTAGGAAGTCCCATTAACACTGATGTTAATGATCCACTTGCACAGCAGAATTGAACAACTTTACAGCCTGGCACAAACAAAAACTGTGATTTTTGAGATATATATTCATTCATATAATTAGGGACATGGCTGATGTTAGTATATCTCAGTATATATATTTTTTGCCCGTCCGGAGACTATGAGCTCTAGTTAGTCTTAAACTTGTTAGATCTTATCTGGCTACCAAAAAGAAAAAGACTAAGGTATCTCCAACTGAGTTTTCTGAACACCTCATTCCAGAAAATTGAGAAAGAGTGCAATTAAACTTGCAACTCAACTATTGAGGCCTTGTTATATAATAGTATATTTGCAGCTTTTAGAAAGTCTTTGGATGTAACAAGCAAAAATTGAAATATAATATTCAAACATAAATAGAATTATTTGTGTTCAGTGCATCACATCCCTGTGCATACTAGGGTGGTATTTTGCAATCTAAAGGTGATTTTTTTTCACAATAAAATACAACACGAGTCCAGGGAAAGCCCGTAAATCCAAGAGACATAATTTGCTAATTGTTATTAAGTACTGCTTGAAACTGAAGAAGCCTGGCTTATGATTCATGCACCATACGTTACACAAATATGAGGATCTGAAACTGTGAGTAAAATTTGGTAATAGATGATAACGCATCTGCATCCTCACTGAAAGTTCAGATGATGTATCTCAGTGGGACCCTCCTGGATAGATAACGGATATTCAAAGTTGAAAGCAGTTTTCTACTGCTGTATAGTGCATAACTCCAACCGTTGCTATGGAAACCCAGATGAACATCAGTTCTCTTTTGATGTACTCAAACTTGTTCGAGTTAGTCAACTTCCTGTGTTTTCAGTCACACTTGTTGCTGCTAGAGACCAGTAAGCTGAATGCATTTAGCGAGTTGGGTTAAGGTTCACTTAAGGTTGCCCAAGACCATTACTCAATTGTACTGGAACATTTTCTACATCACCAGTTGGAGTAGTTGGACTTGCAAGGCTGTTTTGGCTGGGTTTCGGATCTTCTGAATCGGTATTGGTGGTCAGTGGGTCTTCGGTTTGAGCAGAGGGCTCTGATTTTTCACTGGTTCCTGGAGTGTCCCCTTTGTTTTCTACATTAGCTACAGCCGTTCCATTACTTCCTGTTACACCATTTCCATCCTTTTCTTGACCAAACGTACTGCCCTTGTTTTGATTTCCAAATGTAGAACCAGGTGTCAAATCTTCCATCTCTTCTGCTTCTTGAAGCAAAGACAACCTTTTTGACAACCTCTGAGGCAGGAAGCTGGACAAGGAAATCCTGTTGGATGACCGGAGTTCCACCTGGCCATTTTCAGCTCCTCCATCTAGAAATGGGGATGGTCCGGCCCAGTCTTTGGTTGTTATCTGCTGCTTCTTAAGTTTCCGTTTCTTTAAGTAGATGATCAGGAATCCTACCATCATCAATATCAGGGCTCCTCCTATTATCCCTGCCACTGCTTTACTGTCACCTGATCGCTGTGTATGCTGATCTTGTCTTTTGTTTGCCTTGGTTGTGTGGATGAATGGGGTTTTTGTGGTTGCCTTTGGAGTTTTAAACAAACTTGTGGACTCTGTTGCTTCTCCACCAATGGCTGGGCTTGAATTTCTAGACGCAGTAGATGCAGTTAAAGTAGAAATCGGATGTGTGAACCCAGTTGAATGTGTAGATGATAGGGTGTTTTCATTGCTGGTGAAGGAGGAGGTTGACATCTTTCCTGTGTCTTGACTTTGGGTGGAGTTGCTTTTAACTTCTGTTGATGCTGAAGCTGTAGTTTGGCTGCTGGCTTTGCTGGTCATCCCTGGAGTTTTTGGTGTAGTTCTTGTGTCTTTGCTTTGGGTGGAGTTGCTTATAACTTCTGGTGATTTTGAAGCTGTAGTTAGGCTGCTGGCTTTGCTGGTCATCCCTGGAGTTTTTGGTGTAGTTCCTGTGCCCAAGGTGGAGTTTTTTAACGAAGGCGATAGGATATTTGTTGGTGTTAAGATATTTGGTAAGAAAGTCTTGGAGAAGGGAGTCGGGGTGGTTTGCAGTGAAGGTTTACCACCTGATTCTGTGGTTTTTTCATCAGTTTTGGTTGGCTGCATAATGTTCAGACCAGAGACCTCTGGAGTTGGATATATGCTGGAAGAGTTCTTTTTTTCTGTCTGGTTGGGAACCATCACTTCAGTGACAGTGACATTAGGATTCTGGCTAGAGGTCACTGCCCTGCTTGCTGTGAGTTGCAGCAGCAATAAGAAAATGAAGCCAGAGAAATCCATGGCCCCGTTTTTCTTCTGTCAGGTTAATGGTCTTTGTTGCTAAAACAGAGGAAATGATTTGTCAGAGATGAACTGTATAGAAAATGAAGCAATGTTCTCTGATGAAGAAATGGATAAAGGAAGTTTTGATAGGGTTGCGAAATGTATCTTGTGTTGCTTCAGTTCCTCAAAATCAACTCTGAATAGACTTCTATTTTAAGTGTGCATACTCGGGCTGTTCATTATCGTTTCATCTACAGATTATTGTACAACAAATTGAACAGCTGATAAGCCCAAAAATATCATAAAATTAGAAACATACCTATCATAATTTCTTTGCCCCCTAAGGAGCTTAAGCTTGGCCATGATAGATATGTCCGAGTTAGGATATGTGTTACAAGACACAGCAAAATGAACATGTTTTCTTTGAGTTTTAAGGTATATAATGTAAAAGCACTTCTATTGATACAGCCCAAAAGACAGTAAAGACATACATTACTACACCACTGAAAACAAACATCAAAATTGTTTTGAGTGTCACTCAGTTGGAAAGACAGTAGTCTGCTCTTAATTAGTTAAAAATGAAATATATCAGTAATGTTTTCAGTGTAGTTATTTATTGAACAAAACCAGCTTCTCTAAGTACCTCTGCAGAGCCATATCCTCTTAGTTTACATTACTAATAGAAAAAGTCTATTTCAATCAATTTTGCCACCATAGTTATTATCTGTCTTTTGTATTTTTTTTTGTCAAATTCTGCTAATGTTTTCTCCTGTTTATAAGCTGGAACCATCAAATATTTAACATTTTTTGCTGCCCAAATAACGAAAATGATTATTGCATTATTTAAACTTTTTGGTTATTAATTTTCTTCCTGTTAATGAAATATTGATTCAAATATTTTTTGCAGCTCCAGCACCATATCTGAAACCAAAAAGTGTTTTTTGTAAAACTCAGATTCTGAGTTTACTTTTGTTTTTTTCATGACCCATAACCACCATTGTTCTATCTAAATTACCCCAGAAGTCATTAAGTTCTGATGACTGGATTGTTTGAGTCCAGTTAATATAAAATCTAAGTTTTCTTTGTACAAACATATTACAGCCTTTTGGTATACTTAGCCCTGTTTTTTTGCTCCAGCATGAAGATTTTAAGTGCACATTCAAGTCAAAATTTTTCAATTTAACTATCCAAATCTACTTACCAGTTGGTGAAGTGAATTCAGTAACTCCTCAGCTGTGTTCTTCAAGAAGGATGTAGTTGGCGAAGTAGAACGGTCATTGGCTATTATGGTGCTGCGTTCTGTAAGGATATCGCTCACTGAAAGCAGGAACTAGATGCATGGAGGACTAAAATCTTTAGACGTGGTGTCTTGCCTCACTTAACAGGAAATGTGTCATTTGAAACTGATGACAGCCCAACACTTTCTCAGTCTGTTGTGCCAAACATAGTAGTTCAAGTTTCACACATCTGTGAGGCGTTTATGAAACACTGAATTGGACAAACCTTAATTGAAACACAGCTAAGCCTTGTAACTCAAGTTTTAACAACAACCCAAGAGTAATTGAATTAGATATAGATAAAAGGAAATCTCTAAATCGCTTCAGAATGTTTGTATACTCAATATGTCCAGTTAAAGTCTACTTGAAGTCAGATTGTTACCCTTAGTGTCTGACATTACAGAAAGTATCTTTGCAAAGACCCTCTTGCAAAAGAAGGAAAATATTTTTTAACAAAAAACTGCTGTTACATAACTCTCCACGACACCAGACCATGGTTAATAAAATAATAAGTTAAAAAAAAAAAAAAAACAGTATATTTTAAGCATGTGGAGCGTGGGAGTTGCTCAACGGAATACAACGGAAATGGGCTTTATGTAACACTTAACCGAGTCTTCTGACCGCTCAAAGCCCATCTACATAACATCTCACATTCATCCATTCTGCTATGTCAACACCCATCAGTGTTTGTGAGATGCCCATTTCCTCCTCTGAGCTACAGACACATCTTTTACGGCAGACTTCCAATCCATCACTAAATTCATTAATGGCAGAAATACATTACTGAAGTTTATGCTTTGGCACAGCAGAGCTTTAGTTCGTGCAGACTTACCTCAATCTAATTTGGTTACACCTTGAGTAAAACCCCCCAAAAAAATGAAGTCACAGACTTCATTTGTTATTAATCATTGACATGAAGTCTTGCACTGTGAAATCTGCATAGCAGTTTCTCTTGGGTGTTTTATTGTATCTGCTTTGCTCTACCTTCATTTCTGTGATGACTTTCATTAAACCATTAATCTTTATTATTCGTACTTGAACACTGTCAAAGGAGGTCAATCCAGTTATAAGAAATGTCACTTGAATAATTACCACTCATTCACACAATGGAAAAAATATTTATTCAATACCTTAACATTTTCAAAAAGTTCTTTACAATTTCACTTATAGTAATGCAAGAACAGTAGTTTTTTAAAGGAATGCAGCGATAGAAACATCTTAAAGCCAAACTAAGAGAAGTGAAGTTTAAAAGACATTTATTAAACAGCAAGCACAGTTAGACTTTTTACCCAACTTCATGAACATCATTTTAATGTAACCTTTATAGAAGTTAGGACTATTGCCAGGGCAATTATGTATGTATCTCTGGATCCCTTTTAGGAGTATGTAAAGCCACATATTCAGCAGTTTTCTCAATTTAAATCAATATTCACTCTCAGTTACACCTCATAATTTTGTTGTACATGTACAATGACAGTAAAGATATTCTTCTTCTTCTTCTTCTTTTTCATATCTTAGAATAAGTCATGATCTTATGAAACAGATGCGAAAAAAGGTACAAAAGTCATGTTGGATGTTTTATAATTACATCTTAAGTAATTCTCATGAAACATTAAAAAATATAATTTTTTTCCACTTTATATCTTAGAAAGCAAAGAAGATTTAATTTTCCTTTAGGATCAATAAAGTTCTTGTATTTGTACTTGCATCAGTGCAACACTGTCAAGTATTTTCCACAATATGCAACACATGATAACCAACATTAAATGACCCCAAAAATGTTGTGTAGCGTTGAGTTTTTGAAGAGGCTGTTCTGTACCAAAACTATAAATGAACACACCATCGAAAAATGGAAACTTTTTAAGCTGCATTCTCACCACAGAAACTCCACTCATTGGTCCAGCTCCTGCAGCCTTTTATTTCTCTGTCATTGTTGGTGGTTTTGTTGTATTCCTAAAACATGGCTTTTCGTACAACAGGAACTGACTGATCTTTCCTGATCTTTAGGCAGCAATGGAACACAAACAAGCTTGAAGGAACCATTTCCATTCATGCAAATTTTCCTGGGACAAAAAATTCCAGCTACTCTGGGATGATCACATTTTAATTATTTTATAGTTGCTTTATAAAAGTAAAGCCAAGTTTAATCCTGTCCTTTGCCCTTTGCTGCATGTAGCGCCATTTCTCTTTCCCTTCCTAAGTTAAAAAACGGTTGTTTTTTTTAAATATTTCTTCCATACTTAATTTTATATGGGCACCAAAACGTGGATATCCCCCATCCCCAATTAGTCATTTTGAATTAGGTCCAGCAGCCCTTTGTCTTACTGAAATTTTGGTTAACAAAATCTGTGAGTCAAAAACCTGTAAAGAACATCAATAAAACCTGCCACCGCAACAAGGCGGGGTTACCTTCTTAAACAACGAGAGGCATGTCCTCTAGATCCCTGGGAACCTCCAAACAGGAGTCCCTGGAGCTGGAGGTCTGCATCTGAATAGCCTTGTCTTCAGGTTCAAAAGTCATTGCCACAGCTCCTTCCTCCTGCCCTGCGTCAACCTCCTTTGTTATTTCGTCCTGATACTCTTCCTCCATCTTGCTGTCTGCTTGTACCTCCTCCAGCATGACACTGGCATCACACGGACCAATCAGTCCTTGAGCCTCCGGACGGTCATCACCCCAGTAGCCTGCACTTCCCACTAAGTCCATGTTGGACCTGGAGGTTCTTGGGGCATGAACCCGGCGCTGAAGGTGCCAGACCTGCCATGCCAGTACCACAGTGGCAATCAGCAGGCAGACAATCAGCCCCCCGGCTGATCCCAAAGCTATCAGTCCCATCTCGGTGTCAATCAGGCAGTCTGCTCGGGTCTCATTTGTGTCTATATCGAAAGAGTTTGAGTGGTCGATGGTAGCAGAGTTGGGCCCCAAAGAAGGGGTTAAGCTGATACCTTGATCGTGTGTTTCAGAAGAATACTGCTGTGTGGTTGAAAGGTCTGCTTCAGTAGGACGAAAAGGGAGCTGGTTTAGGAGGAGAAACAGCCAGAATGTCCCGAAGCTTTCCATCATGCTCTGAAATAATGAAACATTTTCAGAAAGAGGGAACAAAAAGACTTTTTCACTTACAGCATGCAAATCAAGCAGCAAAGTTTAATTTTAAATGCACGTGAACACTCTTGGTCAAAATCAAGGTGCTACATGTAAAAGAAAAATAACTTTATGATTAAGTTTGCCATTCAAGAAGTTTCAGCTGTAGCGTGCTCAAAAAGAAGCAGTATTTTCTAAATTTCATTGAATACTTACTTATTGTAGTCTTGTTTGGAGGTTTTGGTGAAGGAACGCCGTGAGACACCAGCTGCAGTCAGACTTATGTCAACTCTAAGCTAACTTCCTGACCCCCTATGTGGGTCTATCTCTGGTCTGGTTATTTAGGGGCTTCTGGTCTGATACCACAGAAACTGAAGAGCTCTTACAAGAGACGAGACACAGAAAGAGAGAGCGTTTCTTAGTGCGAAAAGAACTTCAACTAGTGACACAAACAACATTAAAACCCAACCACCCAATACATCACTATTATGGTCACAGCGTAACATTGTAAGGCTTCAATGGTGATTTCAGCTTTTGTGTTTTGTCTATCTCTTTTCTTTAGATTTAAAACCGGCCAAATTAATGGAGACCTCCTCATCTATCATGTCCTCCTCACACTGAAGCCCTACTATGCTAAACCCTATGAGATTGTGGTCGACTTAACTCATGTGGGACCCAGCAATCGCTTCAAGACTGACTTTCTGTCTAAGTGGTTTGTGGTGTTCCCTGGCTTTGCCTATGAGAATGTAGCAGCTGTATATGTATACAACTGTAACACCTGGGTGAGGGAGTACACCAAGTACCACGAGCGGCTTCTGACGGGGCTGAAGGGAAGTAAACGGCTCCAGTTCATCGACTCTCCAGCTAAGCTTGCTGAGCACATCGAACCTGACCAGCAGAAGCTGCCTGCAGCCACCTTGACTCTCGAGGAAGACCTTAAAGTGTTCCACAATGCCCTTAAACTTGCCCACAAGGACACCAAGGTCTCCATAAAGGTGAGGATGCAACCACAGTTCAAAAAAGTTCGAAGTTTAATCAAAAGAAGGGAACTGGATTTAAGTAATTCTTGGGTTTCTTAAATATATATATATTTTTTGTATTGGTCAGGTGGGCTCAACAGCAGTCCAGATAACCTCAGCTGAGCGCACCCGCGTCCTTGGCCAGCCAGTCTTCCTCAATGACGTATACTACGCCTCAGAGATTGAAGAAATTTGCCTGGTGGATGAGAGCCAGTTTACCCTAACCATGGCCAATCAGGGCACGCCGCTCACATTCATGCATCAAGAGTGCGATGCCATCGTCCAGTCCATCATCCACATCCGGACACGGTGGGAGCTGTCCCAACCAGACTCCATCCCCCAGCACACCAAGATCAGACCCAAAGATGTTCCTGGGACTCTGTTGAACATTGCTCTGCTGAACCTTGGCAGCTCAGACCCCAGCCTCAGGTCAGTGCTGTAGGGCACTGTGACTTTCTTAAACACTCAAGCGGTGGCCATATTTCCAAACAAGCTTAAAAAAGGGGGGCGTAATTGTGGCTGAAATATCAGAATTGTTTGTGATACTGATAACAGGATTGGTTTTTGGATTCTAAATTGCTCCTGAACGGTGCACCAGTGAGCTAGCCAATCAGTGTCTCAATAGTGTCTCAAATTATAATTTGCCTGCGCTTTGAAAAAAATCAAATTATCGCAGGTCAACAAAGAACAAAGGTGCTGGAGCAGAGTTTGAATTTGGTCAAATTTCAGTAGTTAGTGTTCCCCATCAAATATAATGCATGATATTTATTTTGCTAGCGTCAGAGGGGGTCTTAATTTTAGCAGATAGTTTTTAGATAGCAGATAGTGTTAATCTGCAGCATTCTGTGTGGCGTTATTGTTGTATCAAACGTGCTTTATGAATTAAGTCTGATGAATGATTGTTAATGGTATCAAGTTAGGAAGACTGTTGCTGCCCTTCTCTTAACATCTATGGCTTGTTATCCTTTGAACATCTAGGTCCGCAGCTTACAACCTGCTGTGTGCTCTAACCTGCACCTTCAACCTAAAGATCGAGGGGCAACTGCTGGAGACGTCTGGTCTCTGCATTCCCGCAAACAACACACTCTTCATCGTCTCAATCAGCAAGACTCTGGCTGCCAATGAACCCCATCTGACTCTGGAGTTTCTGGAGGAGTGCATCTCGGGCTTCAGCAAGTCCAGTAAGTTTTGGAGAGCCGAGTTGTGTTTGTATCTGTCCTCTGTATTAAGATAAAGTAACTTGACCAGCAGGCAACTCACCACACTGAGAGTGTTTACAAAGTCCTTTTTAAACGTTAACCTCTATTGAAATTACCATAGCAACAGCATTGTAGCATAAATTTCATAACCTGTAGCTTATAGATTTTACACATGAGAAGTATTTGAAATTATTGCAAAAAGATTGCAGCAAGGTTTAAAAAAACACAACTCCGATACTTTCGTCAATGGAAATGGATTTTTAAGTTATGTATTATAATAGCTTAGGCTGCATAGATTTTACGGATGTGAAGTATTCAAAACAATACTATTTATGATTGAAATAATCATAAATAGTCATGTAGGTATTTATCATCTAATTTCTGTTGCATAGAATATTCCTGCCTCTCCTTCCAACTTCAAAATCCTCCTTAAAAAAAGTTTAGAAATACAATCAAAGTTGTGTAATGCTGTGACTGATATTGAGATGATCCGCCCTGGCTGTATGTGATATAGTGAATTCAAGACGGAGTTGTGTTAATTAGAGGTGTTTTGTTGTTCTGTGTCAGGTATCGAGCTGAAACATCTCTGTCTTGAGTACATGACACCCTGGCTGCTCAACCTGGTCCGCTTCTGTAAGCACAATGATGATGCCAAACGCCAGCGTGTCACCGCCATTTTGGACAAACTCATCACCATGACAATCAATGAGAAGCAGATGTATCCCTCCATCCAAGCTAAGATTTGGGGCAGCCTGGGCCAAGTGAGTCCTGTACATCTTCAGCTTTCTGAGTGAAAAGCATTTATGTGGATTTAACCTCTGACACTCTCTCTCTTTCTTGTTTCTCAGATAACAGACCTGCTGGACGTGGTGCTGGACAGCTTCATTAAGACTAGCGCCACAGGAGGACTGGGCTCCATCAAAGCAGAGGTCATGGCTGACACTGCGGTGGCTCTGGCTTCAGGGAATGTTAAATTAGTCTCCAGCAAGGTGAGACTCTGAGATGAAATATCTGCCAGGTTACCTGTGTTTAGAATGTTAATGAAGTGTAGAGATATTCAAGTAATGCTGACAAACTGATGCAAAAAAAAACTGTGAATACTTTCATGTTAAATGAAAAATATGACCAGACTTAATTCATATAGTGCTCTCTCCCTTTCAGTACTTTATAATATGTGAATTACCAAATCCCTAGATCACTTCCAAAAATGTAAGTTTTAACGAGCTTCACAGGGGCACTAAGATAGAGTAGGAGGGTCATAACTTAAGGGACTGATAAAGAGATCACTGACTCAGCTCATCTTATCCTATATATGTTTCTAATTCTCAATGACATGACACTGCATGGCACATTCACCCTATAAAACTCATGAGGCGCTACACATGGATGTAATGCCTCATGAGGTCAATAATTTATATGCCCATTCACACGTGGACCAACAGCCATGTCTTTGAAAGGAGCTGGGTGGGTTGTCTGCCATGGTCAAGGAACTTCTGGCAAGTGGGGGAGAGCTAGGGATTGAAACACTGACCCATCAAGAGGAGAACACCCCACTCTACCTCTGCTTACATTTACTGTCATGAATGACACAGAATTTTAATCCAACCTATTGTTCCATACAGATAAACAAAACACACATTTTCTCCAATATGTGTGCAAAAGTTAAGGATAGTAAATTCAGTATTGAAGACTTAAAGGCCAATACCATGTTTTAAGTCAGTGTTGTACTCATAGCAAGAAGTTTTCAAATGCTGCAGAGAGAGTTTGAGGAAGAAGTAACAATGCTGCAGCAGCAAAAACCACATGATATCCTGAATCTGACCACAATACGGGAAAGAACTTGTACAGGAAACTGTTCAGCTGAATTATCCAGTTTGTTTTGACACTAAAATCTGTGTCAAACCTTTGTAAAAGATGGCTTTAAATTTACCATGTCAATCTCTAAATTCATCAGAAAATGTACTAAAATAATAATTTTCACTTTTAGATTGTAAAACACTTCTTGAAACTTCAGCGCTGTATTTAGTTTCACATCTCTAAAACTTCCTTCCCTGACTGAAGATAAAAAGCTTTCTATGCAAACACCAGTGTTCTCACTCTCACAGAAAACATTTAATTTCCTCACATAGAGCTAAAAAAAAACCTTATAGTCTCAGTTTTACAAGTCCCACAAAAGTTGGCTGTATGTCTTACTACAACACTGTAAACACAGAATAAAGAGATCAAAACGTGATTTCACACAAGGAGATAACACAAGAGTTGAAACAATGCTGAAAGTGGAAGTTTTTTGAAGCCTCAAATGTTTTAATGATAATTTTAGATTTGTAACAGAACAATAATAATGATAATTGATTAACTAATTTTGATCAATTTGCCTCTGATAGACAAAATCAGCTCTCGATGTATTTATCATTTGCTGACATACTTACCTATTACTGGGGTAAAAATAAATCCAAAGCTGTGAATCCCTCCTGACTCAGAGTATCCAAAGAGACAGACTCATCCTCTCACCATCCATCATCTGTGGGCTCTGATTGCTCAGAAACACAAACTCAACATACAGACAGACACAATAGAAAAGCCAGGCCCTGGCTCCTATTATCGCAGACAGCAGCTCTGCTGTGAATGGTGACCATTGTGAGGACTGTTGATTAAGAAAACACTCTCAGTGCTTAACTTTGAGTGCTGGAACATCAGTAGTTAAATGCTAATTTTGACCATAGGGTTATAAGGTTATCATTTTAAAGTTTTAGAACAAGTTAACATGTCTGATAGGCCATACATGAGCCTTTTAGCTGGTGTTATCCTCACAGTTACAGTCTGATGTCATGGCAGGACAGCCAGCTGAAACAAAGGAGCCTTGTTTGTGCCTCTTGAACTCTGTGTCACCCAGAGCAGAATAAATGCTATTTTCTAACTGCCCGTAAGCACCGACATATTGTGTATCAGCTCCATGTCCAAAAAGACATGCACAGTGTTAAAAGCAGCTCTCCACTGTGGTTTACACTATTAGTCTGAATTCTCACAAAGGTGCTTTAATAAATGCTGTCGATTTATTAAAGCGTAGAGTTATTCTACAACTTATTCAGAATAATTCACACGAAATACAGATGGAGAGTTACCTGCGTTACCTGTGCTTAACTGTTTGTTGAAAACAAACTGAACCATTCTTACTCATTGTCAGTTTAGTGATTAAAAGATAAGTGAAGTTGCCCTTACCCTTATTGTAGGTATTGAGCTCATATTGAGCTGTCATCCTACAAAGCAGTGTTTTCAGTGGAAAAACTCACTTAATACTGGAAGCAGCTACCTCACTGAGGAATTAAATTTAAGCCTGCAACTCCTCCAATGTCCACAGGGGGCTGTCCCAAAGTGAGTAAAGCCCCATAGAGTTCCATGTAAAAAAATGTCTAACTTTGCAGCAGAAATAAACATGATTACAGCCTGGCATAGAAGAAACCAGTTCCATCTCTATAGCTGGTTTCACTAAATGGGGCTAAATTTGTACATAAATCATCTGCTACAGTTATATTAAGGCTTAAGGTTTTGCATAATTCAGGCACATCCTCATGAAGCAGCTAGCTGTCTGCTTGGTCTAGATGTCATTTTCATATACAGTCACTTCTGATTCCAAATAACCAGCAAAGCAGCAGCAGAGAGACCTTATTTTAATAGAAAGAGGCTTCTGTACTTAAGTTTTTAAGATGTGCCTTATCACATTTAAAGTTATAGAACTAAATCAGCACTTTGCCATGGAGAAAGAGGAGAAGCTAACAACAAAACCCCGGCACATTGTTGAAAGAAGGCTATATCTAGTCTGTGTCAGGTCTCAGCCCATCTAATGACTCGAGTTTAAGAAGATAACTCTGTATATTTATATGGAAACCCTGTGACCTCTCTTTTTAGAAACTACAGAGTCACTATCCTTTCCCTATATGTTGGTGGTTCCTTAAGTTACCACTTCTTAGTTGTTGTTTTTGTGCTTAAACATGGTATTTAAAGAAGGTGTTTGACCAGGGCACTCAGTTTGGTTGGTATATTCCACTGAATACATATTGCGAAAGCGTCCATTCACTGATTCTTTGTTGTTGTTTTTTTGTTTGTTTATTTTTTTTGCAGGTAATTGGCAGGATGTGTAAGATTATAGATAAAACATGTCTGTCTCCGACGCCCACGCTGGAGCAGCACCTGATGTGGGACGACATCGCCATCTTGGCCCGCTACATGCTCATGCTGTCCTTCAACAACTCCCTGGATGTGGCGGCTCACCTGCCGTACCTGTTCCATGTGGTGACCCTGCTGGTGGCCACCGGGCCTCTCTCCCTCAGGGCCTCCACCCACGGTTTAGTCATCAACATCATTCACTCCCTGTGCACCTGTTCACAGCTCAACTTCAGCGGTGAGGGCTTCATTCAGCTGGTTAATGAGGCCTGATTGAAGGCATTAGTTAGATTTAACAGTCTCATTGTGAATGGGAATAATGGAGATCAGTGGGTTTTTTTCAGGTCTGTTTGACCTGATATATGCCTTACAACTCTGACATAATTTCACTTTCCACAGTAGTAACTCCAAATGAATACGGCTCCTGATACTGTAAAATTGACTTTTGCTATTACATATGTTTTTTTTTTTTCAAAATCATCAATTTTTAGAGTTTGTTGAAGCTGCTGTAATAAACCCATAAAACCTGTTTTTCAGAACCTTCAGCATCCCTTGCACCATTTATCCGCAACTCCACAGAACAACTAAATTTTGATTGTTTTTTCTGGCACCTCAGCCCAGTTGTTTTAAACATTTCCTTATGCTTACAGTTATAGCTGTTTAACCATTACCTTGGGGCAGCTATCTGAAGCATTGATCCAGTACGTAGAGACTATTACTAACATTTATCTGTTACTTTGAGAAAATTACTGAATCAGGGTACACACTACAAGATAATTGTCTCAAATCAGAACCCCCTGAAGGCACAGGCTTAATCTTTATGATTGGTTTTCAAGAGTTGTAATCTTTACAGATTTGTCATTTGTTGTGTTGAATGTTCACATGATACAGCGGACTTAACTGATGAGATTTAAAATATTAGATAAACAACTCTGAAAACTGATGTAAAAGCACCCACTGGATCATATGTGCCTCTGGTTGGAAGTTACGAGTGTTGAGGACTGAAATAAAAGCAACTGGAAAGGAAGAAGTACTCTACATGACGTTTTTATAACAGCAGAGGGCAAGAGCCAATAATAGATGCACAAAATTCAGAAAAAGCAAAATGAGTCACAAATACTGAATGTAAATGTTTGTTGTCGTCTTTGTTTTCAGAGGAGACAAAGCAGGTCCTGAGGCTGAGCCTGACTGAATTCTCCCTGCCAAAGTTTTACCTTCTGTTCGGCATCAGCAAAGTGAAATCAGCCGCTGTCATTGCCTTCCGCTCCAGCTACAGAGACCGCTCCTTCTCCCCGGGCTCATATGAGAGGGAGACATTCGCCCTGTCCTCTCTTGAAACTGTCACTGAGGCCTTACTGGAGATCATGGAGGTCAGGAGAGAAAATGAAGCTCACTCAAAGTTCGTTTTTCATCTTCAAAGATTCATTCTTTTTTCTTTGTAACTTCTTGTCTTCAGGCCTGTATGAGAGACATCCCAGCCTGCAAGTGGTTAGACCAGTGGACAGAGCTGGCACAAAAGTATGAACCTCCTCTGTCTCCTATTTTCAAAAATTTAATGTGCGGTTTGGGGTGCATGTGTAATTATTTATGTGTTTGTTTTCTAGGTTTGCCTTCCAGTACAACCCATCCCTGCAGCCCAGAGCTCTAGTTGTGTTTGGCTGTATCAGTAAGAGAGTGAGCCATGGTCAGATCAAACAAATCATCCGGATCCTCAGCAAGGCCAGCCCTCTGCTCAGCATCGACCGGGTGAGCATACACTTTCACATTTACAAACTCTCTATGTGAGTGTTTCTAACTTGAACTCTTTTCTATAGAACCTTTATAGCCATTGGTTAATACATCTACTTAACAGGTATCGTATAAGTGTTCAGTCTTTTTATAAAAGTTAGTCAAAGTGGGGACCTGCCCTTAATAGACTGAAACCATAATCTCTTAATCATTTGTAAGAACTTTCTGTGTAGTTCCAACTTAAGATTTATCCATTTACACTCTGACATGCATTTTTTTCCCCTTTATTTTAAACATTCAAGTGGTACAACACAAAGCAAGGGGCTTGCAACACAGACCTAAAGAGTGTGATTTATTAATCAACAGAAGAAAGTACAAACTAGAAGTAAGAAAATTACACTGTGGGACTGAACTTTAATAGACTTCTGTGAATGATTATTCTCTTTGTCTTAAAACTCAAAGAATATTTATATTTGTTGCTTTCAAATAAAGGACATATTTTCTTGTTGCTGAAGTTACATTTTGAAGTAACTATTTTTGTGCAACCCAGAGTTCAAAAACCAAGTCTCTGTTATAAATGAGAGTAAAAACAGCAAATCCTTATAGTTATGAGGCCACCATTTGGCCTGTTACCAGCCAGTTATTCCCTGCTCACTTCCATTTCCTGCCAAAAAGAGCCCAAAAATAAATCTTAGAGAAAATTGTACTGACTTTTGCATCGATAAAGTAGTCCTGTGACCTTTTCATTGAGCGTATTTAGTTAATAATAATTTGTGACATTTTATTTACAATCACCTTTCTCAACACTCAAGGTCACTTTACAGATAAAAACAGTACAATAAAATGAGATAAAAACAAACACACATGGGGCCAAGTTATTACAAAGTGTAGGCTATTTGTTAGTTAGTTAGTTAGTTAGTTAGTTAGTTAGTTAGTTAGTTAGTTAGAATCTACATTCTGAATTTAGTTGCAGGTTTTTCTGTAATTAAGTGTTGTTGAAAAAGTATAAATGAATTATGAAGATTATTTTCATTTTTGATATAGATGATGTGAATCACATTTTGACCACTAGGTTTTTTTTAGGTGAATTTGAATCAGATTAATGTTAGTGTTGCTATCCTTTTCTGTGCAGGGATGACACTCTTAAGGTTGATCCCTTTTGTCGTGTATTGTAATTAATTTCAAATTTAATGGACTTGATCTGTCTCGTCTCACCTCATCCTCTTCTTCCCTCTCAGGGTCTGGAGAGCTGTCTGAAAGGTCCGGATAATTACAACAGCCAAGTTTTAATAGAGGCCACCGTCATCGCTCTGACCAAGCTGCAGCCTCTACTCAGCAAGGTAAAAAGAAAATTACTTAAAACCAAAGATAAGACAAAATCTGTCTGTTTTAATGCTGCTGAGTATCAACAAAGTGAAAAAATGTTTTTTTTTACTTTCCCCCTTTGGGTTGATGTTGCTCAGTTGAATCTGTTTAATAATCAGATGTCTTAAGTGTAGTTTTGTTGTGATATGGGGTATAAATCTTTGTCATCCGCCGTGTTTGTAGATGTTGTTGTGACTGTTCTGAAAGTAAGAATAAATAAGAAAGAAGCATGCAAAGCACAAAAATGATCATCCATGGTGAATTATTATTTTTAGCTACTCTAGATTTTTTTCACTCAAACTTGATCAAGTCGTGCTCTAACAAGCCCCCTGTCTGTTTATGTGTGTGACTGTGTGTTTGTGTGGGTGTGCAGGAGTCTCCTATGCACAAAGCTCTTTTCTGGGTGGCAGTAGCTGTGCTGCAGCTGGATGAAGTGAACCTGTACTCTGCAGGCACTGCACTGCTGGAGCAAAACCTCCACACTCTGGACACCATGCGTGTTTTCAATGACAAGGTACAACACAGATACACACAAATACTGTTGTTGTCCCAGACGACTCAGGATGAAAGCACCATCACTTTAATTTGATTTTATGTAGAGAAAAAAAATCAACAAAAGTGGGAAAATATTTTTTTTTATTTTCCTTACTTAGTGTTCAGAGGGAGTTCAATGCAGAACAAATGTTATTGTTAATTCTGACTAAGAGTTCTTCACTGTCAATGTTAGGCACTCAGGCTCTGGGATTAATGTCATATGTAAAGTAGATAGATATACATAAATAAATCCTTGATACTTATAACGAACAAACAAACAAAGGAAACAGAAATTCTGCGTTCCCTTGATTCAAGTACCCCAATAACTTCACATCAATGTAAGAGAAACCTGAATTGTTAGTTGTAAATAAAACACAAAATTAAATACATTATGGATAATTTCGAAGTTGAGATGGTTGATTGAAAAAACAAAAGGTAGATTTTGATCAGCAACTAAAGCGATCGTCCTCCTCTTCTGCCTGTTGCAGAGTCCAGAGGAGGTGTTCATGGAGATCAGGCGTCCTTTAGAGTGGCACTGTAAGCAGATGGATCACTTTGTGGGCCTCAACTTCAGCGCCAACTTCAACTTTGCTCTGGTGGGGCATCTGCTCAAAGGTAAGAGATTAATGTGCATGTGCATAGTTCAGTCCTGCTGTAACAGGAAGTTTGGGTGATGACTTTTCTGTGTAGATAAATGCAGAAGTTTTACTGTGTGTTTCTATGCCCACAGGTTACAGACACCCTTCGGCCACCACAGTAGCGAGGACGGTGAGGATCTTGCACACTCTGCTGGCTCTCATCAGCAAACATCTCAAGTGTGACAAGTTTGAGGTCAACACACACAGTGTGGCATACTTGGCAGGTAAGAAACAGACTCTTTTACTGAATCTGAATAAAAGCTTTAAAAAAAAAAGAGGATTTTTAGGCAGAGTGATTTTTACTGGGCCTCAGTGCTACTGAAATTTTATTTACTTTGTGATCAAATGAAAAGGTCAGCACCTCATGCAAGAAAGAGACAGTCGAGCATGGGATGTTCAATTGTTACACATGAATTTGTCGTTATAACAGACGTTTAAATTACCACAGTAAAGAGGGAAGAAAAGACTCAGAAAACCATTAAAACTGAGCACGATTTATTTTACATACTGCCAAATCAGGCTAGAAGATACCATCTGCTCTCTGTTGTCTATGTTTGTTTATATCAGAGTAGAGCACTATAGCATCATGGCAGTGGCCCCAGCTAGTGGTGGGTGGATATGCCACGATTTAGTCACAACATATGGCTGGCATTTGGGGCCTTCAGGGGTGAAATATTAGTGATTATTTAAACAGTCTAACAGTTCTGGTGCTGACGATAAATAATTTAGTTCATATACACAAACATGCACATCCCTGGTCCCACACACTGCAGCAGACTCACCAGAAGTGACTTTTTGGATGAGTGGATTTGGTGTGGAGTGGTCAAGTGGTCTACACACACACACCGTCTCTCTCATTGTTTCCTGCTCTGTCCAATGTCCTGTCCTCTTCAAATACAGACAGACAAAATAGACAGGAAATACATCTTGGCAATATCCTGTCTTGCATTTCAGGTCTGTTTGACTCTAAATGGGGTCATAATTTAAAAAGAAAAAAAAAAGACATGTTGTAGACTTGAAAACTAGATATTGGAACTGGAAATTTTTAAGGAATAAGTTTCCCAAAGAACAAATCCACTGAAAATTAGCACCATTCCCAATAGTCATCTGTGTGATCAGACTTGTGTCATCAAGCAGTCAAGTTTCAGACATTTTTGCTTCTGCTTGAACCTCTTAAATACAGTCAATGCTTTTTTCTGCACCACAGAAATATCGACAGAAACGGGAGGGAGCTACCTTTTCTGCAGCCAACAATCAGCTCAAGATGCATGTTAGAGAGTCAAGATTCAGGGTTCATCAGTGTAACATTTACCAGTGCCTGACTTACAGCATCAGTGTTTTTCTGTTTTAGAATAACCTCATGGTTTCTTGTCTGTCCTTTTGTGGTGATGAATTTGTCTGATGTGGACTGGCCGTTGTTAATCCTCCTCTCCTCTCGTCTTCACATTCAGCTCTGCTCACGGTGTCAGAGGAGGTCCGGAGTCGATGCAGCCTCAAACACAGGAAGTCTTTGCTGATCTCTGACTTGTCTATGGACCCAGTGCCCATGGACACATACTCAAGTCACATCACTGATCCCAGCTGCAGGTAAAGCTGTCTGTGCTCTTTACATAGAGTACAAACTAGGTGTTGGTATAATGGAGAGTTGCACAAGAAAGGGGTCTCCACCTTTTCCTCATTTTATGATTCTGTGCTGGAAAAAATCTAACAGATGTTTCAAATCCAACTTTGAAATTAGTTGGATTTTTAAAAACTTTCTCATAGTTTCTTTCTCTCTGTCCTCTGTATAGTCAATGTTTTATGTCAGTTTTAACATTAGAGACCAGTTCCCTGTTGTGCACCACACTTATTAGCTCACATATCCTGGCTTTATTTGATATTAACAGATTACTTTCTTTTATATTTGTGAACATGAAGTCAGTCTAAGTTTTGAATCCAATGGTTTGAAAAAGTCTTAAATTAGTTGCAAGAACTTGTGATATCTGATCTTTGACCCCCTTTCAGGACTCTGCGAGAGACTCAGCCGTGGACATCCCCTCAGGTTTCAGAGCGTTACCTGTCCGCCCATCACTACCCTACTGTGGGTCAGATCAGCCCACGCACACGCAAGTCCATGAGCCTGGACATGGGACAACCATCACAGGCCAACACCAAGAAGCTCCTCGGTACGACTCTATGATGTTTCAGTTCATTCAGAGGAGAAATCATCTGTAAAATGCACATTTTAAACTTTTGATTTTTGCTTCTCAGGTACCAGGAAGAGCTTCGATCACCTCATTTCAGATTCTAAAGCACCAAAGAGACCAGAGATGGAGTCTGGTATGACCACACCTCCAAAGATGAGGCGTGTTGCAGAGAATGACTATGAGATCGGTGAGAATGCAAAACAACCTTAGTTTTTCCTCACAAAACATATCTTCAAATACACACTGTAACTTCAATTCTCCTTTTTTTCCAATCGCAGAGACTCAGAGAATCGGGAACTCTCACCTACGTAAGGTGTCAGTGTCAGAGTCTAATGTTCTGCTGGATGAGGAGGTTCTGACTGACCCCAAGATCCAGGCTTTGCTGCTCACTGTGCTGGTGAGGAAAAAAAAAACACAGCAGAAAACGGATTATAGACATAAAGCAGCATTATTTTATGTTTTCAAGTTACTGACTGTGCTCGTTTTCAGGCCACACAGGTCAAATACACTACAGACGACTTTGACCAGAGGATTCTGTACGAGTACTTGGCTGAAGCCAGCGTTGTCTTCCCAAAGGTTTTCCCTGTAGTGTAAGTACATACATTTCTGATAACTTCATGTTTGTGTTTCTGGGGTAATATGAACACCAGATTAACAATGAGGTGTCAATAGAGTTCATGATTTTCAAAATCATTTTGAAGCATGTAGAGCAGAAAGGGAAACAGCTTTTAGAGAGAGAGAGAGAGAGAGAGAGAGAGAGAGAGCAGGATCCTGTTGTCACTCATTTCTTTAAAAAAAAAAGAAAAACACTTGATTCAAAAGTCCTGAATCAGCAGGATTACTGAGTCAAGGACAAGTAGTTCTGCTACAAATGTTTTTTGTATTCAGTCACATGCATTTGTGTTTCAATGAGACGATACAATTTGAACATGGAGAAAATGGAGCAAAAAACTGCAGTCAGTAACTCTTTGAGAACTCGTGTCCTTGGCATAGGATATACAGTTTTCAGTTTCAGTATACCAAACAACATCGCAGTCGTTCAACAGGTGAGAAGTAATGACTAGTGAACAGGTGGTAATGAGAACTAGAATCCAGACAGAGTGAGCAGGACCTTAACATAAACCATAGAGGACATGTCGTTTATAATTTATCCTTTCCTACAAATAAAAACATTAACAAGTTGACACAAAATGTTGATTTAAAGATGATTTTTCTTGGGCACTAATGGCCTAATGACCTAAGGACCCAGCTTATGAGGCTATAGTCCTCTTCACAGAGGTCGCTGGTTCAATTCCCAACACAACCTTTAGTTGCATATGTCTTACCCCACTCTGTATTCCCCACATTTCCTGTCTGTCTTCAGCTGTCTCTCTTTTTATCTTATAAAGGGAAAAATATGCCCACAAATATAACTTAAATAAATAAATAAAATTTCAATTCACACTCAATTCAAAACATTGACCAGCCTGTTTATTTTAATTCACATTAAACTTAAACTTATAAAACATTTTTGTTGGTGATATTTTGAGACAAGGTAAATGAGGATTTTGCAGGAATATTTGTGAATATATTTCTTTCCTCATTCAACTCTCTCCCCTCTCCGAGTTTCAACATTGTCACACTATTAACTGAGACGGAAATCACCATGTTTAAGATTGTTGCTGTCATCACCTCCTCTCATGATTTGAGTTACTCTGTAGCAATTGGAAACTTAAGAGATACACTCAACAGCTCTGCTGTCGATGCTTCAATTGCAGGATAGGGTGTGTCCCCACACCTCTTTTTTCACATCTATGCCCAATAACTGTCATGATTTCCTGACTATTGAGTGCCAAGAACTTGTATAGGAAAGTTTAAGAAAACAGACACGAAACACATTTCTTTTTGCAGCACTGAATAGAAGTATGTCTCATCTATTTTAATTTTATTCTGAGTGTGCAAATTTGAGAAACCAAATATGAGTTATGTTATGTTCAAGGCTGTGGTATTACGACCTCTTACACCTTCTTAGGTTGCTGCATCGACTCTAAGACAAACCTCAAGTTGCTAACACTTGCGAGAGTAAAAATACTGACACAACAGGTGAACGTCTAAACTTAATTTAAACCACAGACAGTCTGAGTGACAGCAGAGCCTCACTTACACACTCTCAACATCACCTGTTAATGTGTGTGTTTTCTCTTCTGCAGCCACAACCTCCTGGACTCAAAGATCAACACTGTGCTGTCCATGTGTCAGGACACCAATCTGCTGAACCCGGTGCACGGCATCGTGCAGAGTGTGGTGTACCACGAAGAGTCGCCCCCTCAGTACCAGCCCTCCTATCTGCAGAGTAATGCACCTATCCGCTAGCTTACACAGGAGCAGATTTATAAAACATTTCAGATCTTTGTGCTTTTCTTAGTAAGCATTTTCACCCTGCCTCCCCTCTCTCCCCTGTCTCCCCCCTCCCCTTCATTTCACAGGCTTTGGCTTTAATGGGCTCTGGAGGTTTGCCGGACCTTTCTCTAAGGTATGACTGATCTCCGCTCCCGTCAGTTTTTCATTCTGTGTGAGACTCTCCTGGCTGCAGCGCGGGGGAATATTCAGCTTACTAAGCAATTACATGACAGCTGTGAAACCAGCCTGCCAATTGGTGCAGTGATATATGAAGCATAAAACACACGCACACACAAACACACACGTAGAGCAGCAGGAGAGAGATTGTAGATCATTTTTATTAGAGTTTTCAGATAATACCGAATCTAACTGCTGAAGAATTACAGTAAAAACCTTCCTGTGACGGATGCAGGCAGCACAGCCATGCATTGTATGTTTTGGTTGTTTCCTGCAATCAATATTTCAAACACTTTAATATGTTATTGAAATACTCGGACAACTCTCTGCTGCTACTGCAGTGCTTGGAATAACTACCAAATTATACCCTAACTCCCTCAAAGCATATAAGACCTCACACATTATTTGGCATAAGGAAAATGTGTTACTCTACACATCCGAGCCCTGACCTCCGCTCTAAAGCTGTGTTTCCATCAAGTGGTTTGGTTCAGTTCAGTACAGTTTGCAAATATTTGTGTTTCCATCAACGTGATATTATTTAATAATAGATATTACTTACCTGCAGGCAACATGACAAATATGAACTTTTCTCCCATGAAAATTCAGCTTAAGTCCAGATAAAAAGCTGTGCAGGTCACTTCTTTTGGGCTGTCCCAGCATTGTGTGAGAGCAGGATTTTACATGTTTTTTACATGTTGTGCCTGTCGTGTTTCTGCAGCACAGTGATTCAATGTCTTACACTGGGTCACTTGTATTACATTCCTGTAGAGTTCATTGTCTTAGTAGCACAAAGGTGTGGTGATGGCAGAACTGTGTAGCAGGGCTGTTTCATTATTACTATTTGTAAAAGGTCATTATAGCATGTCTCATTACAGTTTTAATTTAATATTTTGTTTTCGTTAATTTGAGGTAATCCTTGGGCCTGTCTGAAGGCGTGCAGTTTAGGACAGGCCCAAAACATGTGGTTATGATTTACTTCCTTGGAGTCAGAATTCCTGTAGAAGCTGGTAAAGCCTGACTGGTGAGACATCGAAACACGTGCAATCAAATACTAATTATGACTCCTCTAAGTGAGTAATATTCCATCAGCTGAGTCTGTTATTTCCCTTTGAGGTTGACAGAAGTTTGTCAATAAAAAGGTGGCGTGTTCTAAAGGAAAGGTTTTGAGGTGCAGCGAGAAGGATCTAGAAGAATCCAACAGAACAGACTTGGTAAAAATGGAATGAAATATCCATTAGTATGTTAAAGTGAGTCTACATCACCTGGGAAAAAGAAAAACATCTTGTTTTTGACAGCTTAGAATGAGACTTTGATATTTATAAAGGAGCGGGTCCCTTTCCACTGAGGCTGCCATCTTACACCCCTCATATTTCTGACAAGCCAAGATATACAGAATTGATGTTTCTTCACTCTGGATTGTTTTCTTGCTTTTTTTATATAAATTTTGTAAATATAAAGTCTGATTTTAGTCTTTTTTTATTGTTATATGACAGATTTTTGATTTATAATTAATTGTGAAAGAAGAATCCTGATAAAATTGTACTTTTGAAAACATTCAAGAAAAAAAAAAATCCCTTAGGTAAAATATCATTATGGGCTCTGTAGAAATATTTCACATGAATCAAATCTTCCACTTGAACAGAATGTGGTAAACTCTGTTCAGATGGATTATTGAGTTAAGGAAGTATCCCCCAATGTGACATTCTTTATCCCTCATGTTCTCTCTCAGCAAACTCAGATCCCCGACTACGCCGAGCTGATCGTGAAGTTCCTGGAGGCGTTGATTGACAGCTACCTGCCGGCAGCTGACGAGGAGCGAGGGGAGGAGCAGCTGAGGACCCCCACCTCCCCCTACCCCCCCAGCTCCCAGAGCCAGCTCAGCATCACTGCCAACCTCAACCTGTCCAACTCCATGACCTCACTGGCCACCTCGCAGCACTCGCCAGGTTTCAAACACACTTAAACACACGTTGAGGCACACACACACACACACACACCTAGACTGATTGATGTAGTCTGAAACTCTGTAGCTGATTCCCGTCACGCTGTAGGACAATATTTGGCCGATGAGGGGTGTAGTACTGTTGCTTATCTGCGACAAGTGCATTATGTTTTTCCCAATGCACGTCAGTGACAAAGCCACAACTTGCGACCGGATGATTTCAGTTTAATATTTGATGTTGTTTGTTGATCGTTTTTTGCAGCTGTTAATTTTAATGCTTCTGATTCAAAATCACAGTTCAGCCCGGTCTGGAGACATGCTTAGAGCATATTGAGTAAGAGGTTTCACAGTTTCGATTAGTTGAATAATGAAGTTGCGTCTTTGGGTGGAGGTGTGTTAGGAGGAGGTGTAGGTGTGTGGTGCATGAGCCAGGAGTATCTTAATCATTGCACGAGTGATTAGAGATCACTGCTCATCACCGGATTATTTTAGTGGAGTTAATTTTCAGGTGAAACTGTCCTTTCAGGAGGAGGAGCTGTGGCAGCTCTAGGAGTCTTATTAAATTAGTGTAAACTGTCATGTGTTGATATGGAGGACCTGAGTTCCTGTCACATATTTATCACTGAAAAGCTCCTGGGATTTCCATGTGAAAACACAAAGTCTTAATTCATTAAACAGGACATTACAGTGACTTTTCATCTGGACTTTCATGCATTTGTTTCACTTCTGTGTTAATTTTGTAAATGAGACCTGAGTGAACAGGAATGAACTTGAAAAATGTTTTCAAACCCTTCAACTGCAAACACAGACCCGTGTTTTTGACACTGTCTGAGAGAAATGTTAGTATTTGACAAAGAAACATAATCTGTGTTTGGTTGTTGTGACTAAATTTTACTTTTATTCATCAAATAAAATAATTAAGCTGCACTATTTCTTATATTTTAGCTACTGCAGCAGACAAAAAAGGAAACTGAAATCATACGGCTGAGAGTCTGAACAAAACAGACACAAAAAGCTCTTTCAAAATGAAGTGCTTTTTTGTTGAGATAGTGATCACCCTCTATGCTCCTACAGCAGTTTCAGTCCCAGTTTGAGACCGTGAACCACCAGTTTGAGAACAGTTCAGTCTGACGAGTTCTCTGTGCAGATTTTAGATGATTATAATTCATGTGCAGCTTTTTCAGATGTCTTTTTAACCTTCTTTGTTATGTGTTGTGTCTCTCTCTGCAGGTGTGGATAAGGAGAACGTCCAGCTCTCCCCCAGTTCTGCTCTGTCCACCGGGGGGCGCACTCGCCACGGCTCGGCCAGTCAGGTTCAAAAGCAGCGCAGTGCCGGCAGCTTCAAGAGACCCAGCATCAAGAAGATCGTCTGAACATCTGGTGAAAACCTGGACCACCCTCCTCTTCCTCCTCCTGTTCAGCTCTCCCCCAGCCTGCCAGGCCTTATGCTGCACTTCACCTTCTTATTTCTTCTTCTCCTTCTATATCTCTCCCCCCTGTCTCCTTCCTCTTCTTTCTCTTCTTCTTCTTCTTCAAGGTTGATGCTCTGGCAGGAGCGATTTTGCATCGAGGAGGAATATCCCAAAGGGCAGACCTGAATTTTGTGCTGCTTTGCTTTGAGTTGGCACATGTGGTCTAGGAGTTCTTCTTCTGTGGTGTCTGGAGGTCATGTGTGAGCTCGTCTCCAGTTGCTGGATGACGAAGGCCACTCTGACAAACACAAACAGTCCGGTAATGGAGAATCTTTGGCTGAAAAACTGTCTTACGTCCCTCAGCCTTCCTTAACACTCCTGTGACAGATGGCAGAATAGGGGGGCGGGGCCTCTTGGACACGTGAGCCCCTCCCCCTCGACCCTGTACATGTTTTACATAGACAGATTATGTATAACTAGTCCTTAGTGCTGATTTGATGTTGCCGTTCTCTCCATGGTGTGCCTTTGTCAGGGTTTTTCAATGTGTACGATTTGTAAAGGTAAACCTTGCCGGGGATGAAGAACAGGTACTAATTATGGAGGTGAGCTGTTCATATCACCATGAGTCCGACACGAGCTGCCTCGCCCGCGGCCTCCAATGATCGTCAGATATACAATCATCCATATACCCTGATGCCTGAGAGTATTTATCCTGTACAGCTAGATAGAGCCTCACTTCTTCTTCTTTTCAAACACTCTAATGTGTCCATGCGCAGAACACGAGGGGAAACGCAGCAACAGTGTAAATAGCTCCACGCTCTCTTTCTTTCTCCGTTTGTTCCTGTGTTTTTGGCTTTTATTTCTTTCTCTTTTTATTTATCTATCAATCTGTGCGTTTTAATTTGTTCACACAGCGACAGAAAAAAGTGTGAAATAGGCAATAATCCTCAACTCACTGATTTATCCCGTCAGCCATTGATTTTATTCCTGCAGAACCATCTGCAGCTCTGTCAACTTGGTGCAAAACAATGACTCGGTAGATTCAGCTCTTATCGATCACATCCGGTGATTATCTGCAGACAGGAAGGGGCACAAATCTTCAGCTGTTCACCTCCACAGTCTGAGCTGCAGTCATAACCCTCATGGGTCTCTTAAAGGAAAAGTCCACCCTGAAGAAACAGGTTTTGCTGGTTAGAAATCCTTTTTGCATTAAATTGTCGCGTATTAAACAAATAAAATAAGAGATCAAACTCTTCTCTAAGCAATTTGCGAAACAGAATAATTTTTCCCAAAGCATCAAAATGTAAGTAAACAAAAAACTTTTGTTTCCTGGAGTGAGACAAAAAGTTCAAACCTGGTAGATCAATTGCCAAATACACATCTCTGTAAGCTGCATCTTTGGCCACAAAATGGAGATTTAGTTTCTGTCATTTTCACTGTTCTCTGGTTTTCCAGAAGAAAAGAAAATATCATTTTTTTCCAAGGATTCAACTCAAACAGAAAGTTCTGCTTAGCAAGTGAAAAAAAAAGTGAGAAAGTGACAGTGAGTTTCAAAATGATCCAGCTACTAAACCCAAAATCCAAAATATTTCAGATCCAGACTGCAACACTTTTAGCCCAAAAATGAAAAAGTTAAAACCTTTATTGTCTCAACACACATGGCTTAATACTTTATTTTTACATACTGCTAATGCTGAACCCTAACCTTAGACGAGTCAGACTTCATGAACAGCACAGGATACCTTAAACAAAAATACTAGCCTTATTCTCTGTGCCACCTCATCCCAACTAGCACTGAGTCAGCTTAATGGAATGAAATCAATTGAAGTTAGGGAAATATTAGTCTAAACATCAGTACTGTTAATTCCCCAGGATCATCATAATCTTGAAAAAGCTGACACAGATCGATCGCACACCTCAGCTGATGAATACAAAATGGTGGATTTTTCCTTTAAAAGCTTTGATTTTAGAATTACTGTCGATAATCGATGTGTAAAACAAACCTGAGCAGATCTGGAAGCAGCAGATTCTTTACACCAAAGCTCTGCTCTAAAGGCCACTTTTCCCAGCATACTGCAGAGTTTGAGGAGGTGGAGTGTTTTAACCTTTCAGGCAGCTGTGGCCTTACACTTCTGTTGAAAGTCTTCACAAAATAAGCGTGCACAGATGATTCACGAGAAACAAGGGTGCGTGAGTGACACTATTATTAGAGGCACAATAAAATCTGTGTCGTTGTCACTCAAAGGAATGAAATAATGATGCCATCTTAAAGTTTATTGATCGATTGATTATTTTATATTAACTTTCTCAATCACAGTGTTTCTGTGTAATCTGCATTAAAGCGGTCACTGCAGTATTGACAAAAGATGACAGCTTCCTGTTTGAAAGCCTGAAGGTTAAAGACACACTGACAGACGTCAAACTCTCAGGTTTGCTGTGAGAACAGTCACCAAGTCGATCAGTAGCTGCGAATGGTCTCATGGAGGATTGTTTCTCATCTAAAGCTTCTTTCCTGCCTTAACATCTATGCATGGTAAGAGTTGGGCTGTACAACTCTTTCATATTCCTCACAGTTTGAAGAGTTTATGACACCTTCTGGAAAATCTGTGAATTAGTTCTGATGTTTTTTGTTTTTTGATTTTGTGGCTTCATCCAGTCAACACACACCGTGACAAGATAAATTCCACAGAAAGGGACATCATAAGTGACATTTTAAGGAACCGACTTCTGTAATTCAGCCACAAAGATTGACTTAAAGGGAAGGTTGATTATCAGATTAACAACGGGTTGAAGAAAAACACACTTTTTTTTATTTGCTTGTCTCAATCCAGAACCAGATCTGGGTGTGATTCTTGTGTTGCTGGAAAGCTTAAACATCATTTAGGGTTAACAGAAAGATCTTTTAATGAATCGCTTCAATTAATAATAGTCTGCAGAATCTCACTAAGATGATGGTGATACTTTCATGTCTCCCTGAATCTGCAGAAAAAGCTGTGCTACATGCCTTTCGGTCTATTCACTTTGTTTTGGTAGGTGTGTAAAACCCTGTCCTATAAACACAACAGGATGTTAAACAATTCCCCGTTTCTGTTGCTGTGCAAAGCTTTATTGAACAACTCTTTTGTTAAGTGCAATCATTTTCAAGTTTTCTGCCTTGAAAAAGTAACAATGGTTTCAGTCAAAGCTGTTCCAGATAAGTCCAATAAGCTCTTGATTTGAAGCAGCCATGCTCGTCAACAAGTCAAAGACACCTGTCACTGTTTTTGTTAAGTTTGTGCATCACAGGATTTCACTCAATCAGTGGCTACACTTAAAAAAAAAACATTGGAGTAAAAAAGACAGAACATGCCGTTATACAATTTTTCTGCTCTGATTTGATTTCCTTAGCCTAAAGAAACCACATGCAAACAAACACTGCATGAAGTTCAACACTAACAGGTTGGCTTCTTCAGAGGGAACAAAAAACCTGAATCAGCTGGAGTAGATTTAAAAAAGTGTCTCTAAATGGACCTCTAAACCCTTTTTTAAACATCTGCAAACACCTTTTGTTTGGTTTTCACGTTTGCCAAATCTCTTACCAAATAAAAAAAAAAAGGCTAAATTTAGTCATGCTCCTCATCAAGTAAAACCAGGAGTGTGATAGACTGTGATCTCTGTTTTGTTGGACTGAAAACACCCTCGATGAATCACCTTTCACAAAGCATAGGATTGCTGGTTGGTTTGCTTTTTGAAGGTATGGAAAACAATCAGAGCTATTACAATTTCACCTTCAAAAAGGGAGTTCAATTCATCAATATTTCTGTTTAACTGTCATTTCTCTTTTTTTTTTTGTGGTCGGGCTGAGCAACGCCTTCGGTGAATCACTGTGTACAGTGCATATGATAACTTGTTTGTCTGCTTTGGAGAGTCTTAGAAAATAAGCAATTAGAGCTCCACTAATTACAAATTGCCCTAATACCACTGGGGAGTTTACTGAGGCCTTTGTGTTATCCAAATAGCAAACAAATCATGGTTATGTCTGCTTCTCCAAACTGTCACTTTAATTTCTTACTTCACGTGTAAATAGTTTGATCCTGGTTTCAGAGTCAAGCATGAAGTGATCACCTTTTAGTCTCATTTCGTGACAAACATGCGGGATGTTTAGGTTGATAAAAAAAAAAAATCACATAAGGGTACATGAATTTACAAGTCTCATTGTCTCTGTTCACCACTTTTCATTGACTGTCCTCAAAGCTGCACTCCCTGATCATCCCCGTAAGCATCTACAAACCCTGAACCCCAGAGTTAGACCGTTCACCTGGAACAAAACACTACCAGGAAAACCATCTGTAGACATGAAGTATCTTAGCACCGTGTTTGCAGATCGCCATTGTTTCCAGGTTTTTAGTTTGACTTGTGTGTGAATGGAAATAATAAGGATGATGTATCCATAACCTCTTAAACAAGTGGTTGACTTGCACTAATTTAAAAACAGTCATGGGTTTGTAAAGATGAAAAACCTCATAATGTGGCATGTTTTATTTGATGTTATGCAAAATCCAACGTCTGTAGAGTAATAGTCCTGAGTTTTGTTTTTAATGCAGTATGTGTGACAATTGTAAATACTTTGTGTACAATTTGAGATGGTATATTTACTACACTGTACATACATGTGATATTGTATCATTTTGTTTTTGTAAAGCAGTTAGTTTCTGTATAATAATATACAAATTGAACTATTCCAGTGTTAGTAATAAAATGTTTTGCTCTCCACTATGTCGCTGAGTGATAACATTAACCAGCTCTCAAATTGTGGTTATGGATTTGCTCTCATTGTTTTGGCATTCATACTGATGTCTTGAAGGGAGCAACTTGACTGGTGAAAGACTGGATGCAACTTACAAACTCACTGGTTTTGGTAAATACAGAACAGGCCTTAAGTTTGGACACACCTTCTCATTCAATGCATTTTCTTTATTCTCATTACTATTTAAATTGTAGATTCTCACTGAGGGCATCAAATCTATGAATGAACACATGTGGAATCATGTGCTTAAGAAAAAAGTGTGAAATAACTGAAAACGTGTTTTATATTTTAGATTCCTCAAAGTTAGCCACAACATGCTTTTTTGATAGCACTGCAAACTTTTGCTGTTCTCTCAATGAGCTTCATGAGGTAATCACCTGAAATGGTTTTGACTTCACAGATGTGCCTTGTCAGGGTTCTGTCATGAAGAGCAAAGGGTGGCTGCTTTAAAGAAACTAGAATATAAAACATGTTTTCAGTTATTTCACACTTTTTTTTATAAGTACAAAATTCTACATGTGTTCATTCATAGTTTTGATGCCTTCAGTGATAATCTACAATGTAAATAGTTGTATAAAAACATAAGGAAAGGAAATTGAATGAGAAGGTGTTTCCAAATGTTTGGCCTGTACTGTACATCAACTTTGACCTTTTTTTTTTTTTTTTTTTAATCTTTTTTCTTCTAAAATTCAAAAGTCAGATAGGAGCATATCTCAATCTTCATTGTTTTTTGAGTGCAGAAAGCACTGACTGTCAAAGAGGCAAAACAAAAATATAAATGACTCAAACCTTCAGTTTTTAAGTGTGAAGCAGAGGACGACTTCACCCATTTCCGATCAATTAAAGCAAAAAAAGTGAAGCTGAAGTGAAGCTTGCAACTTAGACCCTGAGGTGCTTTAATTTCTTATAGGTTTGGCAGAAAAAGAGCAGGGTGTTAAGTCTGAGCTCGAAAGCCCTGAACAAGACGGTGCTGACGCCCATCCGCTCTTGCTCAACCCAAAACTGCCCCAGTGCCAGCCGAAGGTCCCTGTTTGGTAAGAAGAAAAACATCATCTGCAAAAAGAAAATAAGACTCTCTCCTCACCCTGCTGCACCTTGAGGTGTGCTTGAAAATCACAAACATAATCTCTGACAATTAAAAATGCTGGCAATGGCCAACACCCATTAAAACGTGCTTGACTTTGAGCCAAGAAAAACTAACAGCTTTTTCGTCTGTTACGTAAGGATTGCATGCCCTCCTGTAGACTTTCTTTCTTTCCTATGGTCAGTGTAATATATGGGGGCAGGAAGGGAAAAATCCTGTGATTCCTCCACTAATCTATAAAGAGAGCCACCTGTTTTTTCAAAGATATTCTGATCAGATCTAAGCTTTCCTGTTGAATCCATTTTGGAAAAGTTATAAAAAGAAAGAAAAACATACCAGGAATTACAGTACTACCGTTTTGTTTTTCATCCAGCAAACATGTTCAGTTTGTGCCAATGAAAACTTTTCAGGGGGTGATGATAACTTCGATCCAAAACTGTTCCAAAATGATAATGACAATAACGGGTTTGTTTTTCAGGTTATGCTGAATGAATCTCTAGTGGCTGAGAGGAACTTTGAGTTTGCAGGAATTTCAATGATTCATGTGAAAACATGCAAAGAACTCCATTCAGAGATCTACCTATCTGGATCTAGTAATCTGAAAAGTCTGTATCTGGATTATATTGAGCCAATCCAGCTAGAATAATGATAATAATTATGAAACATAACAAACACAAAATGGGCAGAAATAATGGATTTCCAAATCCTTCTGTTCCACCTTTTAGACTGTTGTGAGGTACTGATGTGATTTCAAAGAAACAAAACTTACCTAGGCAACAGCAGTAACATGGGGTATAATTAATTACACAATAGCTACATCACTGTCCCATGTTTTGCATATTGCTCTTGAAGGACACCAGTATATTGCTGCTGACATTTAAACTCAAACTGGTCCTGGGTCATTCCAGCTGTGGGTGTAAACAAACTCTGAGTTGATGAAAACCAGTCTCGTTTGATAAGTAAACCTGAGAATACCATGAATCCCTGAGCCGTTGGTTAATGTGCATTTGTTTTCGTCACGAGTCAAAATTACAAAGGAGCCAATAGCTCCTCTCAGTTAACTCAAATGTCTGTCAGCTTAGTGCACACCCTGTTTCACTGCAGCATGCTAACATGTGATTACAAGCTACATAACAGAATCCCATAATTTCAACCAATACCACTTTCAATCAGCAATTATTCATTTTAGACCACAATTCACTTACAATGGCACAGTTATCAACCATAAGACAGCACACAATGCGTAACCAACAACAACAACAAGAATCACATTTTTAGGTAAGACAAAATCAGCAGCCCAACCACTCAATCAGCCATTAGAACAACGTTATTGATGACAACTGCCAACAAGCTTACAGTGTTCTCTTCCCAGTCTAGCATATTTGAGGCAACCCGCTCTTTCTAGATGGCAACTACAACAACAAAAACAAGTCCATCAACCAGCAAAACATCACGGAGCCCCCAAAAAAGTTGATGCACATGACAACAGACAGTAGAAACCAACCAGAATGCTGGCCAAACATCAAGCAGCCCATCTACCACTCAATCAGCATCACCAACAACAACCATCACACCAACAGATGCAACAACTACAACAACATCCCAGACAACCAGCAGCCCAACTACCCTAGAACCAAAAAGTGGCCAAACAACCACCAGCTCTTTGAATGAGGCAACCACAACTACAACAACAAAAACAAGTCCATCAACCAGCAAAACAACCCAGCACACAACCAGCGTATCACCAAATGATGCAACAACTAGCCAAACAAGAACCACTCCAACCACAAGCCTCACAAGACTGGCCAAACATCAAGCAGCCCATCTACCACTCAATCAGCATCACCAACAACAACCATCACACCAACAGATGCAACAACTACAACAACATCCCAGACAACCAGCAGCCCAACTACCCTAGAACCAAAAAGTGGCCAAACAACCACCAGCTCTTTGAATGAGGCAACCACAACTACAACAACAAAAACAAGTCCATCAACCAGCAAAACAACCCAGCACACAACCAGCGTATCACCAAATGATGCAACAACTAGCCAAACAAGAACCACTCCAACCACAAGCCTCACGACTGGCCAAACATCAAGCAGCCCATCTACCACTCAATCAGCATCACCAACAACAACCATCACACCAACAGATGCAACAACTACAACAACATCCCAGACAACCAGCAGCCCAACTACCCTAGAACCAAAAAGTGGCCAAACAACCACCAGCTCTTTGAATGAGGCAACCACAACTACAACAACAAAAACAAGTCCATCAACCAGCAAAACAACCCAGCACACAACCAGCGTATCACCAAATGATGCAACAACTAGCCAAACAAGAACCACTCCAACCACAAGCCTCACGACTGGCCAAACATCAAGCAGCCCATCTACCACTCAATCAGCATCACCAACAACAACCATCACACCAACAGATGCAACAACTACAACAACATCCCAGACAACCAGCAGCCCAACTACCCTAGAACCAAAAAGTGGCCAAACAACCACCAGCTCTTTGAATGAGGCAACCACAACTACAACAACAAAAACAAGTCCATCAACCAGCAAAACAACCCAGCACACAACCAGCGTATCACCAAATGATGCAACAACTAGCCAAACAAGAACCACTCCAACCACAAGCCTCACGACTGGCCAAACATCAAGCAGCCCATCTACCACTCAATCAGCATCACCAACAACAACCATCACACCAACAGATGCAACAACTACAACAACATCCCAGACAACCAGCAGCCCAACTACCCTCAAAACAACAAGTGGCCAAACAACCACCAGCTCTTTGAATGAGGCAACCACAACTACAACAACAAAAACAAGTCCATCAACCAGCAAAACAACCCAGCACACAACCAGCGTATCACCAAATGATGCAACAACTAGCCAAACAAGAACCACTCCAACCACAAGCCTCACGACTGGCCAAACATCAAGCAGCCCATCTACCACTCAATCAGCATCACCAACAACAACCATCACACCAACAGATGCAACAACTACAACAACATCCCAGACAACCAGCAGCCCAACTACCCTAGAACCAAAAAGTGGCCAAACAACCACCAGCTCTTTGAATGAGGCAACCACAACTACAACAACAAAAACAAGTCCATCAACCAGCAAAACAACCCAGCACACAACCAGCGTATCACCAAATGATGCAACAACTAGCCAAACAAGAACCACTCCAACCACAAGCCTCACGACTGGCCAAACATCAAGCAGCCCATCTACCACTCAATCAGCATCACCAACAACAACCATCACACCAACAGATGCAACAACTACAACAACATCCCAGACAACCAGCAGCCCAACTACCCTCAAAACCAAAAAGTGGCCAAACAACCACCAGCTCTTTGAATGAGGCAACCACAACTACAACAACAAAAACAAGTCCATCAACCAGCAAAACAACCCAGCACACAACCAGCGTATCACCAAATGATGCAACAACTAGCCAAACAAGAACCACTCCAACCACAAGCCTCACGACTGGCCAAACATCAAGCAGCCCATCTACCACTCAATCAGCATCACCAACAACAACCATCACACCAACAGATGCAACAACTACAACAACATCCCAGACAACCAGCAGCCCAACTACCCTAGAACCAAAAAGTGGCCAAACAACCACCAGCTCTTTGAATGAGGCAACCACAACTACAACAACAAAAACAAGTCCATCAACCAGCAAAACAACCCAGCACACAACCAGCGTATCACCAAATGATGCAACAACTAGCCAAACAAGAACCACTCCAACCACAAGCCTCACGACTGGCCAAACATCAAGCAGCCCATCTACCACTCAATCAGCATCACCAACAACAACCATCACACCAACAGATGCAACAACTACAACAACATCCCAGACAACCAGCAGCCCAACTACCCTAGAACCAAAAAGTGGCCAAACAACCACCAGCTCTTTGAATGAGGCAACCACAACTACAACAACAAAAACAAGTCCATCAACCAGCAAAACAACCCAGCACACAACCAGCGTATCACCAAATGATGCAACAACTAGCCAAACAAGAACCACTCCAACCACAAGCCTCACGACTGGCCAAACATCAAGCAGCCCATCTACCACTCAATCAGCATCACCAACAACAACCATCACACCAACAGATGCAACAACTACAACAACATCCCAGACAACCAGCAGCCCAACTACCCTAGAACCAAAAAGTGGCCAAACAACCACCAGCTCTTTGAATGAGGCAACCACAACTACAACAACAAAAACAAGTCCATCAACCAGCAAAACAACCCAGCACACAACCAGCGTATCACCAAATGATGCAACAACTAGCCAAACAAGAACCACTCCAACCACAAGCCTCACGACTGGCCAAACATCAAGCAGCCCATCTACCACTCAATCAGCATCACCAACAACAACCATCACACCAACAGATGCAACAACTACAACAACATCCCAGACAACCAGCAGCCCAACTACCCTCAAAACAACAAGTGGCCAAACAACCACCAGCTCTTTGAATGAGGCAACCACAACTACAACAACAAAAACAAGTCCATCAACCAGCAAAACAACCCAGCACACAACCAGCGTATCACCAAATGATGCAACAACTAGCCAAACAAGAACCACTCCAACCACAAGCCTCACGACTGGCCAAACATCAAGCAGCCCATCTACCACTCAATCAGCATCACCAACAACAACCATCACACCAACAGATGCAACAACTACAACAACATCCCAGACAACCAGCAGCCCAACTACCCTAGAAACAAAAAGTGGCCAAACAACCACCAGCTCTTTGAATGAGGCAACCACAACTACAACAACAAAAACAAGTCCATCAACCAGCAAAACAACCCAGCACACAACCAGCGTATCACCAAATGATGCAACAACTAGCCAAACAAGAACCACTCCAACCACAAGCCTCACGACTGGCCAAACATCAAGCAGCCCATCTACCACTCAATCAGCATCACCAACAACAACCATCACACCAACAGATGCAACAACTACAACAACATCCCAGACAACCAGCAGCCCAACTACCCTAGAACCAAAAAGTGGCCAAACAACCACCAGCTCTTTGAATGAGGCAACCACAACTACAACAACAAAAACAAGTCCATCAACCAGCAAAACAACCCAGCACACAACCAGCGTATCACCAAATGATGCAACAACTAGCCAAACAAGAACCACTCCAACCACAAGCCTCACGACTGGCCAAACATCAAGCAGCCCATCTACCACTCAATCAGCATCACCAACAACAACCATCACACCAACAGATGCAACAACTACAACAACATCCCAGACAACCAGCAGCCCAACTACCCTAGAACCAAAAAGTGGCCAAACAACCACCAGCTCTTTGAATGAGGCAACCACAACTACAACAACAAAAACAAGTCCATCAACCAGCAAAACAACCCAGCACACAACCAGCGTATCACCAAATGATGCAACAACTAGCCAAACAAGAACCACTCCAACCACAAGCCTCACGACTGGCCAAACATCAAGCAGCCCATCTACCACTCAATCAGCATCACCAACAACAACCATCACACCAACAGATGCAACAACTACAACAACATCCCAGACAACCAGCAGCCCAACTACCCTAGAACCAAAAAGTGGCCAAACAACCACCAGCTCTTTGAATGAGGCAACCACAACTACAACAACAAAAACAAGTCCATCAACCAGCAAAACAACCCAGCACACAACCAGCGTATCACCAAATGATGCAACAACTAGCCAAACAAGAACCACTCCAACCACAAGCCTCACGACTGGCCAAACATCAAGCAGCCCATCTACCACTCAATCAGCATCACCAACAACAACCATCACACCAACAGATGCAACAACTACAACAACATCCCAGACAACCAGCAGCCCAACTACCCTCAAAACAACAAGTGGCCAAACAACCACCAGCTCTTTGAATGAGGCAACCACAACTACAACAACAAAAACAAGTCCATCAACCAGCAAAACAACCCAGCACACAACCAGCGTATCACCAAATGATGCAACAACTAGCCAAACAAGAACCACTCCAACCACAAGCCTCACGACTGGCCAAACATCAAGCAGCCCATCTACCACTCAATCAGCATCACCAACAACAACCATCACACCAACAGATGCAACAACTACAACAACATCCCAGACAACCAGCAGCCCAACTACCCTAGAACCAAAAAGTGGCCAAACAACCACCAGCTCTTTGAATGAGGCAACCACAACTACAACAACAAAAACAAGTCCATCAACCAGCAAAACAACCCAGCACACAACCAGCGTATCACCAAATGATGCAACAACTAGCCAAACAAGAACCACTCCAACCACAAGCCTCACGACTGGCCAAACATCAAGCAGCCCATCTACCACTCAATCAGCATCACCAACAACAACCATCACACCAACAGATGCAACAACTACAACAACATCCCAGACAACCAGCAGCCCAACTCCCCTCAAAACAACAAGTGGCCAAACAACCACCAGCTCTTTGAATGAGGCAACCACAACTACAACAACAAAAACAAGTCCATCAACCAGCAAAACAACCCAGCACACAACCAGCGTATCACCAAATGATGCAACAACTAGCCAAACAAGAACCACTCCAACCACAAGCCTCACGACTGGCCAAACATCAAGCAGCCCATCTACCACTCAATCAGCATCACCAACAACAACCATCACACCAACAGATGCAACAACTACAACAACATCCCAGACAACCAGCAGCCCAACTACCCTAGAACCAAAAAGTGGCCAAACAACCACCAGCTCTTTGAATGAGGCAACCACAACTACAACAACAAAAACAAGTCCATCAACCAGCAAAACAACCCAGCACACAACCAGCGTATCACCAAATGATGCAACAACTAGCCAAACAAGAACCACTCCAACCACAAGCCTCACGACTGGCCAAACATCAAGCAGCCCATCTACCACTCAATCAGCATCACCAACAACAACCATCACACCAACAGATGCAACAACTACAACAACATCCCAGACAACCAGCAGCCCAACTACCCTCAAAACAACAAGTGGCCAAACAACCACCAGCTCTTTGAATGAGGCAACCACAACTACAACAACAAAAACAAGTCCATCAACCAGCAAAACAACCCAGCACACAACCAGCGTATCACCAAATGATGCAACAACTAGCCAAACAAGAACCACTCCAACCACAAGCCTCACGACTGGCCAAACATCAAGCAGCCCATCTACCACTCAATCAGCATCACCAACAACAACCATCACACCAACAGATGCAACAACTACAACAACATCCCAGACAACCAGCAGCCCAACTACCCTAGAACCAAAAAGTGGCCAAACAACCACCAGCTCTTTGAATGAGGCAACCACAACTACAACAACAAAAACAAGTCCATCAACCAGCAAAACAACCCAGCACACAACCAGCGTATCACCAAATGATGCAACAACTAGCCAAACAAGAACCACTCCAACCACAAGCCTCACGACTGGCCAAACATCAAGCAGCCCATCTACCACTCAATCAGCATCACCAACAACAACCATCACACCAACAGATGCAACAACTACAACAACATCCCAGACAACCAGCAGCCCAACTACCCTAGAACCAAAAAGTGGCCAAACAACCACCAGCTCTTTGAATGAGGCAACCACAACTACAACAACAAAAACAAGTCCATCAACCAGCAAAACAACCCAGCACACAACCAGCGTATCACCAAATGATGCAACAACTAGCCAAACAAGAACCACTCCAACCACAAGCCTCACGACTGGCCAAACATCAAGCAGCCCATCTACCACTCAATCAGCATCACCAACAACAACCATCACACCAACAGATGCAACAACTACAACAACATCCCAGACAACCAGCAGCCCAACTACCCTAGAACCAAAAAGTGGCCAAACAACCACCAGCTCTTTGAATGAGGCAACCACAACTACAACAACAAAAACAAGTCCATCAACCAGCAAAACAACCCAGCACACAACCAGCGTATCACCAAATGATGCAACAACTAGCCAAACAAGAACCACTCCAACCACAAGCCTCACGACTGGCCAAACATCAAGCAGCCCATCTACCACTCAATCAGCATCACCAACAACAACCATCACACCAACAGATGCAACAACTACAACAACATCCCAGACAACCAGCAGCCCAACTACCCTAGAACCAAAAAGTGGCCAAACAACCACCAGCTCTTTGAATGAGGCAACCACAACTACAACAACAAAAACAAGTCCATCAACCAGCAAAACAACCCAGCACACAACCAGCGTATCACCAAATGATGCAACAACTAGCCAAACAAGAACCACTCCAACCACAAGCCTCACGACTGGCCAAACATCAAGCAGCCCATCTACCACTCAATCAGCATCACCAACAACAACCATCACACCAACAGATGCAACAACTACAACAACATCCCAGACAACCAGCAGCCCAACTACCCTCAAAACAACAAGTGGCCAAACAACCACCAGCTCTTTGAATGAGGCAACCACAACTACAACAACAAAAACAAGTCCATCAACCAGCAAAACAACCCAGCACACAACCAGCGTATCACCAAATGATGCAACAACTAGCCAAACAAGAACCACTCCAACCACAAGCCTCACGACTGGCCAAACATCAAGCAGCCCATCTACCACTCAATCAGCATCACCAACAACAACCATCACACCAACAGATGCAACAACTACAACAACATCCCAGACAACCAGCAGCCCAACTACCCTAGAACCAAAAAGTGGCCAAACAACCACCAGCTCTTTGAATGAGGCAACCACAACTACAACAACAAAAACAAGTCCATCAACCAGCAAAACAACCCAGCACACAACCAGCGTATCACCAAATGATGCAACAACTAGCCAAACAAGAACCACTCCAACCACAAGCCTCACGACTGGCCAAACATCAAGCAGCCCATCTACCACTCAATCAGCATCACCAACAACAACCATCACACCAACAGATGCAACAACTACAACAACATCCCAGACAACCAGCAGCCCAACTACCCTAGAACCAAAAAGTGGCCAAACAACCACCAGCTCTTTGAATGAGGCAACCACAACTACAACAACAAAAACAAGTCCATCAACCAGCAAAACAACCCAGCACACACAACCAGCGTATCACCAAATGATGCAACAACTAGCCAAACAAGAACCACTCCAACCACAAGCCTCACGACTGGCCAAACATCAAGCAACCCATCTACCACTCAATCAGCATCACCAACAACAACCATCACACCAACAGATGCAACAACTACAACAACATCCCAGACAACCAGCAGCCCAACTACCCTAGAACCAAAAAGTGGCCAAACAACCACCAGCTCTTTGAATGAGGCAACCACAACTACAACAACAAAAACAAGTCCATCAACCAGCAAAACAACCCAGCACACAACCAGCGTATCACCAAATGATGCAACAACTAGCCAAACAAGAACCACTCCAACCACAAGCCTCACGACTGGCCAAACATCAAGCAGCCCATCTACCACTCAATCAGCATCACCAACAACAACCATCACACCAACAGATGCAACAACTACAACAACATCCCAGACAACCAGCAGCCCAACTACCCTCAAAACAACAAGTGGCCAAACAACCACCAGCTCTTTGAATGAGGCAACCACAACTACAACAACAAAAACAAGTCCATCAACCAGCAAAACAACCCAGCACACAACCAGCGTATCACCAAATGATGCAACAACTAGCCAAACAAGAACCACTCCAACCACAAGCCTCACGACTGGCCAAACATCAAGCAGCCCATCTACCACTCAATCAGCATCACCAACAACAACCATCACACCAACAGATGCAACAACTACAACAACATCCCAGACAACCAGCAGCCCAACTACCCTAGAACCAAAAAGTGGCCAAACAACCACCAGCTCTTTGAATGAGGCAACCACAACTACAACAACAAAAACAAGTCCATCAACCAGCAAAACAACCCAGCACACAACCAGCGTATCACCAAATGATGCAACAACTAGCCAAACAAGAACCACTCCAACCACAAGCCTCACGACTGGCCAAACATCAAGCAGCCCATCTACCACTCAATCAGCATCACCAACAACAACCATCACACCAACAGATGCAACAACTACAACAACATCCCAGACAACCAGCAGCCCAACTACCCTAGAACCAAAAAGTGGCCAAACAACCACCAGCTCTTTGAATGAGGCAACCACAACTACAACAACAAAAACAAGTCCATCAACCAGCAAAACAACCCAGCACACAACCAGCGTATCACCAAATGATGCAACAACTAGCCAAACAAGAACCACTCCAACCACAAGCCTCACGACTGGCCAAACATCAAGCAGCCCATCTACCACTCAATCAGCATCACCAACAACAACCATCACACCAACAGATGCAACAACTACAACAACATCCCAGACAACCAGCAGCCCAACTACCCTCAAAACAACAAGTGGCCAAACAACCACCAGCTCTTTGAATGAGGCAACCACAACTACAACAACAAAAACAAGTCCATCAACCAGCAAAACAACCCAGCACACAACCAGCGTATCACCAAATGATGCAACAACTAGCCAAACAAGAACCACTCCAACCACAAGCCTCACGACTGGCCAAACATCAAGCAGCCCATCTACCACTCAATCAGCATCACCAACAACAACCATCACACCAACAGATGCAACAACTACAACAACATCCCAGACAACCAGCAGCCCAACTACCCTCAAAACAACAAGTGGCCAAACAACCACCAGCTCTTTGAATGAGGCAACCACAACTACAACAACAAAAACAAGTCCATCAACCAGCAAAACAACCCAGCACACAACCAGCGTATCACCAAATGATGCAACATCAAGCCAAACAAGAACCACTCCAACCACAAGCCTCACGACTGGCCAAACATCAAGCAGCCCATCTACCACTCAATCAGCATCACCAACAACAACCATCACACCAACAGATGCAACAACTACAACAACATCCCAGACAACCAGCAGCCCAACTACCCTAGAACCAACAAGTGGCCAAACAACCACCAGCTCTTTGAATGAGGCAACCACAACTACAACAACAAAAACAAGTCCATCAACCAGCAAAACAACCCAGCACACAACCAGCGTATCACCAAATGATGCAACAACTAGCCAAACAAGAACCACTCCAACCACAAGCCTCACGACTGGCCAAACATCAAGCAGCCCATCTACCACTCAATCAGCATCACCAACAACAACCATCACACCAACAGATGCAACAACTACAACAACATCCCAGACAACCAGCAGCCCAACTACCCTAGAACCAAAAAGTGGCCAAACAACCACCAGCTCTTTGAATGAGGCAACCACAACTACAACAACAAAAACAAGTCCATCAACCAGCAAAACAACCCAGCACACAACCAGCGTATCACCAAATGATGCAACAACTAGCCAAACAAGAACCACTCCAACCACAAGCCTCACGACTGGCCAAACATCAAGCAGCCCATCTACCACTCAATCACATCACCAACAACAACCATCACACCAACAGATGCAACAACTACAACAACATCCCAGACAACCAGCAGCCCAACTACCCTCAAAACAAAAGTGGCCAAACAACCACCAGCTCTTTGAATGAGGCAACCACAACTACAACAACAAAAACAAGTCCATCAACCAGCAAAACAACCCAGCACACAACCAGCGTATCACCAAATGATGCAACAACTAGCCAAACAAGAACCACTCCAACCACAAGCCTCACGACTGGCCAAACATCAAGCAGCCCATCTACCACTCAATCAGCATCACCAACAACAACCATCACACCAACAGATGCAACAACTACAACAACATCCCAGACAACCAGCAGCCCAACTACCCTAGAACCAAAAAGTGGCCAAACAACCACCAGCTCTTTGAATGAGGCAACCACAACTACAACAACAAAAACAAGTCCATCAACCAGCAAAACAACCCAGCACACAACCAGCGTATCACCAAATGATGCAACAACTAGCCAAACAAGAACCACTCCAACCACAAGCCTCACGACTGGCCAAACATCAAGCAGCCCATCTACCACTCAATCAGCATCACCAACAACAACCATCACACCAACAGATGCAACAACTACAACAACATCCCAGACAACCAGCAGCCCAACTACCCTCAAAACAACAAGTGGCCAAACAACCACCAGCTCTTTGAATGAGGCAACCACAACTACAACAACAAAAACAAGTCCATCAACCAGCAAAACAACCCAGCACACAACCAGCGTATCACCAAATGATGCAACAACTAGCCAAACAAGAACCACTCCAACCACAAGCCTCACGACTGGCCAAACATCAAGCAGCCCATCTACCACTCAATCAGCATCACCAACAACAACCATCACACCAACAGATGCAACAACTACAACAACATCCCAGACAACCAGCAGCCCAACTACCCTAGAACCAACAAGTGGCCAAACAACCACCAGCTCTTTGAATGAGGCAACCACAACTACAACAACAAAAACAAGTCCATCAACCAGCAAAACAACCCAGCACACAACCAGCGTATCACCAAATGATGCAACAACTAGCCAAACAAGAACCACTCCAACCACAAGCCTCACGACTGGCCAAACATCAAGCAGCCCATCTACCACTCAATCAGCATCACCAACAACAACCATCACACCAACAGATGCAACAACTACAACAACATCCCAGACAACCAGCAGCCCAACTACCCTAGAACCAAAAAGTGGCCAAACAACCACCAGCTCTTTGAATGAGGCAACCACAACTACAACAACAAAAACAAGTCCATCAACCAGCAAAACAACCCAGCACACAACCAGCGTATCACCAAATGATGCAACAACTAGCCAAACAAGAACCACTCCAACCACAAGCCTCACGACTGGCCAAACATCAAGCAGCCCATCTACCACTCAATCAGCATCACCAACAACAACCATCACACCAACAGATGCAACAACTACAACAACATCCCAGACAACCAGCAGCCCAACTACCCTAGAACCAAAAAGTGGCCAAACAACCACCAGCTCTTTGAATGAGGCAACCACAACTACAACAACAAAAACAAGTCCATCAACCAGCAAAACAACCCAGCACACAACCAGCGTATCACCAAATGATGCAACAACTAGCCAAACAAGAACCACTCCAACCACAAGCCTCACGACTGGCCAAACATCAAGCAGCCCATCTACCACTCAATCAGCATCACCAACAACAACCATCACACCAACAGATGCAACAACTACAACAACATCCCAGACAACCAGCAGCCCAACTACCCTAGAACCAAAAAGTGGCCAAACAACCACCAGCTCTTTGAATGAGGCAACCACAACTACAACAACAAAAACAAGTCCATCAACCAGCAAAACAACCCAGCACACAACCAGCGTATCACCAAATGATGCAACAACTAGCCAAACAAGAACCACTCCAACCACAAGCCTCACGACTGGCCAAACATCAAGCAGCCCATCTACCACTCAATCAGCATCACCAACAACAACCATCACACCAACAGATGCAACAACTACAACAACATCCCAGACAACCAGCAGCCCAACTACCCTCAAAACAACAAGTGGCCAAACAACCACCAGCTCTTTGAATGAGGCAACCACAACTACAACAACAAAAACAAGTCCATCAACCAGCAAAACAACCCAGCACACAACCAGCGTATCACCAAATGATGCAACAACTAGCCAAACAAGAACCACTCCAACCACAAGCCTCACGACTGGCCAAACATCAAGCAGCCCATCTACCACTCAATCAGCATCACCAACAACAACCATCACACCAACAGATGCAACAACTACAACAACATCCCAGACAACCAGCAGCCCAACTACCCTCAAACAACAAGTGGCCAAACAACCACCAGCTCTTTGAATGAGGCAACCACAACTACAACAACAAAAACAAGTCCATCAACCAGCAAAACAACCCAGCACACAACCAGCGTATCACCAAATGATGCAACAACTAGCCAAACAAGAACCACTCCAACCACAAGCCTCACGACTGGCCAAACATCAAGCAGCCCATCTACCACTCAATCAGCATCACCAACAACAACCATCACACCAACAGATGCAACAACTACAACAACATCCCAGACAACCAGCAGCCCAACTACCCTAGAACCAAAAAGTGGCCAAACAACCACCAGCTCTTTGAATGAGGCAACCACAACTACAACAACAAAAACAAGTCCATCAACCAGCAAAACAACCCAGCACACAACCAGCGTATCACCAAATGATGCAACAACTAGCCAAACAAGAACCACTCCAACCACAAGCCTCACGACTGGCCAAACATCAAGCAGCCCATCTACCACTCAATCAGCATCACCAACAACAACCATCACACCAACAGATGCAACAACTACAACAACATCCCAGACAACCAGCAGCCCAACTACCCTAGAACCAAAAAAAAGTGGCCAAACAACCACCAGCTCTTTGAATGAGGCAACCACAACTACAACAACAAAAACAAGTCCATCAACCAGCAAAACAACCCAGCACACAACCAGCGTATCACCAAATGATGCAACAACTAGCCAAACAAGAACCACTCCAACCACAAGCCTCACGACTGGCCAAACATCAAGCAGCCCATCTACCACTCAATCAGCCTCACCAACAACAACCATCACACCAACAGATGCAACAACTACAACAACATCCCAGACAACCAGCAGCCCAACTACCCTAGAACCAAAAAGTGGCCAAACAACCACCAGCTCTTTGAATGAGGCAACCACAACTACAACAACAAAAACAAGTCCATCAACCAGCAAAACAACCCAGCACACAACCAGCGTATCACCAAATGATGCAACAACTAGCCAAACAAGAACCACTCCAACCACAAGCCTCACGACTGGCCAAACATCAAGCAGCCCATCTACCACTCAATCAGCATCACCAACAACAACCATCACACCAACAGATGCAACAACTACAACAACATCCCAGACAAACAGCAGCCCAACTACCCTCAAAACAACAAGTGGCCAAACAACCACCAGCTCTTTGAATGAGGCAACCACAACTACAACAACAAAAACAAGTCCATCAACCAGCAAAACAACCCAGCACACAACCAGCGTATCACCAAATGATGCAACAACTAGCCAAACAAGAACCACTCCAACCACAAGCCTCACGACTGGCCAAACATCAAGCAGCCCATCTACCACTCAATCAGCATCACCAACAACAACCATCACACCAACAGATGCAACAACTACAACAACATCCCAGACAACCAGCAGCCCAACTACCCTCAAAACAACAAGTGGCCAAACAACCACCAGCTCTTTGAATGAGGCAACCACAACTACAACAACAAAAACAAGTCCATCAACCAGCAAAACAACCCAGCACACAACCAGCGTATCACCAAATGATGCAACAACTAGCCAAACAACAACCACTCCAACCACAAGCCTCACGACTGGCCAAACATTAAGTAGCCCATCTACCACTCAATCAGCATCACCAACAACAACCATCACACCAACAGATGCAACAACTACAACAACATCCCAGACAACCAGCAGCCCAACTACCCTCAAAACAACAAGTGGCCAAACAACCACCAGCTCTTTGAATGAGGCAACCACAACTACAACAACAAAAACAAGTCCATCAACCAGCAAAACAACCCAGCACACAACCAGCGTATCACCAAATGATGCAACAACTAGCCAAACAAGAACCACTCCAACCACAAGCCTCACGACTGGCCAAACATCAAGCAGCCCATCTACCACTCAATCAGCATCACCAACAACAACCATCACACCAACAGATGCAACAACTACAACAACATCCCAGACAACCAGCAGCCCAACTACCCTAGAACCAAAAAGTGGCCAAACAACCACCAGCTCTTTGAATGAGGCAACCACAACTACAACAACAAAAACAAGTCCATCAACCAGCAAAACAACCCAGCACACAACCAGCGTATCACCAAATGATGCAACAACTAGCCAAACAAGAACCACTCCAACCACAAGCCTCACGACTGGCCAAACATCAAGCAGCCCATCTACCACTCAATCAGCATCACCAACAACAACCATCACACCAACAGATGCAACAACTACAACAACATCCCAGACAACCAGCAGCCCAACTACCCTCAAAACAACAAGTGGCCAAACAACCACCAGCTCTTTGAATGAGGCAACCACAACTACAACAACAAAAACAAGTCCATCAACCAGCAAAACAACCCAGCACACAACCAGCGTATCACCAAATGATGCAACAACTAGCCAAACAAGAACCACTCCAACCACAAGCCTCACGACTGGCCAAACATCAAGCAGCCCATCTACCACTCAATCAGCATCACCAACAACAACCATCACACCAACAGATGCAACAACTACAACAACATCCCAGACAACCAGCAGCCCAACTACCCTAGAACCAACAAGTGGCCAAACAACCACCAGCTCTTTGAATGAGGCAACCACAACTACAACAACAAAAACAAGTCCATCAACCAGCAAAACAACCCAGCACACAACCAGCGTATCACCAAATGATGCAACAACTAGCCAAACAAGAACCACTCCAACTACAAGCCTCACGACTGGCCAAACATCAAGCAGCCCATCTACCACTCAATCAGCATCACCAACAACAACCATCACACCAACAGATGCAACAACTACAACAACATCCCAGACAACCAGCAGCCCAACTACCCTAGAACCAAAAAGTGGCCAAACAACCACCAGCTCTTTGAATGAGGCAACCACAACTACAACAACAAAAACAAAAACAAGTCCATCAACCAGCAAAACAACCCAGCACACAACCAGCGTATCACCAAATGATGCAACAACTAGCCAAACAAAAACCACTCCAACCACAAGCCTCACGACTGGCCAAACATCAAGCAGCCCATCTACCACTCAATCAGCATCACCAACAACAACCATCACACCAACAGATGCAACAACTACAACAACATCCCAGACAACCAGCAGCCCAACTACCCTAGAACCAAAAAGTGGCCAAACAACCACCAGCTCTTTGAATGAGGCAACCACAACTACAACAACAAAAACAAGTCCATCAACCAGCAAAACAACCCAGCACACAACCAGCGTATCACCAAATGATGCAACAACTAGCCAAACAAGAACCACTCCAACCACAAGCCTCACGACTGGCCAAACATCAAGCAGCCCATCTACCACTCAATCAGCATCACCAACAACAACCATCACACCAACAGATGCAACAACTACAACAACATCCCAGACAACCAGCAGCCCAACTACCCTAGAACCAAAAAGTGGCCAAACAACCACCAGCTCTTTGAATGAGGCAACCACAACTACAACAACAAAAACAAGTCCATCAACCAGCAAAACAACCCAGCACACAACCAGCGTATCACCAAATGATGCAACAACTAGCCAAACAAGAACCACTCCAACTACAAGCCTCACGACTGGCCAAACATCAAGCAGCCCATCTACCACTCAATCAGCATCACCAACAACAACCATCACACCAACAGATGCAACAACTACAACAACTTCCCAGACAACCAGCAGCCCAACTACCCTAGAACCAAAAAGTGGCCAAACAACCACCAGCTCTTTGAATGAGGCAACCACAACTACAACAACAAAAACAAGTCCATCAACCAGCAAAACAACCCAGCACACAACCAGCGTATCACCAAATGATGCAACAACTAGCCAAACAAGAACCACTCCAACCACAAGCCTCACGACTGGCCAAACATCAAGCAGCCCATCTACCACTCAATCAGCATCACCAACAACAACCATCACATCAACAGATGCAACAACTACAACAACATCCCAGACAACCAGCAGCCCAACTCCCCTCAAAACAACAAGTGGCCAAACAACCACCAGCTCTTTGAATGAGGCAACCACAACTACAACAACAAAAACAAGTCCATCAACCAGCAAAACAACCCAGCACACAACCAGCGTATCACCAAATGATGCAACAACTAGCCAAACAACAACCACTCCAACCACAAGCCTCACGACTGGCCAAACATCAAGCAGCCCATCTACCACTCAATCAGCATCACCAACAACAACCATCACACCAACAGATGCAACAACTACAACAACTTCCCAGACAACCAGCAGCCCAACTCCCCTCAAAACAACAAGTGGCCAAACAACCACCAGCTCTTTGAATGAGGCAACCACAACTACAACAACAAAAACAAGTCCATCAACCAGCAAAACAACCCAGCACACAACCAGCGTATCACCAAATGATGCAACAACTAGCCAAACAAGAACCACTCCAACCACAAGCCTCACGACTGGCCAAACATCAAGCAGCCCATCTACCACTCAATCAGCATCACCAACAACAACCATCACACCAACAGATGCAACAACTACAACAACATCCCAGACAACCAGCAGCCCAACTACCCTCAAAACAACAAGTGGCCAAACAACCACCAGCTCTTTGAATGAGGCAACCACAACTACAACAAATCTATTATCTACTATAATAACTCATCAACCAACAACCACAACATATTCAATAATTAAAGGTACCTATTCCCCAACCAGCACCTTACAAACCCACAAAGGAACAATTAGTAAAATGAAATGCAAACCAACACAAAAAATATCCAGAAATATAACCACTTTGACCTCAACAAATAGACCCCCTCTTGGGTTTACCATAACTCAAGTTTATGAAGAAACCACCAAAAATAAACACTCCAGTCAAACAGCATTGCAAACATCCAAGTGCACAACTCTATTGGAAACACATCGCAACCTTCCCCCCAACAGGCCTACCCTCAGAAACACCAGGTGTCCGTCATTCCCAGAATCAACCAGCATGTCAGAAAAAGCAATTCTCAAAACCCAAAAATTATTTGATCATGTAACTAGTCAGCCACAAACCTACAAGACATCCCACATCACAACCAAATGCCCATCTTTCAACAGAAAATCTGAAAGGCCACAAACCAGCAATACATCTCTCAGAACAAGCAGATGCCCTTTGGCCAAGGGAACAACCACCCATAAACCAATGGGTACAATACTCACAAAGACAACCAGCATTCCAGCAATGCACAAAGACATACTCAGAACAACTAGGTGCCCATATTCCAGGGAAACAACTAACATCCTTCTAACCAATGAAGCGACCCTGACCACAACCAGCATCTTGCCATCCTCAAAACAAGAATCAGTCCTTCAAAAAAACAGCGTAAACCTGAGACTGAGACCTCAAAAAACAACCAGCCGGCCACCAAGGAACTCTTCAACCATCCATTCTCAAACTACAAGTGAGAGGCACACAGCTCTTTGCTTTAAGCGTAAGTTAAATTTATTTTTTTACATTTTATATAAGTTTTATTTCTTTGGTGTTTGGTTTAGATTGCTGGACAGAGTGGTTTGACCGGGACAATCCAAGTGGCACTGGAGACTGGGAGACCCTTGGTGACCTGTGGAGGGAAAATCCAGGGAAGATCTGCAACATGCCACTTCAAATTGAAGTCCAGACTGTAACAGGACTCAGTGTCACTCTCACAGGAAATGTGATTACAGTGTAAGTGCTGGACCAACAACCTCAGCCCAATTTTCATGTTTTATTCATAATTTCTCAGAATTTATGATATATGGAATGTAAAGAATCTCTTTTTCCTTTGCTACTACTTGATTTTTTAAAATCATTTTTAACTTGCCCCATCTGATAAGCTTCTTATTTGGGCTAATGTCACAGAATATTAATCACGTAGATCAGTGAGCTATTTCCTTACCCAAACAGGAAGTTTTACTACTTGAGCATCAGTCTTAACTCTAAACTGGTTTGGTAGTTTCCTGATTTAGTTTTCTTTCTTTCTGACCACAGAGCTGACACAACCACAGGATTCATCTGTAAAAACTCAGACCAGACGAACGGCACCTGTCATGACTACCGTGTCCGTTTCATGTGCCCAACTGACTTCTGCATTAAAAATGATAACCTTACAACCCATATAACAACCACTAACCTACCAACCAAAGCACCAGAAAGTATCCAGCAGATAAACAACTATCCCACAGACACTCGTAAGTAACCCACTATGCCACAATTTTATGATGATTGAATGTTCATGAAGCCACCATGATAAGACTTATACTGATTCTGAAAACAATTATTTCTCAAAAACAGGAGAAATACCTTCCTGGCTTCAGTTTAATTTCAGTGTTAATTAAGTGACATGTTGTGTCTCTCTGATAAAAAAATAATAATAATAATAGTAATTTTTTATCCTTTCCTGGTGACTACTTCAGATTGCTGGACAGACTGGTTTGATCGAGATGACCCCTGTGGAACTGGAGACTTTGAGAGCCTGAGTGTTCTGCAATATGAAAACCCAGGAAAGATCTGCAATAAACCACTTCAGATTGAGGTCCAGACTACAGCTGGACTCAGTGTTGCTGCAACAGGAGATGTAATTGATGTGTAAGTGCTAAACTGAATCACTTAGCTCTTTATATATGTTTACAGTAATTTCTTGTTTTTTTATGCGTAGTGCATCTGGAAATACAGTTTATTTCCTCATTGTGTTCTTGAAACAAGCACTAGGCCCCTTTTATGCAGATACTGCACAGACATAACAAGGATGGGCTGCATGTGTAAACGCAAACAGCTAAATCCTGCCTACCCAAGGACTTTTCTCCTGAAGCATCCAATAAAATATCTGAGATAGCTGAGGGTTTTTTTATGTATGAACATGGCAGGTAGGCTGGAAAATTCTCAGTGAGTAAGTGGATGGGGAAATGACATTGCTTACATTGAGCTGAGTTTGTTTGTAATGTAGTCTTCATACTATTAGAGTGAAACGAACACAGAAACAGCCCCCACAACTAAAGGTTCACCTTCCTCCTTCTGAATGTCCCCCTGGCGTACCATTTTAAGTCTGACAATCTCTCACTGTGTGAGATGTGTAGAAGGCGGTTCTGGTTTAATGTCTGAGATTTTCTGGAGGTCATTTATGCTTCATTAGAGCTCCGTATGATGTCCTCTTTTGTTTTCTTTTTCGCTCATGTCCCACCTGAGATGAGAATGACTGGATTATTGTAACAATTATCATTTGGTCTTTTATAGAGCTGATGTAACCACAGGATTCATCTGCAAAAATTCAGACCAGACGAACGGCACCTGTCATGACTATCGTGTCCGCTTCATGTGCTCACCCAACTTCTGCAGTCAAGAAGGTACAAATATGCCAACTTTAAAAATATGTTTATTACCCTGCTGTCAGTGTAATTTGTTAACTTTCTTACTCACTTTCTAATTTACTCCTCAATCTCATAATTTTTCGGCTAGTTTGTTGGACCAAGTGGTTTGACCGTGACAATCCCAGTGGTATTGGAGACTTGGAGCTCCTCAGAAACCTGAAAAAAGAGAATCCAGGAGAAATCTGTGAAAGCCCTCTTTACATTGATGTCTCAACGACTGACACAAACACCACCGCCATTTCCACCGGGCAATCATTTCACATGTAAGCTTCTGTCTACACACTCTACTCCCAAAGCTCACAAAGTAACTTGTCACAGACCTGTGAATTTTAAATATTCCATGAACTAAAACAATTGTTGCTCTTTGACTTTTCTGCTGTAATTCTTATTCCATAAGTTGTTTGATGCTAAGGGCCATTTGTAGCTTCTTAGAGGATAGATGGGGAAGGATGGGTGAATGAATGAGGCTCCCTGATTTCTCAGCTTTTTCTCATGCAAATATCTTTGAAATAAAAGACCGACATTGATTTTGTAATGAAACATAAGCTGTCTTATTTTTTGTTTAATAATGGGGTTTAAGACATCAGACAGGATTTGTTCTGTTTAACTTTTTTAACGGTGTCATCAAGCTTTATGTGAATATTTTCCACAGGAATTTCAAACAAAAGCACCAAACCAAAGCTTCACTTAATACCTCAAAATATTTTTTTTCTTCAGCTACAGCCCAACTGAAGGATTTGTCTGTCGCAACCGAGACCAGAGCAGAGGCCGCTGCCAGGATTACCAAGTGCGCTTTGGATGCCCATGCCCATGCAAGGATAAATAAGTAACGGGTCATGGGGACACTGAGGAGGAACGCTTTTGACTTTTGCTTTATGATATTAAGAGTATTACTGTCAAGTCACTTACTTCATGAATTACTTCATATTTGCTTTATTAATCATCAGAATGCTGCTATAAGTTATAATTAGTTACTTTTGCCATAATCTATGAAACTGTTATTTATTCCCTGAACCAATCTAAAATATGTGGGTAAAAATCTTACAAGTCATAAGTATGACTCATCTTAAACATTTTTAACAAGTCATTTTTTACTTACATTTAAAGATTTTCTCTCTTTTTCATTTTTTGCTATAGTTGTATATAACTGTTATCCTTATTTATTATTATTTAAATAAGCAATGATTAAATGATTTAATACTCTCTTGCTTTTATTGTACCTGTTTAATTTACTTCTAGCATTAATAAAAAAATTTAAAAAATGTGTCTTTTTATGTACCTTTCTGACATTGACCTGCTTAAAAGGCCCCTGCCAGATTAGGTTAAAATATTAATGAATCCATAATAACACAATCTTTATATCTTTTTTATCTAATTGTGAATAGCTACAACAGCAGAAACAAACTCCATATATAAGAATTTGGTTTGGACAGGATAAAGGATGAATTGAAAAGTTCACATTGCTCTTTCCCTTCACATAATGTTTTCCTTAATATTTCAAGACCTTATTTCACATCATTTCAGGTCAAATCTCTTTGGATCTTACACAGGGACTATGTACTTGGCAGGGGCAAAACAAGTAGAGGTGATTTGCTAGCTGGCTATTCTTCACTGATCTTGTGAAATTATCTCTGCAGTCTGCACCATGTGTAAAAAGAGTCATGTTACTGTATTCATTATAAAACCAGTGCCTGCAACAGTGCCTCCTGCTGTGGGATGAACAAAACATCACATGCAGGAGAAGAACAAAGTGTGAACCAGGATTAGTATTTAGTTGTCTGCAAAGAGGAACAAAGACAACAGGTACCCCTCCAAAAAAGCAAGATATAAACAAGAACACAAAAGTAGCCTCATTAAATATAAACATATACCCTGTCACTCAAAAATACACATGCATCATCACACTTGTTCACTTAAAACACACATATAAATCCTGCCCCTTAGTTTGTCATATCCTCTCTCAGGTGTTACAAACCTGATATAAGCCATAAAAAGCTATTCATGTTGGAGAGGTTTTTGCTTCAAACATCATTCAGTCTTTGAGAAATCTCTGTCATGAGTAAAAAAAATAAAAAATAAAAAAAATAAAATAAAAAACTGTGTATCTGGATTATGAAATAAAACATAAAATATTCACTATTTTTTAATTTCATGCCTGTGACATGTTCCAAAAAAGTTGGGACAGGGGCAGCAAAAAACTGTGACAATTGGACGAATGCAAAAACAAACAAACAAACAAATCAGTCCACAGGTGAACAGGTTCACTGGAAACAGCTGAGTGTCATGATTGGGTATAAAAGTAGCTCCCCTGAAAGGCTTCATCCTTCACAAGCAAGGCTGGGGTGAGGCTCATCCCTTAGTTAACAACTGCTTGAACACATAATACAGCAGTTTGAGAATGTTTCATTGCAAACAAATGCAGGAATTTAGGGATTTCATCATCTATAGCCCATAATACCATCAAAAGACTCAGAGAATCCAGAGAAATCTCTGCACACAGACAGCAAGGCCTTCAACAACTAGTGCCCTCAGTTCCCAAATGCTCATTGAGTGTTATTATATGAGATGAACTTCTTAAGTTGATTTTTGAATTCACTGTGATGTACTATGTGAGTTTCTGCAGGTGTGGATGTCTAGCTCTCCCACAGCTTTGCCCTGTCCACTAGGAGAAGCACTTGCCATATACAGTAGCTCGACCAGTCAGGGTAAATGGCAGCACAACACCAGCAGCTTCAAGTGGCCAGCATGCAAAAATAATGGGAGAAAACCTGCACCACCCTCCTCTTCCTCCTCAGCTCTGCCCCTGCATTTTACATTTTCTTTTCTTCCTCTTCCTTTTTTCAACAATTAATTTCAGTTCAGCTTAATTCAATTAAATTTGAGTCACTGCAGTTAAGTTCCATCCAATTCAATCATTTAAATGCAATTTTAAAAAGCAAGATGTTGCACCATAGACATGAGCACTTAAAAACTTCTTAACTAATGATCATAGCTTCACTTAATCAAACATTAAGTGTCCTGAACCATTGAATGCATCTAACATAAAGTGAACAAACTGAAATACTTTTTAAATACTATTAAAAACTATCCATTTCTTTGTAGGGATTTCAATGTAATTCTAAACAGTGCAATGTCAGGTCATGAATATTGTGCAAACTGCAAATACTCAGTGCAGGTGCATGTTCTCTGTGGTGGCAGAATTGAAGGTTTGAATATTGTTTTTTTCATTCTAAAATAGGTTTCTTTGATCATGCAATGTGTTTTCAAGAGGATGATGGTTAGTGAGGTATCAATATTTCTAAAGCTAATCAAAGGTAAGTTACAGTAGTGGATGCTGAAGCGTCTTGTTTGCCCTTTACAAAGAATAAGCAACCCAAATAAGTTCCTACAAAAAGCTTTCACCTGAAAAGCATGTGATTGAATGCCTGAAATGGTGACACCAGCTCCTCTCTAAACAGTAAAGGTTGGGGAGTTTGATGGCGCAGACCCACTGTAAAATGACAAGAACCATGGCCTCAGACTTTCAGTCCAGCCACTTTACACAGCTGCCAACTGCCCCACTGTCTGCTGGACATCCCATTTTGAGGAACTAAGTGGGGCAACATGTTTTACAGACAGAGACAAAGTTCTGTGGTCAACCAAAGCTAACTGTCTCTTCCCCCCAGCTGCACCTTTAGATCTTGTGTTTGGGAATCCCATACATAATCTCAAACAAAGGAAAACCCTAACAGCAGCCAACACCTATTGAAATATAAAATTACAGCTATCTCTTCTCTTATATAACCACTGAAACCCCCATAATTCCTTCATTGATCTGGGAGGGAAGCTGCTCAGTTCTTCAGAAGTTAGCAGACTTGAGCTATTCGATCAGATTCTTGAAAAGCAGCAACTGAAATCTTTTTTAGAAATATTTTAAGAAAATGGATCAGATTAAGCAATGCTGTAATATATATTAGAGGTGAACAAACAAAGGAGCTGAGTCTGAGCAGATAACTTCCCCCATTGTGACACATCAATTAATTATGACTTGCAAAATGTGTATTGAAACTCCTTTTGATGCAAAAAAAAAAAAAAAGTAGTTGTTTTGTGTTACATTTACAGCCATTTTAGTTTATTTTATGACTTTTAAATTCACTTCATTCATTTGTCACTTTGTCAAATATATTTTTATTCTTTTTCCACATCATTACTGAGAAGATGGGATGGCTTATAACAGTGATTCTAGCCTATGTATTATTTTCCTCATTCTTCAGCAGACCTTTTCACCAAGTGAAAGGTTCAAAGAATTCAACATTGTGTAGGAAAAAGTGAATACCTTATTTTGGAACATCTACATAACCAGAGAAACACAACAAAATGGAAAGAATCATTACTTACAGGTCTTGTTTTGTGTGGTATGGTACTTACGGTGAACAGTGGCACTCAAGGGACAATGTATAAAAATTAGGAATTAATAATTAAAACATCCTTTGTACTTTAATCAAAAACAGCTGCAACAAAACTGATTTTAGAGTGCAAACAAGAGCTGATCCGTTTGAAGGAACATTAAAACTTGCTTGCTATAAGGATGAAATTAAGATGAAGTTTGTTGTTTATTCCAACGATGAATCAGGTTGAAATTTGGATGAATTGTTGCCAAAAAAATGCAAAGTACAAATACATTCTTACTGAGAAAGGTGAAAATCTTTGTGTTTTAGGTGCACGGCTCCTGCAGCTTGTAATTTACCACAGGAACAATTGGATCTGAGGGAGCTGGTCTCCCAAAATGTTTTTAAAAGCAGGTTAAAGGCGCAGGAGGAAGATGCATCAGGCTGTGGATGCCTTGAATGATGGTTTCGGTTAGATGACCCAGGAAAATATTCTTGAAACAATGTTATTGTATATTTGTAACTTTATTGGACCATGCTGCTGCTGTCTTGACCAGGTCACTCATAAAAAAGATTTTTAATCTCAGTGAAGCCTTCCTGGTTAAATTGAATTCAATAAATAAATGTTCCTTTGTATGAAACTTTGGGCAGTTCTATTAGGCGTCTCATTCATATAACCACTCGTTCTGTGTCAATATGTTAAAAATAGACTTTGAAATTTTTTTGTCTTCCAAAGCATATAGCTAAAGGCAGTAACAACCACTTAAACACATAATTGCTTGCACTACAGTACATTAATATTTCCATTTGCAGATAAAAGTAAGCTTTCACACCCATTAAATGCCGCAGGAAATTTCATTTCTCTGTGGGCTTTTCTTCTTTTTCCTGCTGGTGCTTTTTGGTGATTTCTGTTGCCAATTTGCCATAATGTTCATATAACTGCACATTTCCTCATGTGAACACTCATATGTATTTGGATTGATTAGTTCTGGAAAAGTTTTTCAATTGTGGCTGTCATCACAGCCTTTGCTGGTTTCCAGTAAACCTAGTCACGTGTGCTTGATTATTGCTTTGAGCTTTGTTTTTTTCTATTGTTCAAAACAGACATGTAAAATTTTGACTTTTGAAGGCTAATCATGTTATAACAAAAACTAATTTAATTATACACTGTGCATAAACTTCAGACCATGAACACAGGGCCAAGTCTATAATTTCCATTTTTAAAGCATTACACCCAGTCACACAACAATGATTCAGCTATCACTCCTGTCTCACACTCTTGTTATGTCAGCTGGATAAAACCAACTTTATCAAAACCAAACCACTGTGCCAAATTAAACTGCACATCATTAACTTATTCAATTTGTCATGTGTTGGAGTCTCTTAATTAAACCAAATCCTTACAAAGATGAATGATTTTCAATGATTTTTCAAAACAACCAAGAAACACACATGTAAATATCGGAAACATTGCATACACACCCCAATGTCCACAAATTTCTTAAAGTGTGTAGACATTATTGTGGGGCAGTTGTAGTAAAGCCGGTTGTCTCTCAGTTTGAAGGTTTGGAGTTCACCCCAGATCCTGCAGTCCATATGCCAAAGTGTCCTTAGGCAAGACACCTGACCCCAAACTGCCCCCCACCAACTCCACCCAGCAGTGTGTGAATGGAATTAGTTAAAACTAACGGGTTATTCACATAGTGGCCTCTGCTATCAGTGTGTGAATGTGGTGTGAATGTGGTGTGAATGTGATATGTAAGGTATAAGCACTTTTAGTGGTCAGAAGACCAGATAAAGCGCTCTAGAAACATAGTCTACATAACATTTTCTATTTATTGCGATTGCCCATTGATGATTTGGGATTGGGAAAGACCCAGATCTCTTTATGCTTTTATTGATGCAAACCTTAAGCTAGCAGTGAAAGTTTGAGAAGGAAATGCTTTAAAAGTACTTAAAAAGAATACCTGATCAGGAGGACTGAAAGAAGCCACATTGTAAAGTATCAAATCCTCCAAGTACCTGAGCAAAAGAAATCCTTTGTCTTTGAAAAAACAACCACCTTATAAAGGACCACAAATGAAATCCTGTGTCTGGCATGGACGGTACAAACAGTGGGTGATTACTGCATGTAGAAAAAGGCTTGCTTTCATCTCAACTGGGTCCTGGACTGTGCTTGAATTAAATATAGGGTTCCCTGCACATTTCAAACGAAAAGACAGCGGGGGCAAAGGCAAGAGAGCCCAAGTTTGTAAGGCCATCAGGACTCTTTTCTGTTGACCAAATCTTATTCACTGGCTAAAGTTACTTATTTATTTGGTTGCTTCAATTTAGCAGGAAACTGGATGATACAAAATGAACCATGTGTGGTTTTGCTGCTGTCAAACATAAGTTAAAAAGCATGAATGCAATCCTACAGCCTAAACAGTAGTCCCAGGTGGCAGCCATGAAGCTCTAGTAGCTGCTTCCTTTAACTCATAAACACAACCTGACACAGGGATTTTGGCTGCTTTCTTTTCATTTTTTTTCAATGAAGAGAAGATGTTTTGGTTTAAAGATGGTTAACATGTAATTGTGAAGGTCTGATGTTTGTTCTGTGATAGAGGTACTCAAATGCAATGCATTTTGATGCAGAAAACTGAGTCCTGTCCCTTAAAAAATAAAGTTTTAGAATGTCTTAAAAAAAAACTTGACACTATCTCAGCAGGGCCTAAAATGTTGTTGAACCTGCAGGGCTCCAGCACGTGTTTGACATTTGCTTCAACCTATTAAGAGGCATATGAGCACACACTTAACTCCAGGAAGATAATGGCTTGCAATAAATAGATTTGTCGCACTTTGTTTCCTAATGGTAAATTTTAACATTGTTTCTTTATTGCAATCAATTGTAAATGATTTCAGAATAACTGTAAGTAATTAAAATGGGTTTTATTCCACTTTGGGTGTGTGCTGTATTGCTGTTAACAGTGAATGTGGGTGTTGACCAAAGGCTTTTAAATGGATATCTTCCTGTACTCAGTTATTTAAGTTGAAACCTGTTTTCTCTTTGACAGGAGCAAGTGACTTTCTTCTCCAACAGGCACCTTAAACTTTTGGTGAGTGTTTGAATTTCCTTATCTGCAATCTCTGACACATTTATCAAAATTCTGGTTTGAATTTTCTTTTGGAGAAATTGATTAAAATTTAAAAGGGATTGGTGAAAGATTTTCGAGTTTTCATCCAAGTTATTACCCACGAGCTGATATTGAAGATTAATTCATGCCAACACTTTCAAATTCAACCTTATAACAGCTTAACTAAAAGGATGCCCAGAAGACATTGTTAAAAATAACAAACACAGATATTACCAGGATCCCACCAAAACACAAAGATACACTTAAAACAACAATATGCTCATCTGCCTGAGGTAACATGGAAAGACACACTTAAAAGAATGAGGGGAGCACTACAACCAGCAGCTTTCTAAACCCAGAGAAGATCTGCAAGGAGCCACGCAAGTCCAAACTATAACAGGACTAAGTGTAGCTGCAACAGGGAATGTGATTACAGTACAAGTGCTGGACCAACAGCCACAGCCCAATATTCATGTTTTATTCATAATTTGTCTGAATTTAAGACATATGGAATGTAAAGAATCATGTTTTCCTTTGATTTTGATCACCTGCCCTGTCTGATTGTTTTTATGTTATAGATGATGCCAGTGTCTTAGAATAGCCTGCATGTAGATCAGTTGTCTATTTAATCATCATCTGGATTTTTTTATCTGCTGAGTATCAGTCCTAACTCCAAATTGGTTTTGTAGTTTCCTGATTTAATTTCCTTTCTTTCCTACTGCAGAGCTGACACAACCACAGGATTCATCTGTAAAAACTCAGACCAGACAGGCGGTGCCTGTCATGACTACTGTGTTTGTTTCATGTGCCCAACTGACTTCTGCATTAGAAATGATAACCATTCAACCCCTATAACAACCACTAACCTACCAACCAAAGCACCAGAAAACAACCAGCAGATAAACAACTATCCCACAGATACTCGTAAGCAACCCACCATGACTTATTTTTATGATTGGTGAAAATTAGTTGATCAATGGTGCTAAGACATAGTGATTTTGACCTCAGCTATTTCTCAAAAACTAAATAAATAACTTCTTATAACAATATTGTCATTCTTTATCCTTTCCTGGTGACATCCTCAGATTGCTGGACAGACTGGTTTGATCGAGATGACCCCTGTGGAATTGAAGACTTGGAGAGCCTGAGTGTTCTGCAATATGAAAACCCAGGAAAGATCTGCAATAAACCACTTCAGATTGAGGTCCAAACTACAGCTGGACTCGGTGCTGCTGTAACAGAAGATGTAATTGATGTGTAAGTACTGGACTAGCTTCATTAGTCCCTTACACTGTATATTGAAGAAATTTAAATATGTGTTATTTGGACAGTGCACCTTAAATTGTATTTCCTCATTGTGTTTTTAAAACAAACCCCTTTCACATAGATATCGCCCTCCTACTGGGCTGCATGTGTAAACGGAAACAACTAAAATCACTCACACATAAAAGACAGCTTTAAATTGGAAGAATGTTCAATTCTGCTAACCAGAATGATCTGGTTTCATTCTTTTGCGGAGCTGATTCCTGTTACTTTACAAATTGATATATGCACAATGTTGTCAACATGATATCAGTATCGGCAGATGGTGGCTTAAAAAGTTCAAAAATGTGAAAATTTCTGAGATATTAGCCAAAAAAGTTGTACACACCTTATTATGTACACACAGTGACAGCTCACATGTCAGCATACAAAAATTAACATACAGCAGAGTGATGACTAAATGCCTATATTTGAAAAATATTTATCATCAATGGTAGAATCAAATATTGTTCGTCTTATTTTATGCCAGGTTCAATGAAATAGACAGTTACAGTAAGAGCAGATGGGGGAAAATGTAAGGTGTTTTCTTTCCTTTAAATATTCATAGCCTACGGCAACTCCATATGTTGGTTAAGTGAATATAAAAAGCTGTTTCAAAATGAAATGAAACAAAACAATTTTGGAAAACGTGTGAAAGTTTCAGCATTATTACTACACTTTGAAAAACAACCACGTTTCCCTCTCCTTTCGATAAATAAACATATTTGTATGAGAAGTGTCTCTGAAAAACAAGGAATACATAAAAAAATAGTCCAAATGAGAAAACGGAAAGGAAGAAAATGAATAAAAAGGGGAGAGTGGGGTAAGATGAGACATTTTTCATATTTCGGAGCACTACATCAAGGCAATCATAGTTTTGTCTCTAACTAGTGTATCTGCATATATTTCAAGATGTTGTGCATAGGGTATGTTGACCATAGGAGTGGGGTAAATTGAGCCTTTTTGACCTCATGTTGAACTTAATACCACAATTGATGTGTAAAACCCATTTAAAATGATCTTTTTTGGTCTGAACACAATTCTTACAAAACTTCTGACAGACTAAATTCACTTTCAAGAGTTAATTTTTTTTTTTTTTTTTTTTTTTTTTTTTTAGAAATAAATGTCTAACCCTTTTATCCATGTGCTTCTAACCTTCACAGACTCCATGAACTGATGCCCAGCTCCTAAATATTTGGTCACATGATCAATTTCTTTTACCATTTCCAAGCAACAGGGGGTGGCTTACTTTACCCTTTGGCTCAACTTACCCCACTCTCCCCTACTAAAGAAAATATGCTTACGAAAGATGTAAGAGCGATAAAAAAAAAAAGCTCAGAATAAATTGTAAACGTGCATGAGTAGCAGTTGTTTCTTGGTTTGGGTAGTTTCAATCGATGAGGCATTTTCCTAACATCACAATTGAGTTGCGTATATTCCTTTACTGTATTGTGAGTTGACGCGAGACTGGGCCTGACTATCGCGAGAGTTTACCAGCTGTTTAGTCTGTGTTTTTTTTAGACTGGTGCTAGTCGGTCAACACGTGGGGAGGAGAGACTGACTTTCCACAGGGACACATTTGAAAATCTTACATTATCAGTATTGCTCTCATCGTGGCGGCTTCGAGGACCTTAAAACACTGTAAGTAACATTAAACAGAGGAAAAAGAGCGCGTGTGGCCACTGAGGGTACAACGCGTGCACGCAGATAGCATCTACATCATGTTCTCACAGCATGACTTAGTTTTAATCCACGCACAGAGGTGCAGCACATGCACAGTGTGGAAAAACCATTCATTGACATTAACACGCTTCTGTGCAGACAGTGTACAGACAACTGTGTGACTGACTGAGTGCAGTAATCCCATGTCATTGAACAACTAGCCTACACATCTTCACACACTCCTGCTAGCTCATCTTCTTGTTGTGTAACTTAGATTAGCCTCATTGCTCCTCTCTGCCCTGTCTTACAACAGCACCAGGTGTGTTGAATGGGAGCACATGCTCGCAGGTTGTCAGCAGGTACAATGCAGTGAGCTGTGATTGTAACCAGGCCGGCTAACAGGCTAACGTGAAGGTCTGCGGCCCGTGTAGGACAGCAGCTCTCTGAGGCTCCCAATGTCCTTTAACCCTGCGTCAGCCCGGCACAGGCCCGCATTGGTCCGTGTTGTTGCGTTTAAAGCTGTGTGATGCATTGCCAACATGATGGCTAGTCAGTGAATTAAAATGAAACTCGAGGGTTTAATTATGTAATCTACCCACGGACATGCTCTTTGTGCCGTAAATAATGCAAGGGGGAGAGTTTATTCAGCGGTCTGACATTTCAATGCAAAACTATGAGAATTGAGATTCTAGCGTTGAAACAAATGTGCCGGGCTAGCCTGCTAACTCTATACTCTGTATCATATACTGCGGCCTCCCAACAAGCCATGCTTTATGCTGCATTCACGTGTTTCTCGGATGGTTCATTGCCTTAGCTTCGAAGCCCTTCCTCTGATTAAGGTGTGCTCTTGAGCTTTAGGATGAATATGAACCCTTCGAGTAAATGAACTGTATTTTATTGCTCAGAAATCATATGTCTTGTTCACCAGTGACACCGGTTGTATACTAATGCTAAGCCAAGTTGGTTTTGCAATGTACATGAATTCGTCCAACTTTTTTTTTTTTTACAGTCGAGATAATTTCCTCGACCTCAGGTTTTTTAAATTTACTCTTATTTTTATTCCGAGTTGATGTGTCCACGAGGTGAATTTCACCTATTATTAAGAAACATGAACAGATTCTTCCAGTTACACCTGAACGCAAGATCTGTGACAACCACTGCTCAACACCGGCCGGTGTTCTGACAAATAGTGATTCCCATCGAGAAGAGCGCCTCAGCGTTTGTGCGCATGCGCGGGGCCATAGTTCTGAGTGCCTGCAGATATCGGGATAATTATTTCATTAAGGATCTTGGTGACCGGTCTTCGCTTATTCCAAGAGTTTACATATTAATAAAAAGGAGTGTAAAATAAAATCATTTGCTGTATAAGACGTCAAAACTAAAAGCACACCGCTCTCGATTATCTATACGGGAGCATTTTCGACAAGCAGCTAAACCCGACATAACACCGTATTTTGTTATAACGCTACACCGAACTCCATGTAATATATCTGTCAATTAACAATTTCCATTGTATCGTTTAACTGCTTTGTTATCTATGATGAAAAAGCGATCTCGTTTGGATTATTAGTAGGTATGGATAGATTCGGGCCTGAAATAAGTCACCAAACTGCAAATATTTACAAAGTTTCTGTCATTTAATTTCATAGTTTGCTTATTTACCACAATTACGTTCAGGGACATTGTGATGACACATGCACAGGTAGAGGAAGAGGTGACGGAGCAAAAAGTTACTTGGTTATGGAAATATAGCCTTTCCGCTGACCTGCTACAAGCTGAAACGTTATGTGACCAGTGTTATATGTGCAGACTCATGTTATGGGTCTTCTCTTGTAACATGGCTTGCTGCTAAGTTTTCTGTTTATTCACGATGGGATAAACAGTAGGGTTTTCAGATGGTATCGAGCACGAGAAGGCCACCGGGATTATTTATTATGGGCCACACGGAGTCACATTGGAGGTATTATTAGCACGATGCTAGCGGAGATGCTCTGGCTTAGGCTCCGTTAAGTCGTCCCTTGAAAGTTGGCATTATGACCCTCGCCTATTGCAGCACCTCAGACAACACGGTGAGTCAATCAGTCATCGTGTCATGATATACTAAAGTATTGTAATAAGATTGTCTTGCGGCTGTAGTCATTTTAATTAAAGGATTAGCATGGTGGTGGTGTAGCCATTAGAAAACCCCAGTAAGCCTCAGTTTACACACGCAGCGTAGCGGGGAAGCCTCAGGAACACTCCGTCCTGTCATCCAGGCGGGTTGTGTGCAGCATAACACAGTTTCAGCTGCACGACACAGACATAACATAGACTTTGTCATTGCTATCTTACGGTCACTTAGCTGTCAAGAGAGCCGCTCTTCCATTCGGCTTTGAGCAAACTCTCATACCTATAGTATTTCACCCACAATAATGTACTAAGAGGCGCTATGTCAGGTGAGTGTGCTTTGACAAATGGGCGGTTTTGAGGAAAGCTGCTTAGGTTCCATTGAAAGGGTTGTAACTTGTAAATACAGCCTGGCCACTCCCCCGATATCTGAACACCAAGGTCACAGTCTGAATGTGCACTTTAAGGTCAGCATAAACACCAACAGGCCTGAGTCTGAACTGTGAGGAGGATCTACATTTGTTTGACAGCTTGTTACTTCTATTGTAACCTTGTCCAAGGTGAATGTACTAGTGTGTGTGCCACCATTTCATAGACAGGTGTGTTTAGCCTCAGCTGGAAGATATATTCCAGGTTAGATATTGACAGTAAGTTGTAGTTGATTGTATCTTAGATAAATTGCACCAAGTAGGAGTTCTTAATATTTTGGAGACAGTTGAACTCCAAGTTGATAAATTTGCCAGGAGTTATTTATATCGGCCACAGTTTATGGAAAACCCAAAATGTTTTTGCCTTTTTAAATGGATTGTTGTTTTATACAGAAGTCTAGAGACACCAGGAATTTTGACAGTTAAACTTTGGAATTAATAACAATATTAGCCAGTACTTAGGTTGTCAATATTTATACATATTTGATAATGCTTATAGCTTGTAGTGTAGCAGAGAGAGGATGAGATAAGAATAATAATAAGAACTTTATTAATCCCTGAAGGGGAATTTAATTGTCTGTCATCTCATTTCCCATGTCTCAAAAAGTAATCTACTATTTACAGAAGAGTTGTAAAGTCTGATGACTGTAAGTAAAAAAGATCTTCTGAATCTTTCTGTCCTGCAGTGAAGAGAGAGGAGCCGTCCACCACCATTGGCCCTTTTGATTCCTTGGCTTGGCCCACTCTTTAGCTCCAGATGAAT